GGTTTTGGTCGAATATTATCGATTTGAATATCGAATAGTTTTTCCATGCCTTCCACTACCATTGCGTAATGCTTAGATGAAAACCCAGCTAACTTGTGAAGGTTGTTCCACTTGTTCATTTATAAGCTAAGTTTATCTATATTTTTTAAATGTGTCTTCATAAGGTCTGATTTCTGGGGATGGCAAGTAAACAACGAATTTGACATAAAATGAATCCTATAAGAGATGGCCATCTATACCCAATTGAGTGAATTTACAAAGTTTGCTATATAAAGTATGCCTTGTTTAATCTCGAGTTAAAAATAAATAATTGCACATGTTGAACGCAGGTTGTAAGGGCATCTCTGCCTAATATATTATACTCTTGCATAACAGTCAGTTTAATTTTGGAAATTTTACTACAATGTAGATATACACATTCACGAAGTTTCCATTTATTCCCAAATACAGTCGGCAGGCGTGCACCATCCCGCTTCGAATGTATGCTTTTCTTCCGAGAACGCAGTTGCGATATTCATACTTTTCCAAGTGTTTATTACTGCGGGTTACTCCGTTAAGTGCGCTTCTTACCGAGCACCGATGTAATGCGGAGAAACAACACCCGCGGAGCTTGCTTTCGCGGGTATTGCTTCTCCGCTACGCACCAGTGCTCGGAAAAAAGCGTACTCAACGGGGCTAACCCATCGCAATCAATTAACACTCCGAAAAACGCGAATAGTGCAGTTCTCCTCGAAAAGAATATCGAATAGTCTATTATTGGAAAATCTTATTCGAAATTTCGAATAATCGCACAAGCCTATTAATTATATTTCTCCGATAGCACCGTAAACACAGGTATTTTTCCTCCGGCATTGGCCCCCATAAAATAAACGAATTTATTAAAAGTATTATTTACGTAGAATGCACGTGGAAGGGCCAGATAAGACAACTGTTTATTCCCATTAAATGAAAGAAATTCTGGATGTTGGGAATTTTAATTTTGGTTGTTGTAAACTTTTTGTTGTGAACTTTTATAAAACGTTTCATTTTTTTTCCAGTACCTGATATTTTTGTTTCTACGATTAATTTATATGCTGACCAAACTGTCCTATATAAGGGACAGGAACTTCTCAAGCTAGCCTGTGTAGCTTTTTTCTCGCTCTCTCATTTTCCGCGACTATGGAACCAATAAAATTGATTTGAATCGAAACGAGTTTGCGCGGTCGCGCACGAACAAAACCATTAAAAGAAGAAAGCGTCCGCGATCTCCAGATGGAAGACGCGTAGCGAACTTACACAACGTTTCCTATCGCCGATTAAAAAAAAAAAAAAAAAAAAGAAAGGGAGCAAATCTGAGTAAAGGGCAAAAAGGATTCCCATATTGAGTTCATGTAGGCGTGTATGCGTGCTACATGTTCGTGGCTCGCGCGTCTTTCTGAAACTCAAATGGAAAACGTCTCAGCCGCCGTTCGGCGGCAAAAACAAACAGAAACGAGCCTATATTTTTGTTTTTATTTGCATATTTGTTTTTCTATCCGCGAGAGAAACGTTTTTTTTTTTTTTCAATCTATTTTTGAGTGTACAACGTACGTGCACGTTTTTATTTTCTTAAAAGTGCGCTCTCTCTGAACAAAACCTAAAACAAAAACGTAAAAAAAAGAGAAAGAATCCTGGGAGTCTCCATCAGCCCCAAAACTAGATCAAGGCCCAAGATGACGGGACGGCGTTGTGGTTCCGTATACAGCGTCACTTTCACGAGTGGAGACCGCCACCGCCGCCGCTATGTTGATCATTTCCTTTCCGGGGCACGAAAAATGACGTCATTAGCATGATTGCGATCGTGTCCGACACGACTATAAAAAGGCATCTATTACTGCGCAGTACGTTATGTGCACGCGACAGTACGTGTGTATATATATGTATGTTTGTGTGAAAGAGAGGGAGAGACTTTGGTGCTTGTATGCTATACATCAAGTGCTCCGAGATGGGCTTAGCCGCTGGCATATATATATATATTCTCGTGCACTGGGAATACAGGATGACGGAATTATTTACGGGTCAAGCATGTCGGAAGCATGCCTGCTTCGTGCATACGTGTGCTTCGAACAGACAGTTTGCCTATGACCGGTGTCATCATTCGTGGAAGCATCATGCCCCAGGCAGTGTCTGTAAACTGTCGTCGTTCGTATGACGTATTGGTAGTGTGACGACAACTTAACAACAATCTTGGATAGAAAAAAAGAAATAAAAAGAAGACGGATGGATGCTGACGATTATTCGAGATGCGCTTCCATCTTTAGAAAGAGGGTGTGGCGAGTCCTACCCTGTTGTCGTCGCTCTTCGGCCGATGAGATTGCGTCATTAGCCAATAAGACCGCCCAAAGGCGAACCACGAAGCAAGAATAAGCGTGCACGTGTTAAGCTGCGTTTCGTAAAGCTATCAGTGACTTATGGTGCAACGCTCAAAAATCTCGATGGTGGGCAACCAAAAATCTCAATTCCCACGTTGTTCAAATGTTTCACAAACAACAACGGATCTTTACGTTCTTGCCCCTTTTTCATCACGAAAAACAAACAAACAAACATTGACCAGTGTAGTCGATTTATGATGCCAACAACCAACCGAACTTTGACCTTTTTAATAGTTTTCCTACACGTTCTGCCAAAGGTACGCGAATGTGTTCGCTCAGATCTTCTGCGAGGCAGAAAATCGTCTTAGTTTCCTCCTCTCCTGAAGGGACCAAGAGAGGGGGAGGGCGTGACCGTGACGAACATCTCCCCGAATAGCAAGACGCGTAGCGCTGGAATTTCTGCATAATGCGTCGGAGGTCATCGCTGTGCGTAGATAAGACACGAGTGCCGCCTAAGCATTGGGCTGCGACTCGGGTTGGGTCGCTGAGAACACGAGTACGAGCCGTCCTATGACGCCGCAATCGTGTTTACTCTGTTCCCCCGCGTTGGCCTCCAACGTGTGACGTCGATATTCTAGGCAAGGCCTGTTCATGACGGCATTATAAGTGGATTCCCGACTCGCCACCGAGCGGTAGACGCGCCTTCATGTACCCGTTGGTCTATTGGGGAACACGTTAAAAGTGTTAGGGCGATTTTTGTTGTGTTCATTCTTCCGGTGAACGAAAACCTTTACAAATACCAACTTCTCCTCTTTTTAAAAAACAAATATAAGTCTCCCCTCATTTTGAATGTTTCGAAACACAACGGGGCTTGCTCAGAATACAAAGAAAAGAGAGAGAAAGAGAGAAGAAAAGAGACGAAATAGGGATTTGGATCATTTGCGTATTCCCGCTAGCGTTAGCCTCGTAAGTGATTCGGAACGTCCGAGAACTGAACTGAAAAATAAACGGAATTTTAAAACGTCTCAGCGATCAAAAGGATAAGCAAGATCAGGATGGGTCTCGGAAGAGAATCGCAATTTCGCTAAAGGCCCGTGTCTTGGGGGACACTGGAGGGTACCGGGGCATTACTTCCTGTATCTTAACTCGAGTCGCCCATTCTCCCCGCAACTTCCTTCCTAGTCCCCCCCCCCCCCCCCCCCCTCCTTTCCCGCGCCCCCCTTGCTGACCTTGGTTTCAATTTGGGCGACCGAAGTATTAACGTTGGGTCAAATTTTTATCTTTCGCCCGAAATTTGGTCGAGTCCGGATTTTCCTCCATCCTTCGTTCTTCGGATGCAGATTGCATCGTGACACGATTGTCCTAGGTTATCTCCTTTTACTGCGAGGCTGTCATGGATGACTTTCGCGTGTCGAATCCCACAGTTTACGGCTGTTACAGGCAAAAATGAATTGGTTCAACTACGGTTACGGATCTCCGCCGCTTCAAAGGGAGGTTCCTTAACTGGTCGACTGCGAGCGGATGCTTGGTCAGCACAAGGAAATATCATCTTCGGCTGCTTTACTTTGTTCTTTCAAACATTTTTTTTTTATTTACAATTTGCTTTTTTTTAACCTACGAAATCGTTATTTACACCGTTTTGCTTTTAAAAAAATAATTGCTCGTATTGTTAAAAAAGAAAAGAAAACGCTGCTTTGTGTTGTTGCGGATATCAAAGGAAAAAAAAATATCAAACACACTTTCGAAATCCTCGCCTGCTAAAGTTATGCAAACATGCATCTCTCTGCACGCGCGACGCATTTACATAAAATTTACCGAGTCGCCTACGAAGAAATCCAGACGTGTTCCACCGAATTTTAAAACACGGAGGTGGTGATGCTTGTTTTTGTTTTTCTTCAAAAGTTTACAGTTAGCAGACGACGCGTGGCCACTGCGTTATGGGAGCATTCACAACTGAACTGATTCTGATGAGATCTAAGTGTCCCTTGTACGCGTACTTTGTGCAAATCAGCTTTTCATCGAACGCATGCGTCCCGTTAGTGAGCAGCTCAGTTAAAAGTTAGTTCAAATAGCGTGTGTTGAAATAGGTGGAGTGTTGCGAAAAGCCCGGCAAAGTATTTAGTGAGGGAAACAGTTTGCGTGCTGTGCAGACTTGTACGGTACCGATTACAACTAATCAAATTACTTGTAATCGATTAGTTTTTAGAGTAATGTCGTAGTCATTTCAATTAATTTATTAGAAAGTAATCGCAAGAGTAGTCTGGTTACTTTTGGAAGTACCAAAATTACTTGTAACCGTCGCTATATTTTTCTTCCCTTTGTAATAGTGCCCTTTTTGTTTCTACGAGTTCCCTATCGAGCAATGCTCGAACAACGTCTCCGAAAGGAAAAAGGTTTACCGAAATTCATGAATGAGAAGTTTGTAAGTGGGTGATTCTAATTCATTAATGGACACTACACAACACCCTTTTTCAAACTGACAAAAAAATCTGTCGTAGTTTTTTCCGAGTAAGGCGCAGCTCGTGAATAATGCGCAAAACTTCCTTTCTTTTTCTCGATGCGACTACGCGTGTAGGTGATGTTGGACGAAATCCTCGCTTGTGTTCGCGTTCACATGGACCGTGTAAGCGCTGCTTTGTCTGACGGTGTTCGCGTGTTTGTTGCGCGCAGGCGCAAGCAAGACGAGGTCCAGCTCCTCGAACACGCCATCGGGCAGCGCTGCGCCGAGCTGCGCAAGGTGGGTGGCGAGCAGCTTGTGGCCACGTGCCAGATCTGTCTCAAGACCAAGTTCGCGGACGGCATCGGCCACATCTGCAACTACTGCGACATCCGGTGCTGCGCCCGCTGCGGCGGCAAGGTGTCCCTGCGCTCTTCCAAGGTCATCTGGGTCTGCATCCTCTGCCGCAAGAAGCAGGAACTGCTCATCAAGACCGGACAGTGGGTCCACAGCTCCCAGCTCATGCCGCAGGCTCCGGGCGGTCAGGACGCGTCCGCGGCTCGGGCCCGGAGGCTCGAGCGAGCCCACTCGGCCGAAAAGGACAATTACACGGCGCACGCGGCGCCTCCGGGCCTCATGCGACTGGTGCACGGCGGAAGCCTACAGAGGATCGGCAGTCTCCACGGCAGCGGGACAGGCGGCGGCGGCGGCGGCGGTGGTCGAGAACTGAGGCGACAGTACTCCTCCCAAGACCCGCCTTGTCAAGACCGCCGCCTCTCCGGCTGTGACCTTCAAGAGCGGCACCTAAGGTCCAGGGAACCGTCGCCCGAGCGGAGGTGGGGCCCCGTCGGCCGCATCCTCCAGCAAACCCCTCTTCAGCAGCAGCCGCCTCAGCCGCTCGCGCAGCAAGGCATGCTGCCCCCTCATCTTCAGCAACAGTCCCAGCTACAGCAGCACCCGCAGCAGCAGCAACAGCAGCTGCAGCAGCATCCCCAGCAACAGGTTCAGCTTCAGCAGCAGCAGATTCAGCATCAGCAGGTGGTCGCTCAGCAACAGCAGCAGCAACAGCAGCAGCAGCGTCGCAAGGTGGAGTCCGTGGTGCGCAACGACTCGCTCAGTTCGGATCAGTCTGAGTGCGTGCGGCCTCCGCCCCCGAAGCCCCACCGACACAAGCGGGGTCGGAAAATGCGGCAGAGGTCGCTGAGCTCGTCCGACGACGAGGTCAGGTCCACTCCAGACTGCTCCAGCTGCGAGGAAAGTGAGAGCGTGAGCGAAAAAGGTCAGGCCATCCGTCTTGGCTTTCTCTCTCTCTCCAATGATTCAGTTCCGTTCACACAGTCTTGGTAGCTTACTTTGCGTTACGTACGCTTAGGCACTGCGCGTTCACACTGCAGGCGCGTTCACACGAGAACGTTCGCTTACGTTTTCTTACGTTAGGTTTTAAATCGCCGGAGCATCCATCTCTCGGAATGTCGCGTGCAAGGCTGTAACTTGTTGCTTCGCTTCATCCGAAGCCCAGGTGATCCGGTGACTTTCAGCGTAAGCAGAGGTAAGCTTCCGTAAGAAAACGCGACGTAAGCGAGCGGTGCTGTGTGAACCGGCCTTTCAGGGCTGTCCATAGAGGTTACGATTCGCTCTGGGTTGTGCCGTGCACGTTTTTTTTGTTGGACGGAAGTGGGTAGGCTTCTTTTCTCCTCTTCCGCTGTCCGCTTCGGACCAATTTTTGTTGGGAGACGAGCGACTCTCCGCTCGCGTCCTTGGAAGAGGTTCGTGACGTGGGCCGCTGTCAGTCCCGAATTTCCCGAAAAGAAGGGAAGCAGATCATGGCGAAGGCCAGGCGGAAAGTCGCGCTGTATCGCGTTTTAGGGGCTTGATTGACGTCTTCGCTAAAATCGTACACTCGCGCCGAATCGAATACGATTCTTTTTTTCATTTTGATCGCGCACGTATTGAATCGTGTCCTGTGTGGACAGTTCTTTAGTAAGGCCGTAGTGCTGAATATTATATGTCAAGTGAAGAGGAGAAGGAGGTGGGGGGGGGGGGGGGGGACTTAGATAGCAATGCTGCGCGAGCGTTTGGCTGGGTCTTATGTTTCAACGTTTAAACACGAGTCTTGGCCGACCGCTGGGTCATCACTCGGGTCCATTCTGTCTTCCGCTCGCCTCTCGTAGATGACGTCAGCACTAGGGCCTTGCTGTGTAGGTGGTGTTCTCTTAGTTATGTCTACAGACGTACTGCTTCGTTTTCCTCCGTCTTCACTTTGTACGTGCAAACACATGTTTTTTTTTTTTCTCCTAGGGTAACGATAACTGCGACTCGAGTATAGGGTGTTTTCACCGACGTCATTTCGTCCGACATTTTGTTGTTATGAGTATTCTGGAGCGTGCAGAAAACGAGCCCTTCGAAGCTTCACATCACACGCTCAAATCGGTAGTGCAAAAAAAAAAAAAAGTTTCATCACGCTGACATCTAACAACAAAATGTCGGATTAACGTTGTGTGATGACAGCCTATAAGTTCTTGTTGAAAGCCGAGATAATCAGAACGTTGTCGTTTACGTAGTTACGCGATAGAGATAAGTGTGCCGACTTGCTCGAAATGTATGAAACGTCGTTTTCTCTGAGACGGCCTGCAATAGGTTTTTGCCAAGGCTAGGACATGAGTGCTTGGGCGCTGCACGCTGCAGGCGCTCGCGTCGGACATTTGATTATACTGTGGTCCTTAGAAAGACTGGCTAATATTCCGTCCACTGCCCCCCCCCCCCCCCCACACACACACACACACTCTTTGGTGACTGCTCCAGAATAAAAGCGCTTGGCGGCGCTGTGAGCAATCGCCGTGCTAGAATTTGGCAGTTACCAAACCACAAAAGAAATCTGGAGAAAATATGACCGACACAAACAAATGAGCACTTCGCAAATGAGATATTTACACCTCCGGGCCTTCAGAAGCATTAGCCGTCCTTGCCTTGCTGATCTCTCGTTGTTCACTGTTTTGGTGTAAAAAGGGAAAAATAGGAGGATGAACAACTTGAGTATGCTTGTTGTTATCGTCGCTGCATGCACCTCGCGGCCGAACAAATGTAAATCTGCCCTTCCTAAGAAGGCAGACATCAATGCTTTTCCATTAAGCTTCTTGAGACTGAAAAAAAAAAAAAAAAAAAAAAAAAAAGGTAGTGTGTGAGGAAGGTAGCAGCTGCAATAGCACACCGTGTGCGCGCAGCGCCCCCTGCCTTTTCATCCACTGCGCTGCCATCTGTCTGTGTGGAGACAGGCGTTCGAAAGGGAGACTAGCCGGTCTTTCTAGGGACCATAATTATACTGCGGTATCGAGGGAAGCGTTACCGATTTAGGTGCTGTATTTCAAGGTAAGGGGAGAGATAAAATAAATGGGACAAATATGTTTCGAACCTCAAACCTTCGTAAGCTAAACGAAGCCACGCGTCCCAGCCTTGAGCCAGAAGAATTATTGGCTTAATGCCTTCATGTTTAATGAAGTAAATATCGCCTGCGTTCTAAGAAATATTGCCGAGCATTCTGTTGAAAGCTGGAGGTTTCAGAGAGGATAGAATGGCTAACGTTAGGTATTAAATGCTACTAAAGTGACCAGAGCATAAAGGCTCGTTCACACACTTGCCTTGGAACCTCCTAAAATCTCTTACAACGAGAATACACACTGGCGCCATCTACTGGGTTGCAGTGCAAACTGGTCGGTCCGGCGTATTTTATATTTCTCTCACGCATTATCCTTTCTTTCTTGGCTCGAAAAACTTTTGTCAACGTTATAAACGAGCCTTTCTTATAGGTAATAAGTACTTTTGACCTCGGAAATCCCACAAAACCTTGGCTCATGTGAAATGCAGTTCCAGGGACACCGCATAGATGGCGTCAGAGTGCCATTTTGTTTAAGGCCACTGTGAGTATGTTCTATCGTCCTAAGAAATTTTAAGAGGTTTCAACAGGTCTCGTCTCTCTCGGTCGTACTCGGTTGCAAGAGTGTGAACGGGCCTTTAAAACCGGGTGCCTTGGAACCCCTTAAAATCTCTTACAACAAGAGGACACATTGGCGCCATCTATTGGGTAGCAGTGTAAACTTGGTGGGCCGGCATATTTTCTACTTTTCTCGCGCATTAGTTTTTTCTTTCTTGGCTCGAAAAACTTTTGTGAACGTTATAAAGGAGCCTTTCTCATAGGTATTACGCATATTTGATCTCGGAAATCCCGCATAACCTTCGCTCTTGTGAAATGCATTTCCAGGGTCACCGCATAGATGGCGCCGGAGTGCCAGTGTGTTCTCTCGTCCTAAGAAATTTTAAGAGGTTTCAACAGGTCTCGTCTCTCTCGGTCGTACTCGGTTGCAAGTGTGTGAACGGGCCTTAAGAACCAGAGTCTTGACTGAAAAAATAAGCTGGCAATATTTGACATCTAAGATTGGCTAAGATTGCCTCATTCAGTCCCAGTACTTTGATATAAAATTTAATATCAGTGTCAAGCTGTACAACGCAAGAAAGTGACATGGTCGGAATGCAGCTTGTTCTTTGGCTTTTTGCCATTAATTATGTTTAGCTTCTAAAGCCTTGTAAACGAGTTGACTAAAAGAGAAACAGATGCTTGGGATTTTCATTTTCCGGACGGTTTTGCTTTGTACTATTTTTTGTTATCTTAATTGGACATTTCTCTTTAATAAAAAAATTCCGGTTCCTGCAATTATTTTGTCGTTTTAAGCCTTCGTTTCAGACACGCGTCCCTTATCTATGTTCACGAGAAAATGATAAAACAACCGTAAAAGTAAACGCCATCGTGCTTACTTTTTTGCTGCTTATGTTTAAGTTTTACTGTCATCTTCCTTTCCCTTTTCTTCTGTCGTGGTCCTATTCTTTCCACCCGCTACTTCCTCTTCTCCATCTTTTCGTCCCTACTGTATCTTACGCGTATGTTTTGGTGTATACTTCTTCGGGAGCATTTTTCAACCTTCCTTCCCGGCATATTCCCTCTGTCATTTTCACTCTTTTCTTTCATTCTCTCCTCATTTCTACGTTTCTTTTTCTTTCCCTACCGGTCTATCTAGTCTGAAACATGATCACGAGAAAATGTAAAGTAGAGAGGAGAAACCTCAGGAAGACTGCTCTAAAATATTTTGCCTCCGCGTTCGCTGTATGCGCGCACACACATATACGCGAACACGCACACACTACTCATACAACGCGCACACACGCATACATACACAAGTACACGTATACAACGCGCACGCACAGCCACACACCATACACACATACACGCATACACGCACATACGCACAGATCACATACAGATGCGTGCACACACGCACATAGACACGCACATGCGCCCACACACCAGCAACGGATGCCCTTTCGTTTCTATTCTTGCGCTTCCCTCTTCCCCAAATTTCTCCCTCTCTCCCTTGCTGTTCACGCTTTCCTTCTCGCTCTCCAGTTCGCGCTCTCTGCCTCTCCACTTTAATATTAGCGGCGGACCGATCAATAGCTGCAGGCCGGCGGAAAAGGTAGCCTCCGAGGAAGGGTTGAGGAGGGGGAAGAAAAGGCTAGGGAAGGGAGGGGAAAACGATGGGGAAGGAAGAGGGAAGAGAACGGGGAGAAAGGACAAGCTTGGGGAAGTCGAGGAATGGGGAAAGGGCAGCGTAGGGAGGAGGACGGCCGTAGGGGAAGGAGGACTGCCGTATTGAAGACTGAGGGAATGAGCGGTAGAGCTCTGGGGAAGGGAAGGAAGAGAGAAGAAAATTTGGGGATGAGGAGAAAATGGATGAGAAAGGGGAAACTGTCCCGGATGCTGCGGCGGCGGATCGGAGTGCGGGGCTATTTTTAGCCCGCCCGCTGGTAGCTGTGTGTGGGCTCTGTCTGGCTTCAAGGACGATTCGCTGCCGCGGCCGGTCTCTGTCGTTGCCGCCGAAACAAGCCCCCTTTGACCCTTTCCCCAATTTCCCATCCTCTCCCGTTTTTTTTTTGTTGGACTTGTCTCTCTCTTCTTTTTATTATTATTGTTTCTTTTAGCGTTGTCCCTGGACAGAGTTCGCGTCTGTCTATTACGTGCGCGTTAAATGGGCACACAAGGCTCTCCGCTATGTGCAGTAGTCATGTCCGAGGCCTGCCTTCGTGTGTTTGCTCCCGCGTCTTGGAAAACTCGGCCGAAATTTGACGTCTCGTTCGGTTTGCTCTATTTGTTGACGCTGCAAATGCTTTTTTTTATAGTGTGTGCGCGCGCGGGTGGCGTCCGCGGGTATTGCGTACGCAGGTGTGTTTCCGTCGGATGGGTGCGCGGTGTGTATCGCGCGTGCCCGTAGAAATGCTCTTAGGAGGTGGACTCGAAGTCGTCCCGTCGCACTTAGGATAGGTCAATAAAAAGGGGCATTTACGCGGGTGCAAATAGAGCCGAGTGTGTCCGAGAGGCGGACTTATGGTTTACGTATTTTAGATATATCTTTTTTTGTGCATGATAAAATTTTAAAGTCTGTTGCTTTTAAAGAAGGGAGGGAGAGAGAAGCAACTTTTATTTGATCTGTTTCGAAAGAACAGACTCTTTGTTAGCTTGCAAAGCATATACTTTTTGCAGCGAGGGTACGCAATTCTTCTCGGAGGACGACAAGTTTTTTCTTCTATTTTGGTAAGATCTCGGGGGCCCACTCTGTATAGGCGACATATGGGTGGTGTCATCTTGACGTGGTTTTTGTTAGATTGTACACATAAGCGGCGATAACAGTAAATGGAAGACTTTAATTATTTTGACGACGATTACCGGGTATACTAGTCCGAGCTTACAAAACGCGCATCACAGAGCAAGGTTCGTGTTTTGCTCGCGCCGGTGCAAGGTCTGCAAGCTTGTGCAGTCGCGCAAGCACCTTAGATGAGGTCTTTTGCACCTGTGTTAAACGCAATCCAAACCAACGCATTTTTTTTCAGCGCGCGTACGCCGTGCGCTTTCCGGAAATTGCGTATTTCGTGACGTTCTTACTGTTTCCGGGGTGCTTTCTGGGTCACAACCGTGCCCGTTGGTTAGGGGGGTGCGGTTTCGGGCGTGCGGAGAGCATCTGCGTCAGACGGCGAAGAAACCCGTAGCCGGAACTAGTGCCCTCCACCGATTGGCCGGGAGAGGAGCGCGTTTTCGTGCGCGTTCACAAAAAGTTGAAATCATCCAACTTTCTTACGCGCGTCCGGAAGGTGCAAGGAATCAGTGCGACGTCACGAAATACGCAATTTCCGGAAAACGCCCGGCCTACGCTCGCACAAAAACGGGTTGGTTTGGATCGCGCTTTAGCCTCGTTTAGTCTCATATAATTTTAGAAGCATTTGCTTAGTGGTGGCATTTTGCATTGGAAGGGTTGTAGTAAGATTACAAAAACTTTTTTTAAATCTTGGATTTGTAAAAGCCAGTTTGTTGTCTAGCCTGGCGTATAGTCGTGGCACGTGGGTACGTTAGTAGGGATATGAAGGGAAAGAGATGTGCCAGAGGAAAAGAGGGGAACGACGTTTCGACCAAACGATCTTCTTCAGGTATGCTAAGAGGGGAGATGACAGATCAAAAAAATATATACAACCTATATACAAAAGGCAAAGATGACACGAGAGTATAGTCGTGGTACGTGAGTGGAGTGTAAAACCACAGACTCATACTGCTGATACTCTATGCTCCGAACGTGCCTGAAGACAGGGGAGCAATCCCTCCCTTCGCTCCCCGAGCTGCGTGTCATTACATGCAGCTCGGGGAGCAAAGGGAGGGATTGCTCCCCCGTGACGGTGTTTTATGAACGATGTGACAGGAGTATATCATACAGTGAAGAGACACGTCTCAGACAGTGTCGTTATTTGTATATGGCGTGTTAGCAGTGCAATCGCGCGACTAAACGCCGCAGCCTGCGGGGAGGAAGCAAAATAAAGAGAACGTAATACTCGGTCGAACGACAGGTATTTTGATTGTGTGTTTGCCATCGAACCTATATAAAGTGCACGTGAAAGCACACAAAAGCGCGCGAGAAAGCAAATTCTACAAGGCGGCCGGTTAATGCGCCAAGAAAACAATTCAAAATGGCACCTAGTTTTGTCGTTCCGGAACGTGTATTTTACGGTACCATTTTGTTTCACCAAATGTCTTTTAGAATCGAGCATATTTCCCTGTTTTCAATAATATTTTTATTTTATTAGTTTCGATTGACGAGTGTCACGTTGCGCTCGACACCGACGCCGCTTTCGTTATTACCCGAATGTGACTTCGCGAATTGAAGGTATCGAAACTCGGTAATATGGAAACTAAGCGGTTTAAGGGACCAGTTTCTATAACGAAGTTTGCTATGCTTCGTTTCCGGCTTAAGTCCAGACGTCAAAAGCAAAAGTCACTAAGCCTTTTCTGTTTACGGCTGGTTCAGCGATGATAGAACACGCGCAGGAACACGATTGGTTCCTTGTTCTCGTAGCATCGGCTGCGTCTGGATTTAAAGTGAAATGAAGTGTAGTGCGTAATGTTTTCAAACTTATTCCTTCATAGCACCTGGCATTTAAGGCTGGTTCACACAGCACCGTTTTCTAACGTTACGTTATGTTAGGATAGCTTAAGTACAAGTCACCGGGATGACATATGTACTTCGTAATAAGCGTGGCTACCAGTTCACGGAGATAGTCTGACGCGCTACATTCGAGACACGAATGTTTCGGTGACTTATACATGACGTAAAAAAAAAAAACAAAAAAAAAACACACGTAAGAGCACAGTGCTGTGTGAACCGGCCTTAAGTTTGTGTCTGTTCACGCGTATTACAGTGTGTGTGTGTGTTGTAGGATTGCCCAAGAATATATCTACAGTCCTAATTGCGTGCTTTTTCGAGAGCAAAGCATAGATCGGACACGTGTACCCTTTAAGTATTCGGCCGCGGCTCGTGTTGTCACCGATTGGTCACGTAAAACTTGCAGCGCTTCGGCCTGCGTATGCGCGGACGGTTCGCGCGAATTTTATTTCTGCGCACGTTCTGGTGTGTGGGAACACGCTCTGGTGTCTGTAAACAGGGTGTTGGTCTATTTTCTCGGCGGGAGGAGTCCTTTCCCGCGCTGTCTGGAAGAGACGACGCGGTTGCTGTATTCACGTCTTCTTATTCCTCCAACGCTGCTTTCTTGCTGTTCAGGCGAGGCGGAGGTTTTCAATCGCACGTGGAAGCAGCGGGAAATTCTCGATGCCAAAATGAAAAAATTCCTTTCGGTGAGCCCACTGCCTCTACCCCGGTTCCCCTTTCCGTCCCTTCTCCCGAAAACACCCTCTTCCTCTCAAAAGAAGAAAAGAAAAAAATAACGACAGAAAGCACACCAGAGTAATTTTTCACTCGTTTCTAGGACTTCTTCCGCAAGCGATGTTTTCTTCGCCTTCGTCCCTCCCTGCAAGAGTGGCTTCACCTAACGTCACGTTTCCCCACTTCCCTATTTTCGGTTCTTTATCTTCCCTATGTTCCCCTTTCGTTTTTACGCGTGTATTTTTTTTTTTCGGCTTACCGGCGTCGTCTGTTGATGTCGCGGTTTTTTGCTTTGTTTTTTGTTTGCTTGTTGTTTGTTCTTGTTTTTCAGTCGGATTGTGTATGTCTGTGTGTGTATGTCTGTGTTCGTGCCTGCGTTGGGCGCATATATTTATACGTACTATGCGGTTTGGTGTTCGACGCACGTTTGATAAAGTTGTGCTGTAAGATAACGCCATCTTTTTTATCTTTTATTTTACAGGGTATGTTTTGTTTTGTCATCATGTTATGTTTCGTTGTCCGGTTTTAGTTTCCTTTTTTATATATAGATAGCGCGGATATAATGAATTTAATATGTTTATACTATATGTCAAAGTATACGCACGTTTTCTATGAAAAAACAAGAAAACAAAAACAAACATACACGGCACGGTATGCAGCATACTGATTACTCGCGCCGGCGAGCTGGTTTATGTGTACGAATTATGCTCGTATCTCACAGCGCGTTCTATATTCAGGTACAGAATGACTGGCAGGATCGCTCGGAGTGCATTCCTGTCCACGCATTCGCGATCTAGCTCGATGCGCATCGAAATACGAAACGGCCTAAAAACACCCAACACAGTGCAGCTACTTCAGGCATGCGAAGATATGATGCCTCCCCACACACACACACAATCAAACAAATACACACAGCCGCTGCTTCTTTGCACGATGCACTACCCATTGTGCGTTTATATACACTACGGTTGCCGGCCTAGGATATGGTAAATTTATTTTCAACCGTTATCTTCTGCTGCCAGCTAAGACTGAAAATACGATACCCCACCGCTCGGTGGCGGGCTTGAACAATAAAATCCTTCACACGCCTTTTTTTTTACCGGTCTCGGGATATGTCGAGCAAGCCATGGCTTGCATGTAACGTGGTGCGGCACGTCTGCTGCTATAGGTGCGCGCTAAGCAGCAAGGCCAGCACATAGCCGCTGATTCGGCGTCGATGCAAGTCGTGTGTAGTTAGACGTTGGGACGTTTGCGCATCGTGCAGGTGACTGCGCTTATCCGCACGCGGTGGCCGGCGGCGGCGCTCTGTCGGGCGCGGCGCACTCGTGCGCGGCCGTGCCCAGCAAGGCGGGCTGTCTGGGCGGTCCGGGCCACCCGCCGTTCACGGGAGGCAAGAAGACGGTGCGCTTCAATCGAGACCACGGCGGCTGCAGGACGCCCCTGCCCGACGCCCTCACCAAGGACTCCGGCATTGATACCAGTAGTAGTGCCACTCTGAACGAGGATCTGTGCCTTAAGGTACTCGCCGCCACTGCCTAGGCCTTAAAGACACACTTTCCTTTTACTTGTGTGTGTGTCTTTTACACATTTTGTTATGTGTGACATGCACGCCTTGGTGGTGGCAAAGTGGTTTTAGGTGGTGGTGGCTTTAGGAAAATTTGACGTAGATTAGTTGCTTGCTCCTTTTAGCAAAAGCGATGCTGGCCTCTTTTGACTTTGGTGGCGTAGTGTGAGATTTGCAGCGCACCTTGGCTTTGGAAGCTTTGTTGCAAAACTAATGTGAGAATAGGTAGCCAGACTATAGCAGCGCACAATTCGTCATTTATAATAATAATAATAATAATAATAATAATAATAATTTTATTTGCACGTATAGAAGGGCACAGGTGGTGGTGTGCGAGGCTGGACAGATAGGTGAGAACCCTTACGCAGAGCGCGTGCCAGTCCGCCACCACATGCGAAAAACTATAACATAAACGAACTAGTCACACCTAAAAGACGTAAGCACTGTGAAAAGGTTGGGAAGGGGGCGGGGGTAGTGTTGATTATGAGGATGCCAATGACTAAAAGAGAAAACACACTTTCATTCGGTGTCTTGTCCCGGTAAGTCCGTGACTTTCCAAGACGTTCAAGTCTTGACGCCTCGAGGTTCAAATATTAACGCCTTGACCTTCAGGTCTTTACACCGTGGCGTTCAGGTCTTACCTTGACGTTCAAGTTTTAACGTTTCGAGGATCAGGCCTTTACACCTTTACGGTGAAGTTTGAACGCCTTGAGGTTCAGGTATTTACGCATTGAAGTTCAAAACTTTCCAAAATAAGATGTATTTTCTTTTTTCAACCTGTCAATTTTTTTTATCATCTTGTGCGACGGAGGATGTAGCACATAACCTGTGCCAAAGCGACATACGCTTAGATCACCGGCTGACACTTTTAACAAATTATCGTTCTTGGGTACGAAGATAAATACTGGCATTCATCAAACCGAACGAAGCAGGAATGCAAGTCGGGCCACGACCGTTGGTGCCAAATGACCGTTTCACTATCTGGACGTAAGGCTAATCAGGATTGTCTGATTTTTTTTTTTTTTTTTGTAAAATGACTGTATTTAATTTTCGCAGCTGCTGGCAGTTTTTAATCGGCGAGGAATTCCCATGTATTAGTTCAGGCGTCATCACGGGTGTCGCACCCTCGGTGGTGCTTTGGAATCGCTTAAACTTTGTTCGTACACGGGGCCACTGAAGCACTACGTCGAATGAAACCAGCTTGCGCTAGAAGCATCAGTGTAAGCTGACCTTTGCGAGCGCTTTTATAGATGGGCTGCAAATTACTTTTTGTTGTTGTTTATTTTAGGCAAAACGCTCGTTGAAAACAAGATAATTACTTTAGAGGATCAGTACTTGATGTAGTATAGTAGGCTTTAGGCTTGGGTTTGGCTTTTTCTTTTTTTTTTTGTTTGTTTTTCTAGCGAGTTGCATTTTTGTGATTTATGTATAACTCATGCTAGTAGTTTATGAAGTTAAAGTTCGAATTGTTTTTGTTTTATATTCTGTCGTAGCTAGAGCCTCGCTGACGAGTATCTTTCACCGTGGTTTGGTACAAACTTACCGGTATTAGCGTAGTGTCAGTGGACTATTCACACTCAATGAGACACACACTGATGTAGCTTTACAAGGGTAACTGCGTTTGCAACTCAGCGTTTACAAACCCGTTTGCCTTAGCAAAGGAAGTTTTCGTCAGAAGTTCTGGATTTCGTGTGGCAGCCGATGAGCTACCGACTCGTGAGAAGTTTTGCGAATTAAATTACAGTAATCTACATCGGTAATGCCACTTAGCGAGACGGAGAAAAAAAAAACACCTTAGACGTTCGAGGCTTTGTCTTACAAATATCGATTGACTGTAAAGTCTCGGACGTTAAAGTTCGTTTGAAACGGCCGGAACATCCAGCTTCTCCTTACTATGGACCGCAGAAAACGCTGCGAGCCATTGAAGTCAATCCAATGCTGTAGGTTAGTGTTCCGTGATATGTTCACAGCGCTGGATTGTGGTTCGTATGATTCGTAGCGTCTGCTGCAGTCCAAGTATAATTTAAGATAGGCCGGCTGCGAAGGGTGTCGAAACCAGGCCAGAGCAGCGTTACCGATTGCGAAATTTGCATGACAAATTGCCCGCGGCCCCCGATTCCGCTAGTTGGCCGACTGCAGCCTAGCGCGTGTGCGAGACGGCGGATGACGTCACCACGGGCTTTCCCCTCGGAACCGGTCTGACGAACTGATTCGAGGGATCAGAGCCAGTATACGACTGCGTGCACACGTCGTTGTTCTATCGTGTGCCAGCGAAAGCTTTCGTCTTTTTTTGGAAGGATACATTTTATACGCTTAAACGTTGCGTCATTTGTGCTCCCCTGTATCGACTTTGAGTTGAAGTGGCGATACAGGCGAGTTTGTTTGTGAGTAGAAAAACAAATTCAGCGCTCAAAAAAAAGAAAATGAAAATACGTAAACTGAGGGAGAAGTACACGAGACGAGCACTTTTTTACTTAAATAAAACGGATAGATGGGATCAGCGGACACCGCTTTATCCACTGGAAGGAAGATAATGGCAACGTTTTATCCTTTATGAATCCACCGATGACCTTCAATTGTGCTTCAGCAGCGTGCGTTCGTTCCTAGGGTGCAAACTGAGCTCAGCTGCGGTTTGCAAGCATAAAAGTCTACACACTCGTTCTCTGGTCATTAAACTCCGCCATTAAACCGGTCGACCCTTCTTCGGCAGCTCTTCTGATACGACCGTGCTACGCTGGTGCGTTAATCCCGCAAACTTACCAGTTTTATGCTTCTTTTAAGACCATACGGAAACACGTTTTTCTGTCCCCCCCTCCCCTTTCTGCTAGGAGCGCGTCCTGCCTTCGATGATGCTCTGGTTGGCCGCTTGTTCGGACATCGTGCTCCTCATCCAAGTTATTCGTGACCTTCCGTTATCAGCAGAAGTTGGAAACGAAGACATACATAGTCCCGATCTGAATACCGCGGGCTTGGTGGTTGATGAATTGTAGTATTTACACTCGATGTTACTTTAAAGTAGTCCTGGAGCAAAATGGAGCAGAAGCGATGGCAAGGCCTACCTGCGCTCCCGTATATATCCGCTACTCTAGGGACGTGTAACAGAGTACACCGTTGACTATACACCGACACAAAACTGCGCAACGACTGTTTTGCTTTTACTTGACTTTTCTGTTAAGTTTCGCACTCACCTTGCGCGGCGTATAGATATTTCACCCGCATGAGACTGCACGTTCTGTGGCCTGCCTGTGTGCTTGCTGACTATTCTGCTAGACTGCATGGGAGACTGGCATGCGTGTGTCCTGCGGCCCAACTGCTGTCGCTGTCAACTTAAGAAGCTCGGGGCGTGGCGAGTTCCGTGCCTCCTACGGCTCCGCCGCCAATGGGAGTGCGACAACAGCTCGTAAGGACGACGAAGAGCCAATCACGAGGCGTAATCATTATGGGCCACGCCCCGTGCTTCATAAGCTACGACTGTAGAGTCATTTTCTGGCGTGCTGAGGGAGAGAGGTGTTCCGGGAAAGGGACACGTCATTTTTGCGAGTGCATATCTGGGTGTCTCGTTTGTGACACCCTGTGACGCGAGTGTTTGTTTGTACGTTTGTCGGCAGAGCATCTGAATAGATTCTCTTTGGCTGAGATGTAGACGGTTTAGGTGGGTTCGTGACGTTTTGTCCCGGAATGTTTTGTTTGAAAAAAATTAAGGTAATTTTTTTTTTTCTCACGGCTGTCTGATTGTGGCCATTAGAAAGAGAAGTGTTCATATGTTTTGCCTACTTAACAAGTGTGGCGAGTGTATTTGTTTAATCGAGGTGTATCATTACTTTAACAGAAGTGTCGTGCGTAACCCCCTTTTTTCTTCTCACTCTTGCAAGAAACTGTTACTCAATAATGAAAGTAAACAAAGGCGTTGAAATGATGCCAAGGGAACTGTATAATTTTAGATTCCTTTATGTTGGAAATAAACAACTTATCTTTATCAATCTCCGTTCAGTTTCAAAGACACTTTTTGTAGACCCTGTCTACCCGTCTTGGGGTAGTGGTTCAGTTCAATGTAATAACTAGGTGCTGCTTATTGCGAAAAGAGTTAAAAAAAAAGGATGTCGAAGAAAGTTTCATTCAACATACAGTGGAGTAGCGGGACTTGTGTTTTTTATGACTGTGTGACTAAATGAAGAAAAGAGAAACCGGTGGCTCAGTCGGTTGGTTGTATTTAACTAAACATTACGATTTCTAACATTAGTTTGTGACGGTCCGACGTGACAACGTTATGTAGCACTCGCTTATGATAACTTAAATGTTGCTTTCTCATTTGCCTTCAAATGATTGCTGAACGTTCTTGTAAGTTAGTGTGTAAATTAATGATCACGATTCTATTGATATCGAGTAAGTCTCACCCTTTTTCGCAAATACAAGCCGTTTAAAAGAAATCGGGTGGGCGGTCCTTCTGATTGTTTTATAAATTCCGAGTTGCGCTTTGAAAATTCCTCAGGTCAAACCGAACGTACAATACAGTTCTGAAGACATTCATCTCTCTACTCGCCCGGGCGAAAATGTTTACTCGAACGTTAATACTGTTTCGCACACAGCCCCCTACATCGTGCGTCCCGCCAAATCGCGTGGAAAGGCAGAACTCTCCTCACGCGAAGCCTGCATTGAAAGGTTTCGGCAGTTGCATATGGCGTTCGTTGTCAGTTCCACGTGTTGTTTTTCTCAAGTACAACTCTGTTGGACGTGTTCAGGTTAGCGCGACTTCACGGTTCCTGGGCAGACGCGACGCTTTCTCCCGCTACGTGCCGAACAAGAAACGACGTCTGCGAAGCAAACCCTCCGATTCTTCGGCTCTTCGGTCGCTGAATCGCCTCCTGATCAGATTTAGCTCACGGCGTCTACCGCCTGTCTGGCCCCTGGCGTAGACCCAAAACTTTGTCCTCGCTTTCATTCGGATAGACACAAAAATAGCTCCTGTAAAACTAGCTTCTTCGTTTCGATTTTTTTTTTTTTTTTTTGTGTCCGTTTTGTTGGTCGCAGCTCGTTTGCTACGCGAGGCTTTGAAGGTCCCGGCATACGGCGTCGATTTTCGGCGAGGCAGACAATCACCGCAGTTGCCTCCTCTCCTAAGCCGAGAGGGGAATGTTTAAACGGGTAGAAACAAGAACGGAACAAAAATGAAAGGCGCCAAACGACCCTGTCGGTCTTGCGATTATTTCGATGTTTTGGATTCGCGTATTACCGTCCTTGTTGTTCACGTCGTCGCTTCATGGACAGGTACCGCAAGTTCTACAGACACCGACTTTTTGTTCGCCAACGAAATTGGAAATATTTCACAGTATCGTTTGTTTGCAAGCATGGTTTTTCTGCCACCAATTTGTAATCCTTCAAAACTTAAAAAAACAAGTCGAGCGCGAAGATATTTGCTAGGTGGCGCAAGCTGCCACCCGATTACGAGGGTTACGCCGTACGCCCCCATTCATCCATCCATCCATCCAAGTTACTAAGTCGCTGTAGCTCACATGGAAGCTTCGTCCGACCAGGTCTGGCGTGGCGGAAAGCAAAAAAAAAAAAAAAAGCGATCGAATTTGACCCGACGTTCTGCAGCCGCGATCGATGAAGTGGGCTTGGACGGGAAGGGAAATGTATCTTCCCCCTTTCCTTCCCCCTCTTCCTGGTTCTTTCTTTCTCTTTTCATCTTTTATCGTCTGATGATTGGGTTTTGGAGGCACACTGGCGTGTCGGCACGCCCGTATATCAGTATTAGAGCCACTAAATATGCTACGCTTGTAGAGTAGCGCCACCCCGCTCCCAATTATCTCATGGGCGTCGCCATTTTGGTTCTCTTGGGCGCCGCCATGTTTGGTGCTTAGTGCAGAATGGGCTCAACTGGCGATTTTTACCATTTATACATGTGACTTCCTGAACCTTAGATACTGTGTCAGAAAGCATGGACGATATAAATTTTCTCTGTCGAGGTCTGTTCTAACATTTCTGGAGGACGGAAGAGCATTTCCTGGGATTTCAGATAAAGCTTCAGACAACTGGCGACAAAAAGTTTTAGCACCAAGACGAGAGCAGGGCTCTGACGGTAGTCAGAAAAACGCAGAGGTGGAGCAAATTCGCTTAGAAGGGCGAGGGCATGAATCATACTTTTGGTGTCTAGGCTAGGTGGCGCAAGCTACCGCCCGTTCTAAAGGGTACAGCCATTAGTTTTCATCCATCCATTAATCCATGGCTTAAATGTCGTTAATCTGAAGATTCACTTATTTAGTGGTCGTAATCACTATGTCTTTTGTGGAGCCGGGTAATTCACCAACTGTTTATATTCGTAACATCGTGCTGGGTACTCTGTCGCGATGCAAAACGGAGAAGTAGGTTCTTATGGGGGGGGGGGGGGGGGGGGGGGGGGTGGGGGTGGTTCTCGGAGGCCGTTGACATTCGGGGGCTGTCTACAGGAGTCGACGAAGTCTAGTTTTCGGATATTTTGGAGACAAAAATTGTTGGGTCGCAATCGTTCCAGTTGCTTATTCCAAATAAAATTAATGGTTGACGAATTTTAAATGAGCTATCGCAGCTTTTGGAAGCTGAGTCCAGCTGTTGAATCCTCCTGCAAGTAAAGGACCGCTTCGTATACGAAAGAGCTCCAGACTGACTGGCTCCTTGATCTTTTGCTTCTCTACGAAGCCTTTCTTTCTGCGTTTTTACGTAATTGCTGCGTATAGGTGACGTAATTGCTGCGTATAGGTGACGACCGCACACTAATTCAATGCACAAAAAAAGCTAGTTTAATTAGAAAAATCGCACTTCGTTGGAATCGCGGCAAGAAGTATAAAGGCTAATCCTAACCGAGGTGTGCTTACTTCGACTGTGGTTGTTTACTTTAGTCTACTACTACCCGCTTTCCACTTGCAGATTGTGCTCAGAATAATGAACTAGGGGAATCCGTTTAGGCTGGTTGAGATTAACTGTGCTCCGCTATTTTTGAATACTCAAGCGCGTGCCATCAATCTGGCAAGCTAAAAGTTACGGATTAGATCGTTCCAAGAAAACCGTTTCGTGGCCATATAACGCGAAAAAGACTTCCAATTCTGACGTCACTAATTTAACGCGAGGGCGCTGTAGTTTCGTTTTTGGGCGGTTTTGGCCATCGTCTCATTTCTTCGTTTCGTCACAAAGAGATAACAAAGGGACATTTGAGATAAGGTGGCACATTCTGTAGCCACTGGCAGGATGGGAACGGGAGACAAGTATTTTAGTTGTCCCGTCTCCAGCGCGAGCTTGCTACCTTCGAAAACGCTTCGGCGCTTCGCGATGCTGCGAAGGTGCACGCGCAGCCAAAATAACAACGGAAGGCACGAAGCGCCTGCTTGAAGCTTGGAATCCAAAAGAGACGCTTCGTACTTCGTGTCCTGTCCGAAAGTAAAATAAAACTCTTCGCAAAAAAACAACAACAAACAAACAAACAAAAAAGACAATTTTTCAAGTTTGCGCCTGCACGTCTGGCTTTCCCACATGTAAAGACCTTGTGCGGGGAAGCAACCGGTACAGGCGCGTGCGCTTTGCGTCCGCGACGCACCGCAACGCGTACGCGGGTTTCCCCAAAGAATCGCACCACGTGACGCTGCCTTAAGAGCGTGCTTCAGAAGGTTCTAAGTACCTGACATCGTCGTTTTATAGTGTCTCCAGTATAGTCAAAACTGAAGCCCGGTAATCACGTAGGGTGCACTTCTTTTTCATTATAGATTTGTTTAAAGACATTTTTGTAGTTTATTTTTTTGTTACACGTTTCGTCATTCTTGTCCAGCTCGCTTGCACCTTTGCATTTAATTGCATTATAATCATAACGTCGTACATGGTTTTGTTTTTGTATGGTCAATCTTGAGTTCGCTATGTAGAGAAATTTGGAAGGTAGGCTAAGCTAGTAGAAAGAGCTTAACAAAGAGCATCCTGAAAGCATCAAAATGGCAGCAGAGTATTTACTAAAAAGCAACTCCTTCAGCACTCAAAATGGTGTGTTAACAGCATCGTGGAAAGTTGTGGGATATGCACACTCTTACAAGCCCTCTGCCTCTACTTGGCCTAAATTTGCCTAGTTTAGCCTCGCTTTCATTCCTTTTGCACCATAAAACTTCTTAGTGATGACAACTTAGTTTGATGACTCGGGGCACAGCTTTGTTATTCTTCGCGTTCAGGTTGTGACTTGTTTAGAAAACCACGCAGTGAAAAGTGATATGGCTAATTCGATACCGACTGAGCCACCTAAGTCATGGAAGCTTAGAAACATCTGCTTTGATACACTGCGAGGTTGCATTTTGACACGTTGAAAATGTCAACTCCACTGAATGTTGCTATGCGAATCATGCTGATATGTGTAGTCGTGTTCTTTCTAATTTTTAGAAATCGCTCCCATCGCTAGACCCACATTTCTCTTATTCTTCGTTCCTAAAGGAGTTAGGCTTAAACTATATTGAATCATTGAACTAGTGTAACGAGTGTTAGCATTTTAAGTCTCTTGTTGTGAAGATCCAAAGAAGGCTAGCGTAGTTCCCACAGTACTGCAGCTTTGTACTGCTGTGAGAAGTTGTGACTTCCTCTCGCGCTTCTCATTCGCGCGCGCTCTCACGCGAAGGAAACGCCGAACGAAGCCATATGCGCATGCGCAAGTAGCGTTGGCAGCGCTGCAAAAACTATGCTAGCCTTTACAGTGTAACCAAAGTGGCGACGCAGCCAAGTTCAATATTTATCACAAGAAACATATTAATACAGCGTACAAAAAGACGCAGACTAACGAGAGAAGTACACAAGACGGGCGCCAAGCACACGGTTCTTTTACACTAGTGTAGAACAAAAGAGTTGATGCCGATTATAGCTCTGTATACATGGCTTGCACGTGACGTCGTCGCACTGTACCTATGGCCATTCCTATTGGTTCTTGCGGAGAAAAGCAAATTTGATGGTGCGCAATAAGTGCTGCAGAAGGTACGTGCGCAGTAGCAAAGTTCTTCACAATGGCAGATCATGGGACGTGAGTGCAAGCCATGTATAATAACGAAACCTGCGTATACAGTGCCAGTGGATGCGACTCAAAAACATGAGTTCCTATAATCTGTTTCATCGTATGATGGGCCGCAGCGGATGTTACGAGCTACTTCAGTCAATCCAGCGCAGCGAAAGTATTACTTGACTACGTGCTCCGCGAGTCGTCGCAGCGCTCCAACCAAAGATCACGTGACACTCGCATGGCATAGGAATAACTTCAATGGCTCGTAGCGTCCTCTACGGTCCATTGTCAGGTGAAATGGAGTCTAGGTAAATGTTGCGGACAGCCAGAGCAGGCGGTGTTGTCTGTGCTGTGGTACATGTGTTCCTCTGGTGCGCTTTGGCAGCACCCGGCGTCGTGGAAGCCCTCTGCGGACGGGACCCGGATGCTGGGCCACATGATCCTGAAGAAGAACCTGCAGGACGGCGGGGGATCGAGCGCGGCCATCCTGGGCCTCAAGGTGGTCGGCGGGAAGATCCTCGAGTCCGGCAAGCTGGGGGCGCTCGTCGAGAAGGTCAAGAAGGGCAGCATCGCGGACACCGTGGGACACCTGCGGCCAGGTGTGTCCTTTGGACTTGCGGGTGGAGAGCTATCTCTGGCCACGTTCTAAGGGAAGTCACGGTATCACGTCACGTGACATCGTGGTGTCAGATGCAACACTGTGATGCCACGTGATATCATGTGATACTCTGACTTTATGACATCACGTAATACTGTGACGTAATGTAGTGTCACAATGCCAGATGACATTACGGCCCGACACGAAAGACGCACGAGAAAATGCTGCGGCACCCGCCAAAAACGGGAAAACAAAAGCGGCAGTGTATTGTTAGTATTTATACCTGACATAGTTGTCCTACGTAGAATACGTTTCTAGGTTAGTGAACCTCAGTGCAGCTGTTTGTGTATTGAGACGTCATAGCACCGACTGATGAAATACCATTTGTTGTCGCTTTGGTCACGTGATCGTTTACGCCAGCCAATGGGAGCTAGGCGCTCCCCGCAAGGAAGCCTTTCTGAGGCGATGACGCTATTTCAGTGGCCACCAAAGTTCGACGTGTACTATAAGCCAACGAAACTCACGTGCCCACCAACTTCAGCACATGCATGGTGTTCCCGTAGACACATCATGTGACCACCATCACGCTGACAATGTCACTTCGATGTCACCTTTTTGTATTGGTCTTTTTCTATATGCCACCCCTATAAGATGTTCTGTGCTTTTCCACACTTCTGCATTTATGATGCTGATGTCAGCTTGATCATCTGGGGCTCTCAGCAGCAAGGGGGACCAACGTGGCTTAGTGTGTTAGTGCACCGCAGCTGGTAGCACGTGGAGCGAAACTTCACACTGTTCAACCGGGGGATCCTGGGTTCCATCCCTGCCCGTGCCCGTTCCAATTTAGATGAGCATCGTGCCAGTGCGCTGTCATGTCCCACTATTGCGTGATGCACAATAAAGGCCCTAGGCTAGCAGTCATACTGCACCGGGTTAATTTTTCATCTACAGAATGAGCCACTGTTGCCATATCACAATTGCAGGCCGACCTAACGTTGTTTAAATACGTATATCTGATTTACTTTTGCTTTTCTCTCGATAGCAAGTATGCCCTAGTGTGTAGACAAGTTGGTGAATGCAGGTCAAGCCTAAATTGTGAAAAGAAAAAGTGAACAAATTTGGGCTTTTTAACTTGATGTAGTGCAACACAATATATATTTTTTAATATCTGTGCAGTACGTGCAGCTTTGCTTTTAAATTTTTTTCTTGTTGGACAATATGACCGCAGTCGTCCGATTAAGAATTCTGACAGCCCACTTTTTCCATTAAAGGCCGACATGCACTTCGAGCTTTCCACTTTTGCCTGCGTCCTCCTTTCCTACATCCTCTCCACTTTTGACCCCGCCCCAACTCGGCTCCTCTCGCAGCTTAGGAGAGGGGAGCGCTGAGAGGAATATCTTCCCTGCAGAAAACCGAGGTTGTACATCCGCCTTTAAAGAGATGCTGAACCGAAATCTGGATTCCACAAAACACGCGGCAAAAGCGTGCAACGAGGATGCTACAAACACCAAAACATCACTCATACAACAATATCTCATCCGAATGGCCGTATTTAAAAACAAAAAAGAAAGCGCATTTGACAGAAATGTTTACGTCATGTTTTTTTTTGTTTTTTTTGAGAAGGAGAGAGAACGGCTTCGGTCCTTCTCCGCCTCGCCGCCTTGAGGGAGCGAAGCGAAGAGAAAAGGAAACGAGATATCTTCACGTCACGCACCTCCGTCGGCCTGGTTCAGTCTCGACCTCTTTGTCCAAAAATACGGCCGTCCATTCGAGATATCGCCTTACGAGTAGTGTTGTAGGGACTGTAGCGTCCCGCCTACATCTCCTGCATTGTTTTTTTTTCGAAATCCAAAGTTCGGTTCACCATCCCTTTAAGTAGCTTAGCAGTCAGCTTAGCCTCATTAGGTCTAATATACTAATATTAAATGCGTAGGTTGTTTCCACTCCTGCTTTTGCCGCGGAAATTCTCGGGCATTGTCCCATGTTGCCACCAATATGATTTCTTCATGCTGTGGCACAGCAGAACCGGATCTCATTCTTTGTGGTTTGATGCAGGGGATGAAGTGCTGGAATGGAACGGCCGATCCCTTCAAGGAAAGACCTATGAGGAAGTGTATGACATCATATCAGAATCTAAAATGGAGATGCAAGTAGAGCTCATCGTTTCTAGGCCACTCAGGTATGCTACTCGTTCATATATATGTGTCACTCGAAGGCTAACACTTGCTTTATAATATTTAATTGAGTCTATCTGCATGAATTTATAGGAAACAGTTTTCTTATATTGCATTTAAAAAAAATTTACAAAGCCCTTACAAATGTCATCCAGCTCTGTGTTTTTAAAACATACTATGGTTAATGAACAAGGCTATGAAAAAAAACTGAGAATCTGACTGCCAACATCTGTCAGTGTACATAACATAGGTGTGTTGCAGATGTGGGAAACCCTTCAAGTGCCCATCAACAAGGCAAAACACAATAAACCCGGAGTTTAAGTGCAGTATTCTAAATACAGCTCAGCCAAAAGCTCTGAACTTCATTTGAGGCACCAATAGAATCAAGTCTCTCTTTTTTTTTTTTGTCCAGAGTTTTAGAAGCTAACAATCTACCTCCTTTGGTCCACCTGCATTGTCCTTGTTTTCTTAAACATGCAACAGCACATAGATGCAGCACCATTTTATGAAAACATTTATTATGCAATTTAATGTTAGAGTTAGTAACCTTGATAAAGACGGAAGCTGGAGGGAATCCAAAATATTAATAATTTATTGATAAGTATCTGGCTTGGTCATCTTTGGCTAGGCTCTACATTTTATATCAAACATGATGTTGACTGTGTTACATTCTTGCAGGTAAAGTAAACCTTGGTTAAAGGGAGTGTTCTATATATTTTTCTCTAAGCAGCAGCTAGGCTAATGCAGTGGTAGTTTTCTGACCTTCTTAATAATGACACATGTTCAAAACGGTAGAACTAATGTTCGTCATGTATTCTGTACAGCGATGGCGGAAGGGGAGACACATCAGACCGCAACATGAGGAGGCATGTCACAGGTCCTAGCATGGGAGCCAGCACCACAAGGAGAGGTGGGTCGTTGCTCGCTTTTCATACAATGTCCTTAGTAGTTCTATTGCGTTGATTGTTTATTGAGCCACATGAATGAGTTACTTTATGGTGCCCAATGTAATTTTCTACAGGAAATCTATGAATTGGTAAATGTGAGATTTTTAAAGGTTAGCATGTACAAAGCAACAGTTAAGATGAACAAGTGGTTGCTACTTTTCTCTTAAAAGTGCAAGGTAAACTATGAGTGTGGTAGAACGTGTTTACTTGAGCTGGGCAAAATGCAAAAAAAGTGCCAATGCCATGCTTGCAGTGTGCAACACTAACTGCCACAATGTGGGGAGTTAAAATTCAACATTATTTTTCTATGGACTAAAATTGTTTTGTCTTAAAGCAAAAAAAAAAAACAAAAAAACACAGGAAGGTTGTTTGGTATTTTTTATCAATGACTTTCAGGGAAATTTAGGACAGTTAAAGTGACTGCCACCATAAGGTTTGGTCAGAATAAAATCCTTACTTCCCAAAAACTTGTCTCTAAGGTTCGTGCAGATGAAGAAAGCAAAGCACAGAAGGGCACTTTTAATTTAAAAAATGTGTAGAAGCAGTAAGTTTCTAAGAAGGTTTTGAAGTGACTTGTGACGTCGCAGATTCGTTCTGCAGCACACCTAAAAATACGATAGACGGAAATTTACATGCTATGCAGATTCACCAGATAGTGAGATGAAATTTCGTGACTGGTCGTGCTACTATGCGTTTAATATATAGCCCACCATTCTTAAGGGCAACAAGAATTGTAAGCTAATTTTGCAACTGAGTAGACATTTGACTGTGAGGTTTATAGTGTTAAGGGTCTTGTCCTTATATTTGTCTGTTCCTACACACAGCTCTGGCATAATTGTTTATGAAGGAGAGAGATGTACCTTTATGCAACTTTGCTTTTATTAAGCCTAATTTTCTCTTTGTCTTCAGACGTAAAGAAACACGAGTACTCGGACCGGAGACCCAGCGTCACCGTGACCCCAGGCTCCCCGACGTTGGGCCACAGGCCCCGACGTTCCCCAATTCTAGGCGGACGTATCCGGGTGAGGCACTGCGACCTTCAAGTGCGACTTTGAGATGCAACCTTGCCTCAGAGATGGCCCTCAAATGCAACCCTCAAAAGCAATGTGAAAATGAGCACTTTTCATGCAACCCTGAACATGTTAACGTTCATTCAGCTTTCCTCTCTTATTGAACAATATTATCCGATGACTTTAAAGGCCACTGAAATGGACCCCAGTGTCCCATTTATCGGAAAAAAAAAAACGTGCGATTGACTTGATCTCAAGATTATCATGCAATGATTATTTTCTTCTAACTAGTGGCTGGCATCAAAAAATGTTAATTTTTTGATGCCTCGAATTTTTCGATGCCCTGAATCTCGAAGTAGTAAGAGAAACACAACTTTGATAACTGTAACGATACACCTTAGCAAAGCCCAGAAACAAAAATAGTTTGCATGACGCATAGGTTGAGGATTGTGAGAAGAGGAAGGGCATTCATTGAGGGCACCGAAAGGAATGAGCAGGCGTGTTGCATGGCACAGCAGGAATTTTGACTATTGAGAGGGTTGCATAAGAAATTGCACAAAATGCATGGTTGAAGTTGTGTGCTTTTCTGCGAGAGAAATCTTTCAGTTTATGTTATTTAAGGTCTGTTTCAGTTTCAATTGTTTTAAAGTGTACTGTTTAAAATAAATTTATAAAAGTCCGTTAAATTTTTATAGCGAAAAAAAAGTTTATTGAACAGATAACTTTTAGTTCTTTTGTGCACCCTTTCATCAAGAGATGTATTTACACAGAAATTAAAAAGATAAAAAATCCACTGCCAGGATTTTTGTTGCTCTTGTCTTTTACAAATCAATTTTGCTAACTCAAACCTCCTTTTCTTTTTTCCAGATCAAACTCGAGTACAACGCTCAAACACTGCAGTTAGTTGTTGTAATTATATGTGCCACAGAGCTTCCACCAAAAACAAACGGCCAACCAAGAAATCCCTATGTGAAAATGGTGTTGTTGCAAGATAGGAGGTGAGTTGAACAGCCCTTGAAAGAGTGTTTACTACTAAAGTAAAATACCAAGCATGTGCCCATGTCACAGTAAGCATCCACCAGCTACTTTTGAAATGCTTGAAAACCTAGCAAATGACATATCAAGTGTCCACACCAGACTTCTGAGCCCAGATGTTCCTCTTCATCAGCCGCTTCTCCGAGCAGCTTGGCGAAAAGCAGTGAAGCTTGCCCTATCGTGCGCCCCTTTTGCATTTTTGCTTTCGGACATGACAACTGCCCATCCATTTCCCAGTTTTTGAATATACTAGTCTCTAAATTTTGGGTGGCTGCTTGCTCCGTGACATCTTGCAGTAGTACAATTTCACATTTTTTCTCCACTTTGTGAGCATGTTTTTCATTTGGATACACAGGAACCTAAGAGCACAGTATTTAGCAAGTACATGTGGTTAGAAGAACAGCTTCCTTACAAAACTGCCAAATTTTTAAGCTTGACCTTGTGTAAAGTCTCGAGACCGCTTGCTTGCTTCAGGAGAATTTTGCATTAATTCAAATACTAGAAATTATGCTCTCAGAAAATTAAAAGAAATGAGAAAGAACTGTATATCACAAAGTCTGTAGAATTCAGTGAAAAATTAAATTTTAGTTCTATCATGAATTTAAAGTTATGCTGAGTCCAGGGCTGTGTTGTGTTCACCCTCAAAAAGGATTTGTTGTTTGGCCTGCGTCCTAAAACCTTTCCCTGGGTCGGGTGTCGTCGGGCAATAGTGAGAAGAGTAAAAGAAGGACCCGGACGCTAGCCGGTACCAATGAGCCGCGGTGGAACCAGAGGTTTTCCTACTCCCCGCTGCGAAAAAGTGACCTGATAAACCGAGCTCTGGAAGTGACCGTCTGGGACTACGACCGCTACGGTGCCAACGACTTTCTCGGAGAGGTCAGTCCCTGTCTGCGTTTATGGTCGCCGACAGAGTGAGAACGGCAAGGCGTGTCTTTCGAATGTCCGGCCTCCAGCACGTGCTCCGTGCCTTCCGCTGCGCTTTGGCTGTGCACACGCGCTCGAGATGCACGAGATGTCGAAGCATTGTCGAAGGTATAGGTAGCTTGCGCCGGAGGCGGGACACCTGAAATGTTTTCCCTGCCGTTCTCACCGCGTCAGTGTCTCGTGTTGTGTCTGACGACGGATTTATTTCTAGTGAGAGGGCCCTTTGCATCTCTGTCAGAGGACGATAATCTTGAGAAACGGCATTCCTATATAGTCGCCAAATAAGCCACGCTGAAAGTGGCAACACTGCATTCCTCAATTTTCTTGTGGGCGCCGCCATTTTGGTGCTTAGTGCAGAGCGGGCTTTAAGGCCCATTTTTAAAGGCTTTAATGCCTGTTTATTTTAAGGCCCGTTCACACACTTGCGTTCACTTAGGGCGCTTTAGGACCGAGCTCCTACGATGTCTTACGGTGAGAGAGCACACTGGTACCACGTATGAGGTGACCCTGGAACTGCATTTCACTAGAGCGAAGGTCTTGCAGTATTTGCGAGATCGAATGTACATATCATCTATAAGGAATGGCTGATTATAACTTTGCCAAAAAATTTTCGAACCAAGATAGATAAAATTATGCCCGCAAAGAATAGGAAATGTATGTAGAGTGGGTGTTCTACGGTTACCCGATAGATGGCGCCATGCGGTCTTTCGTCGTAAGACTTTTAAGAGGCTTTAAGGCCCAAGGAGTCACAAGTGTGTGAACGTACCTTTAGATATGGTGTGAGGAAGCTCGAGCGATAATGTATTTTTTTGTCACAAACTGTTTTAACACTTCTGGACAACAGAAAAGTGTTTCCTGTAATTTTCAGATAAAGCTTCAGATAGCTGGTAACAATGGCTTTGAGCACCAGGATGGCTGAGATCTCATTACTTCGAGGCATAGGTTATTTAATAGCTCTTTGTGCTTCATCAGCACATACATGCTGATGAAGGATAAAATTCATTCCTCTGTGCTACTAGCACAATTTACGGTAGTATTTCCACAAAACAAAATGTAGGTCTTTGGCAGCATTTTAATCGCTCAAGCCGTAACTTTTATTTCGATTTACTTGAATATGGCTCGAATGCAACCGGTTGACCTAACCTATAATTGCGATTTCTTTGGTTATTTGAACTACTATTCAAACAAACTGTGCTGCTTTTGAACATAGAATGGATTGTACAGTAACCGGTTTTATATTCCTTGACATTTTTCTTGTAGGTATGGCTGTTTTGAAGCTTTGAGCTTTTTTTAGCCAGCGGTAAAAAAAGATTAATTGAAAATTTTGAGAGTGATTTCACGTTATCAATTTATCATGCTATGATCTCTGTCGTTCAGATCGTTCTCGAGTTGGCCACGGCCAATTTGCACGGCGAGGCGGAGTGGTATCCGCTGGGCACTCACGACGAAAACCTAGGTGTACACTATGTGAGTATAATTCAATGCGACATTACAGGCTCTCAGCCACCATAATGACTGCTGGTTGACTAGCGCTTTAGCTATTAAAAGGTCTACCTAGTAGAAACAGACTGTGTTGTATTGTTTTCCTCTAACTTCTTATTAGTATACTCTTAATTTCTTTATGATATGCTTACTATTCAGAAGAGTTTTGAATTTAGCATTCGTAACTAGCTAGTAACTTTTAATGGACACAGTGATAAATATATTGATCTAGTTTATCTCAAAAGATAAAATATAGAGACTGGAGCATCGTACAGGCTTGAGCTGACCTGAACAACATATTGTGGCTACGTTTTATTACATGGCTGTCTTCTTTATCAGAACTTTGCTCCTTTGTTCTTCAACAAATTTAAAAATTTCCCTGCTAAAAAAAAAAAAAAAGAAAAAAAAAACTTTTATGAGGTAGTGGTGTGTAGCCAGGGGGAGGCTTATGAGGCTTCAGCCCCCCTTTGAAATCCAGCCGACCCTATGTTATACACATGCATTTTGACCCCCCACCCCTCGCACACCAAGTCATGGTCATCGCACCCACCTCACCCCCCCCCCCCCCCCCCCCCCCCCCCGGCCAGAACACAAAAATTCCTGGCTACACCATTGTCAAGAACCAACAGACAAGTAATAAAGTAAAGAAGCAGACTGAGCTTTCTTCGTTCCCTCTAGTACCTGTCCGCTGTCGCTTGGCTCTGTTATCCTTTTCCAGTTCTTTCATACCGACCAGCCAAAACTCTTTCTCGCTGTGCCTCAGTTTCAGTACAGCGAGAAATACTATATTTTTAACTAGAATAGCTCTTGAACTACTTGTGCTTCTTCTCTTTTTTTTTGCCAGAAAAATCGCAACATGTATTTAGACACGGAAGGAGCCAGCTCGGTGACCTCATCCGACCGACTCTCGCCACCATCTACGATCTCGAGGCTTTCCGACAGTGACATGTCGGAAATCGACTACGACGAAGTCATTCCCATACTAAGAGGTATATTTTCTACTGCTTAGTATCGCATCAGTTTATTAGTCCATTTTCTTTTTCAAATGTGGGCGACATCGAGGAACGTTCGAGCAGCGAAAGTTTTACAGAATGTGGTTGAACTACCATTGTTGTCTGACACTAACAATACAGAAGTTACAGACCCTGAGTTAGCTGCCATACTGTGCAGACCAGATTATCTTTCTGCAGCAGAAGCCTACATTGCCATATTTCTAAGCAGACCCCAGATTCCCATACAATAGATTGTATATTTGATCGTTTGAATGCATGGCCGAAGTTCTGAAAGCTTTCAGATCATGTAGGTAGCCAAAAGCAGATACTTTTATTATCAAATGGTGTTGTATATACGTTTGTTACTAGTATTGCAAGAACTTCACAAAATAATCTGGGTGCTCTGTAGTTCTTCTTGCCTCAAAGTCTGGTTCACACATTCACTTTTTAATGTGATTGAGTGCGTGGGGGGCCTACTTGTGACCACTTATAATGGGATGGATGAATGGATGGATGCTAACGGCTGTTCCCTTTGTAACGGGCGGTAGCTTGTGCCACCTAGCCTAGAAACACACTGGTACAGTGGTGCCAGCTCTTGGGTAGCCCTGGAACTGTATATTGTTGTGGATGAAAAAAAGATTGACAAGCTAAAACTGAAAATAAAGGTTTAAACGGCAAACTTATGTCAGAACCAAAAGAAAGAGCGTCGAGGTGTTGGCGTGACAGCTGGCTAGTGCGAGAGTGATTCGGCAAGGCCACGTTGGGATCCTCATCTACTACACTCGGTATCTCGAACATTCAAGCTAGAATGTTCTAGCGTCGAACTAGGGCAAGATTGACTCGGCAAGGCCATGCTGACCTCCTTATCTTTTATACTCGGTATCTCGAACATTCCCCCAGAACATTAGAGCATAGAACATTCGAGGTAAGAACTAGTAAACACGAAACCCCTAGAAGTATAGAGTAATGTTCCCTCTCAGCCATGGATGTGGCAATATTAGTGGACTGAAGGTTTTGCAGTATATTTGCGAGATAAAATCTAAGCACTATCTATGAAAAACGCTTGTGCAATGGGTGCACCAATCGCAGCTAACTGCTCGTGCTTGTAGCCTTTGGGGTTAGTTCGCGATAAGGCAAGAGCAAACCATACGCACATCTTGTTTTCTCTTCCTCTGGTGCGTCGAGCCACATACTCACTTTGCGGTTTGGTCCCGTCTCTTTCCAGACCGGCACAGTCTAGAAGGGCCAAGCCTAGGGGTGTCCATGGGGGAGGGCAGCCCACCGTTGGGGGGCTTCGGCGACCGCCCCACCAGGAGGGACATGCCGCCCGCGCATCGGCGCCACCGGTCGGGCTCCATGGCGATGCCCGGTTCTTCCAGGGAACCGCAGGGGATGTACCGGGGACCCCCGTCGGGGTCAAGGTCAATGGGGGGCACCGTGTCCATGGGGCGCCTCATGCAGTCCAGTTCGAGGTCACTCTCGCCACCGGACATCAGGTGCGTGCTTTCCGCATTTTAAAGTATACCCCGTTGCCGGTCAAGAAAAGCAGGACAACCTCTTCCCGTAAAGCCCTCCACATTTCAATGGAGCAAACGCTCCTCTCATCTACGGCATTTGCACTCCTTGCCTCCACTCCGGCATTCGCTCTGCCAAAGAAGAGAGAGTGGAGGGTTTACGTCCCACTTTTCTTAATCTGCAAGAGTGTAAGCAAAGCGAATATCAATCGCACACTCCAGACTTCCGAGCCCAGCTAACCGAAAGGCTTCTCATTAGCGGTTTCTTCAAAAACCCGGGCGTGAAGTGGAAAAGCCCACCCTATCATGTGTGTCTTTTGAATTTTTGCCCTTTGACCCGACGATCGTCCATTCCCCAGATTTTCCAAGATTATCTTAAAATTTTGAGCGGGTGCTTGCTCGGTACTTTACGGTATATATCCGTGTCTTGGTTTCTAATTTCCTTCATTCTATAGTCTCTTATTTTAAAGTGATAGCTTTGTATGGGAAGTCCCCACATTGTGGCGATAGGTAACACTGACGTCATATGTCACCATGATGTCACGAGACTATGCCACCTGACACCATGATAATAGACGTTATGCGAAATTGCTTGGTGGTCTGGCTGCACTGTGCATGTGGCCATCTTAGTAGCATCAAGTTTCTTGAGTTTCGGTTCCTCACATTACCAGGGCAGGGAGGCTCTGCCTCCGATTGTGATTCGGAAACATTATTGTCTTCTGACCTCTGATCACCTAACACAGGCAAAGGACTAGGCCGTCATGCCTTTCTTCTCTGGGGATACTTTCAATTCTTTTTAATGCGAAAGCGTTAACTGTCTCATGGAACGAGCCGACGTCATCAGTTTGAAGTGCGAAAACGGCACCTAGTTTCCTTCGGTTTCATTGGCCGGCGCGCGTCGACGGGGCTACCATTGGTCGCTGCGCTCGTCAGTTTCCACGACCGCTCACCCCATGGCGCTGTGTGTCCATCAGCGCACTGTTAACACGGAGCGTCCCAGGTCACCGTGCCCAGGGGAGCACATGTGCTGACCGACGACAAAAAGTATGCAGCAGACGAAAAAGGGAGCTGACGAGCGGCCTTTATGCTTTCGCATTCACAACTCATAAGAAATCCTTAAGTGTACCTTGATATTTTTGATGCGAAGACGCATGAAGTCATACTGTTTAGCTATAGACTGCTCCACGCCAGTACATGTAATTCAAGATTACTTTCTATTTTATTTTTTTCAGGCGTTGCAAAAAGCTTTGATTGGTTTCAGATAGCATTGACTTCAAGCACAGTTGACGGATGTTGCGCTGGTTAATGAAGATTTGTTCAACCCTGGCAGAATAGCTGCATTGACTTTCCCGAAACTACCCCCGGAGTTCCTTTGCACTCAACAAAAATTTAACCTCAAATAACAAAAAAAAAAAGAAAAAAAAAAGGAGGCCATGAAACGGAAGTTGGCATCGCCCATGTTGCTCCACTCGAGGTCTGCAGCGTAACATTTTGTCGCCACCGACATCGAAGTCTTAGCCACTGCAATGAAGCCAAGCAAGTGATGTAATCGAATGTCGCGTTCGACAAAAAAGACAGCAAAATCCCGTCTGTCTAAGGGTGGAGAGACACTCGTCCGTGCCTGTTTTGTTTTCCTGTTTTCTATTCTACATAACCGTGCTTTAAATATACAATATTATTTTACCAACAAACTCTCCTGTTTAGTTTTAGTTTTTTTTTGTTTTACAAACCTCGTTTACCGATGCCAGATCAAGTGTAAGAAATGGCTGCTAAGCAATGAGATAGTTTTCTGACTGTCCAAAGTAATTCTTCTTTTTTTTTGTTAATATATGACAATCAAATATAGGACTCTGTGGTGTTTTCCGATTTTGCTGTTCACTGTTAACCATACGCATCTTCAATCATGGTTGGTGGCATAGATTATTGAAACTGTCACCTTTTTGCCTCGCTTCACATGCTTGGTCTCATCTGCATACATTGAGCTGCATTCGCATTAAGAAAAATGCAGGCCAGCACTACAGCATGCACCACAAAAAAAACGAAAAAAAACCAACAACACAAAATTAGAAACAAGTCTGGTAAAACTTTGTGAAAAGATTAGGGTCCAGTTCAATAGTTTTGAATGGGCTCACGCTGTGCGATTATGTTCGTATGTTTCTTCGTGTTGTCACCAATTATTTTTGTCAAAAACTGCGTGTAAGATCGCAAGTGAAAAGAAGAAAAAATTGTGAACCCTGTTCACGTTTGCATTCACGTTATGCACAAATCGAAGGTTTATCGCTGCATCTGCAGCAGAACACTGCAACGTGTTGGCATCGTACCTCTCGCACGAAGCGTATCGCTTGTTTACGTAAGTTCTTTGTCAGTCGGGTCAATGGTTTCGGTTTCTCACCGCCACCAAGATGGCGGACGTAGTTCTCAGCGTGCTACTAGATGGTGCTCTAGATTTCGCATATCGTCTATTTATCCACTAAATTTAAAGAGAAAACTGATGTCATGCGATGTCAGACACTGCGACGTCAATTTCCCTCTAAGTGCTATTGCATCTTCGTTGCACTTGACAGAATGTCTAAGCCAAACTCTCTTTTTATGTGCCTTCTCTGGTACTTAACTCGCAATGAAACCAATGCCTCCTTTTGCCTGTCAGGTCTCCCATGGAAGAGGAGCCGATGGGGGGCAGCGGGGGGCGCATGTCCCACTCCCTCGGGGGTACCCCCACGGGAACGCCCACGCCCAAGAAGCGCCACCTGCCCCAGATCCCGCCGGGCATCAGGAGAACGGGGGGTAACCGCGACCAGATAACTCTCGACCTCGAGGAAAGGGCGCGGCAACTCAAGCTGCGCATGCAAGTGCAGCAACGGCGATCCGGAGGTAAGCAGAATCACTTTCGTTACGGTACCCAGGGTCCGATTTTGGTTTGGGGGGGGGGGGGGGGGGAAGGAGAGGAGAGGAGAGGAGAGGAGAGGAGAGGAGAGGAGGGGAGCCGTTGGTTGCACGTGGTGCCACAGCTTGTGCGTAATTAACCAATGAGACATTTTGAAGCGACAGCTTTAAGGGTGACACTTTGCAGGGATTTCGGTGTCGGCCTTTGTTGCTGTCTGTCGTCGCAACAGAAATGGAAAAACCCCACTTCCCCCTTCTCGTGGCACGAGGAGAGAGAAATCAGGTGGTCCCATTGACTGCGCACACCGTGACAGCGCCGCGCTAAGAGGAAGGATTATGCATCTCCCTCTCCACTCATCGCTGAACTTCAACATTACATCCTCCCTTCACCACTCAACAACACTGTAGAAACCTGCGCCTTCATTCGAATTGTCACTGCCACAGACTCTTCCTAACGGCCCCGCTGCAACAAAGTGCTCCGTCCCTGGAGTGAGCGCAGAGGGAACAGCTGGCTTCTGTGGCCCCGTGGGCGAATACCTTCGATGGGTCCAACCCACAACATACATTTAAGTGATTCTATGCTTTGCCGATTCTGTGCTTTGTGCCGTGACAACGTCCCACTCGTCGTAGCCGGCAACTTCGACGTCGACCTTGGCGACTGCAAGAACGAGCTTTTCCGCAACATTGTCGAAGCGGAATCGGCCGTCTGCTTGGTGTTTGAACTCAGTGCACCGACAATGCACGCCGGCACCATGGTCGACATCATGCTTAAGAAGAACATTGACTCGTGCATCCAGTGTTTCGCCTTGCCCACTTACTTTACCGGTCACCAAGCACCCGTAAAAGTCGTCGGTGGTGTCCACGATGCTGACCACGACGGCAATGCACACTAACCGCTTCGCACCTCTGTCCTCAAATACATGACGACACCATTCTGCCCGTATTATGTGAATGTGCTACAGCTATTGCTTTTACTTCTTCGCACGTTGCAGATGGAAAAGGGGTGTTTTTTCAACCCATTTGCAAGTTCAAAAGCTGGCAAAATATTGGTGAGAACGTTGCACCAGTATACAAATAGCGACAGAGCTTTTGCGGCCTCTGATCCACTTGTCTTTAGGATTCATTCATCTACTGGTCAACGTTGGCTTGTGTGCAGCAGCGGAACAACTCGAGGTTTACAAAAGAAGCACGAGTTGTCAATGGCTTCCATCGTGAAATAGCAGATAATGACTATTTCGCCCGCGTCCGATCTCGCTCCGCTGCGGCGCACGATTCATAGCAGACGACCAACATTTTTTTCAGTCTGTTAGCAGATGATGCACGACATTGCTTGTTTTATTTTAATCTGCTAATAGAAAGTTTTAGAATAGCGCACGCTCAAGCTTTGCAAAGAACAGCAGCGTCGCCACTGCGCGTGCACCTAACGCTAACCACGTTTTGCGCTTTGCGTGCGCTATTTTTCGGAAATTGCGTGTGTATGCAATGAGTCTTTGTGCTCCTCCAAGGAGGATTCGTGATGAGAAGTTGGCTAAAGCTAAGACGAGCACAGTTAAAAAATGGTGGCTCCCAGGCCGCTTTGGCAGCGCTGAGAACGCGATGTCAGCGGCATCCTTGCGACTGCGAATTTCAACATGGGACGACATTGCACTTGGTTTGGCAACGATCACCAGCAACTTCATGCTTGCGATGAATGAACATTTGTCGGCGAAGGTATGGTGTGCGAAGGTCAGCACATGAGATCTCTCTTGTTGAGGCGACGCAAGCAAACACGACCGGTCGGCCACTCGCGTTGCATTCTTATGTTTAAACAAATCTAAAATGTTACTCTAAACTAAAAAGCTAGTTTTTTTTTCAAGTTACAGCATTTTTTGTGTGAAATAAAAATTATGACTGTATCTTAGTGGCATTGCAAGCACGAGATGCTTGGGCTTTTGCGTCGTGACGGAGAAACGTCATTCTAAAACTCTCTTGCATAGCGTGCGCTAACGCAAGCACTATATTTAGCGCTAAAATTATGTACGTTATTTTAAAACTCCCTAATGACGCCTCGTAGCAGACGAACCGCATTTTTCGCATGGATTGGCAGATGAGCCGTCTACGAACGCCATCTGTGTTGCGGTACAAGATTGCGCTTTCTCTGGCAGAAGCTGGGTGAGAGAGTGAGCATACCCGCGTTCGTGAGAAGAGGCCAAAACAGGATTTAGGCATAGAAAAAGGTTGCATTTCCAAAACAAATTTGTTTTCACAATTTGGTGTCTTACTGGATTGAAGCTGGACATCCATATTGCCTGAAGTCATCTTGAGTAGGGATGCCGCGAAGTTTTTTCGAATCGAAGTTTCGATGACCGAATCAAGCGGTTCGAAAGGTTCGAAAGATTTCGATTTTTCGAATTGTCTATATCGTAAAATTCGACGGAGGTCGAATTTTCGAACTTGTTAAGCTAAGAAGTTCGACGCTTTTCGAACCGTCGAACTTACTACGCTAAAAAATTCGATCTTTTTCGAACTTTCGAATTTATTGCGCTGCAAGGTTCGATGCTTGTCGAACTTTCGAACTTAACTGACCAAAAAATTCGATGAATTTCGAACTTTCGAACTTATTTATCAAGAGAATTCGAAAAGTGTCGAACTTTCGGATTCTGAAAAGTCAGAAGTTCGACGAACTTCGAACTTTTAGGGTAAAAGTTCGACGTTCGTCGAACTTCGAAAGACCGGCGGACGGTTTCATTTGATTTCAAGTAGTGGGGTACATTCGTAATTTTTTTATCTCAAACTTTTACACGCGGTGCTGCGTTCCTTACGAAAGACAATGTCGTTTATTTCAATGTTCTGGCATGCTTAGGTTTAAAGAAATAAATCCCCGAAGGGGCGAGGAAGGACGACGGGTTTTTGACGATTATCGTTTGTGCCAGATTTGAAGCACGCTGCAGCTGGAGCTATTTATGGTAGATATGTTATACTTTTTTTTAAGAATGATCTATGTATAGCCTAGGTAAGTGCCGTCTTAAGATGTGATTATTGTTATTCAACGTGAGTTTCGAAGAAATGTCCAAACATGTATCTGCATGCAATTATAACCTAAACTTGATATTTATTTTCGTCTAAGTTGTTTGAGGTATCGCATTTAAATTAACACCACAGGCAGTACATATCATTGCCATCTGCAGAATACGAAATAATATATTTATTGTTTTTTCATGTTAAGGAATAAATTAACTTATGGGAGAAGATTTCTAATAGTGTTCAAGTTCAGCACGTCATTAAAAGAAAACTTTTTTTTTTTCGCTTCACGTTTTTGGGACGTGTTTCTTTTAGCCTGTACACATTTTGGTAAAAGAAACTTCTATCGAAGTTCTGAACCTCTGAATATACAAGAATAGAACACTTCCGACGAATTCTTGATAGTTTTTTTTTTTTTTTCTCCTGCTTTTTATTTTTGCATTTTTTTTTTGTTACTATCGGCACAGGTGTTTAGGTCGAAAAGACAGCTTTGAACTTCCGAACCACTAAGCATGTGACGAGCAGTGCCTTCTGACAACGAGTTTCTGACAATGACCATGTACGCAACCTTTTATGCAGTGAAGAGCGACAGTAGCTATACATATGCATAAATAATTTCAGATTAAAATAAGCTCGACCACGCCCTCTTTCCCCGTATTGTTTTCTTTAACAGTTCGAAATACCTGCAAGAGGGAGAAGGAGGCTGAAGCCCCCCTCCCCCCCCCCCCCCCCCCCCCCCCCCCCGCTACCCTCTTTCCCCCCGCTTTTCTTCTTCCGACGCCACTTGTATGGTAGAACGCTCCTCGACCTCGAGTTGTGTCGGCTTTTGTGCTTTTTGCGAGGCAATCCCTCCGTCCCAGAAAATAAACCTCCAGGACAATTATAAACTTCACCGGATCGGATTACTACCAGCGTGCAAGGGGTGGCGAGGTAGTTTGCCAGGTCGCTTCAAGGTTTTTCTGAGACTCAACCTCCTGCTCGCCCCTGGCCGTTTCGAACGGGATGAGTCTCGTAAAACAGTGTGTTCGTGCAATCACTATTGCGTGATGCAAATTAAAGACCCCCCCCCCCCCCGGGGCTGGCAGTCACAATTCTGCACTGGCAAATATTCTAGCACGTCCGGGACACTCGTCGTCTCATTTAATTGCCTGACCAACTTCGCAGAATCTAGACATCACACCCTAACTTTTCTCAAATTGATTTCGCGAAAACCAGTGAGTCGTGAAAACGTTATTTGAAACTGAAACTGTGGAAAAACTTGAAAATCGGACTTCGAACTTTGAAAACTTGGACTAAAAAAGAATTCAGAATCTTCGAAGTTTTTTTTTTTGTTTTTTTTTTAGTTTAGCGTTAAAAGAGAATCGAAACTTTCGAATTTTTCGAACTTCATGTCTATAAAAATTCGAAGCGTTCGAAGTTTTCGAATTTTTTTTACAAAGAATTTCGAGATCTTCGAATTTATCGAACCTGAAGTAAAAAAATATTCGAAATATTCGAATTCGAAATTTTGGAAACCGTGAAAGCTTCGAAATTTTCGAATTTGAAACTCCGCTGTGGTCAAAAGTTGCGAATTTTTCTAAATCGAACCTCGGTCGGTACGAAAATATAGAAATTTTTCGAAATCGAACCTTAGTTCGCTTCGCAAATATCGAAACCTTTCGAAATCGAACCGAGGGTGGTTCGCGACATCCCCAATCTTGAGCCATGACCATTAGAATGTAAAGTAGTTATTCAAAGCCATATAATATATGAATATTGATTTGAATATTAATGTATTTGATTCATCATTCAGATTGCTTAATAGTGTTATAAAATACTGAATATGGTTTAATGTTTTCAAACTTCATTATAAAATATTTATGGCAAATTGCTTGTCTTGCATATGCGAAACATTCTAGCATCACAAATGTTTAGCGATACTGTGAGTTTCTAGACGCCTACGTTTGCGGTGCTCTTTATCAGATAGTTTAACGCATACCATGTGTACACTTAATAGTTGTTTCTAGAATGAAGCGATACTATCACAAATCAGGCTGATAAACCTAGCGATCTGCCATATTCTCAAGCTCCTCTCCCTCAATGTGACAAGATGGCCGAGCTTCTCCTTGCCTACCCCTCTGGTCACATGACCTCCCCGTTAACCAATTAGCGTCGAGCACCTCACTCCTCCTCTCCCGCCCGTCAACCAATCAGTGTCGAGTCTTGCTGCCACGCTTTTATCTGGACTTCGCGAAATGCCGCACACCTAGCCAAAGAATGTTTCATGTTGAAACTGCTACCTGTATGCACACAGTTGTCAGCTATAGGCAGTTTTCACATGACATCGATCCACCATTTTGTTGTTAGACATTTCTTTCAAGACAAACAAGTTTGATGGTGCAAAGGGACCACCGAAGAAACTTGCTTTTCGCACACTCCCCATAGAACATCAATATATCGACGGAGAAGATTGCGCCAGTCAGAACAGCCTATTACAGCCGAGAAACGTTTGGCAAGATCGACACTAGTAATACACCACTTAGCCAATATCCTTGTTCGGTGCTGATCCTCGTTCATCTTGCCCCCCGCAAATTGACTTCCGAATGCTCGACTAATTCACACCTGTGGTGCAACTGCTTCGCCCAGCGCCGACGCTCGTAGATATGTTACTGATATATGGTGCTATAGTGTTCGGTCGTCGTAAGCGGCTACAAGAGCCTGCAATGCACTTGGACACACTCGAACACAAATATGTGAACCAGCCTTAAAACGCAGATATGTAAACCAGCGTTTGACGAAAAATGTGTGAACCGCGGCCTTGACGCTCCTTCGGCACGCCTCTCTCTCTTGCCCAGCCATGACGCCCGTCGGGATGTACTCGGACAGCGAGGTGACCTCCCGGCACCACCAGTCCCTCGACCAGCCCCATCACCATCACCACCACCACCACCATCGAGGCACTGCGGCGGGGCTGCACCAGCTTCAACGCGGTGCCAGCGGCCGCGGTGTGGTGCCGGTGGGAGGCCCCCGCGGAGGGGGAAGCCGCCTGGCCGCGGGCCTGGGCCTGGGCTCTGCCCCCATGCTCAGCCCCGAGGGTGGGGACCTGGCGGGAGGTGCTGGGGGAGGGGGAGAGAGCGACGGCTCGGAGACGAGTTCAGTGTCCAAGTTCAGCGTCACCAGTGCCTTCTCGACGCAGTCGGAGCGGCCGCGTAGTAGCAGGACGCTCAGGTGAGCTATCGCCACTCTTTTCCTAATGGGGCACGCAGATGGCGGTCTTGTGGATTGTGGTGTGAGCTCGAGGCAGCCTGCATCCCTTTGGTACAACACAGACCCCAGAGTAATTCTATAATATATTTGTTTCAAAATGCTGCTAATCCCAATTTGGGGCATATAGGCTATACGCGCCAAATTGGGATTGGCAGCATTGGCAGATTCTTTTATGTCCCAGTTCTGGCTATACTGTATACCCAGCACTGGGACATAAAAGAATCTACTGGTCTGAGGAACTACTAGTAGCAATACTTTAAGAGTATCTTGAATGGCAGCCCTGCATCTCTAACAGGGTGATGTAACGATTTTCGTGCTTTCACTAAATACCAACTAGAATTAATCCTTAATGTTCATGACCTACAAAAGATGCACTACATTTCCTCTCCACACAATGGCAGTCGCCAAGAAAAAGAAAGGAGTGAAAATTGCAAACGATCGCAGAAAGTATGCTGCAATTTACATCAATAGCTGCTGCGCTGTGGAAAGGCACGTTGAAGGAGATTTGCGGTCAGGCAGCATACTGCACAGTGTTTGCAATGGGTTCTTTGCTTTCGGCGGAATTGATGTACGAGACGTGTGTGAGAAGAAGTGTGCTATGGTGGAACGATTGTGCGAGATGTTGCACGTATTGAAGAAGGACACAGAGATGTACTTTTTTGGGCACGAAAGCGCTTTTTTGGAGGGGACGCCCGTGACTGCGCCTACAGTGGAAGAAGTGAAAGTATGTACGCAAGCTGTTCTGTAGAGGTGTGGATAGCACACAAGAACGGAACCTGGACGGCGGCAGTGGGGAGGCGAGGCAGCGTGTCCGCACAGTGCGACCACGTAGATATTTTGCAATGACGGCTGCCGGAGGAATGGGGGGGGGGGGGGTGGAGGGAGAGTGTTGTTGGAGGCTACGCGGATGTAGCAGAAACGATGAGGAGGTGGAGAGCGCTCTCCCCGTGATCACGTGAGTTTTCTCGGGAACAGCGGTGGCCTACAGGAAGGAAGGGGGAGAAGGGGGGCCTTGCCGCAGTTGGTGTGTATGTGTGAGGAACGAGGGGGAGAGGGAGAACAGTGCCTTTTCTGTAGAGTGGGGTTTTGCATTCATATGTACATAGGCATTTTTTGTTGGGAAGGGGCACCGACGGCTCCTGCTGTAAAAAATCGAGCCACAATCACCCCCTCAACTCGCAGCTTAAACAAGCAGCCACGGGATCTGGCACTGATTGTAGAATTATATATGCTCTTGTTCTAGCCACGAGCTCTGGGGTGAAAGTTGCTCGCTCGTTTTTCTCCAATGCTTCCTGCGACTGTCTGGAAAAAAATTACAATAATGAATATTTGTAAGGCTAAAAATTTAGGATTAATTCCAAGTGGTAATAAATTAAGTACAAAAATTGTTGCAGTGTACCCTTTTAAGGCTGTTACCTGAAACTCTTTTTACCGAAACAGCACTATTTTGTCGAAGAGAGGGAAAACATTTCTTTTTATTATTTACGATAACTAAGTGAAATTTTCACAATTTATAGTGCTTGATCTTCTTTTTATAAATCTGATGTTAGCCTTGATATACTAGCTTGTTTTTCATTTTCTGGATGCTATGCATATGTAGGAAAGAACATGTTTTTGCACACGTGTGGGGCATGGCAACACACTTAAAAGAGCCTAGTAAAATAATCTAATTCCTTCCTTTTAAACCACTGAGTGCAATGAAAAACAAAAATAATGTGTGCGAGACTTGTTTTATTTTAAAATAATTGAAAATTGCAAAAATGCCATTTTCAAAGGAACCAATGTTTAAATTTCTTATAAATATAAAAATTGCACATTCTTACCAAACTTTGATAGTTGCATTTTATATATTCTAAAGCATACATATGCCAAATGTGGTGGTGATAGGCCAAAATTAGGAACAAATATTCTTCCGCGCGAACTGGGAGGATACCCCAAAATTATTCGCGACTCCAGCAAAACGGACGCCACCAAGCGGGAAAACCGGGAACCAGCCGGTCCAGGTCGCTCCGCGCCCCTCCGCGTCTCAGGTGGCTTTCGCGGACACGTGTTGTCGGCGCGATGGCGAACAGTGTAATTTCACGAAGGTCCGGGAATTTCTTAAGTTTGCCCGAGTGTTCATTAGTGCGGTGAAGCCTCAGTAGATTGTTTCCTTCCACCACGTGTTTTCGATTTCTTGGATGGGGAGGAATCGCGGAAAAACGTTTTGATTTCTTGTCTGTCTCGAATCACATTCAAAGTGACGACTGCTTGGTAACTGATAAGTGGTTTCTTTATAAGGGTGTAGAAAAGTGGGAGGACGACAGACGAGGCATTTCACTGGAGGGAACACCAATGCCACCTCCTTCAAGTGAATGGGAAGGTTCAATAGCTGCTTTTCTTGAGTTTGGTTGTGTTCGATTAGCTTCAAGTTTGAGCCACCCACGCCGGTCGGTGCGCTGGCTATATAGTCATCTTGGCTGCTTTTTGCCAAAAAATCCTCTGGACCACTCTGAAGGAGTTGGGCTGATATCGCAATTATTTGATTCAGGATAGCCTGCTCGCTGCAAATGATGAATGAGGGAAATTATCTGTTTTTCAAAAGGTGGGGGACGCGTCTCGCAACATTGTCACGGCATTATGATCTATCGCGCCTCCAATATTTATATTATACCCCCGTCGAATTCAGCCAGCAGCAATATGCGTCTACATTGCTCAGGTTGACCGGCCACAAAAATACTCATTTTTTCCGTTCAGGATTCGAAGTCAAGTTCAATGCCTGAGAGGTTCTGCGTGAATCTCCAATGAAGAAGTTTGTCCGCATTCGTCTCCGTGCTACCGGCCAGAACCATTTCGCTAAGTTTAACTTAGTATCTCTCTGTCTGTCAAATATACTTTTATTCAGCAGTTCACCTAATAGCTAATTAACTAAGCTCATATTTCAAACTGAAGAATATACTAATATCGCTTTAGTGGGACATAGTACGTAATATAATACATAACCCGCTCGTCAAAATGACTTCTCGATTGCTACTAAAACCTGAATTGAAATACGAGTATCAGCTGCTTAGTGGGGCGCCGGCGGGTTAACATGCTCCTTGGCTCAAGAAGCGCTTGTCGAGCTTTCGGTTGCACGTCAAAAGATCCCCAGGTGGTCCAAATTAATCCTCAGTCCTCCGCTGGGGCGTGCCAGATGCCCGTCGTTGGTTTGGCACGTAAAACCCCCAAATTTGACTTTTTTAAGAAGCACTTGCTTAATTTTCGTAATTTTCCTGCAGCCTGTGTTGTTGACCGAGCACACGACTGAAGCTGTTTCTTAAACGCGGATACGCACAAAAGCCCGATTTCGCAGACAGATAAGTCGCATGGTCGAGGCATGCGAATTGGCTGAAAATTACTGTTGGTTGGAGAATTCTGCAGTCATTGCCGCTTTTTTTAGATGATCAAAACTGATTAGTATATATTACCGTCTCTCCAGAGCCCATAGTTTCGGTTTCGAACGAAATCTGTGAAACGAAAGTTTGACATGAAAAGAAGAAAAAACACAGTTGGAAAACAAAACTATGCTCTGCAAGTTTATGTGCACCGGCTACACTTAACCGTCTCAGTTCAAATACCTATAAAATTGGGCATTAAACAAAAGAAAATCTGTTAAATTGAACGCGCCACCTGTTCAGGCGGCCCGGCCGAGCCGACGCGACCTGGACTCAGCCGCCATGTATGTTTGGTGGTGGCGCCCCCTATAGGTCGCTGGAGTCGCGAATATAAAGAGATTAAATGTGTTCAAATGTTAGCATAGATATGTGCGCCCCTCTTTGGTGGCGGAAAACAAAATTTTTTCAAAATACTTTCTCGTGGGCAATTAGGCTACAGAAGAATGCAATGGAGAGCAAACGGCTTGGCCTACTCCTCAACACAAATGTGATGGCGGGTGACATCGCAGTTTGAAGAATTGCATTGCGCACACTAAAACGGCTCAAGTTTATGCCGTTCTGAGGTGCTGGAAGTTTTTCAAATGCCTATTTAACCAATTTCGCGATCATAACCGGTCCTTATTGTTCTTATACATACAATATAAAGCTTAAAGGATAATAACATGCCATTAACCCCCAAATCACATTAAGAAAAAGTATATTGACTTTTTATACTTGCATTTCTCCTCAGGGCTAATGTTTCAGAGCATGCCAAGTTAAAGTCCCTGTATAGCGAGTTTGGAACGGCCTCTTGTGCCTCCCGTGTTAAAGCTTATTCTGCTTCTCTCTCTTCCTGTGCCCAGCGAGTTCACGTCGCGCATGCAAAGCTACGGGCCTGTGCACCCTGTGAGGCCGGCCTCTAGCGCCGTCCTGGGCCGGAGCAACAGCGAGGGTGGTCCGTCCTCTGAGGACAAGGTGGACGGCAGCCTCTCCGACACGGCCATCGGGTCCCTCACCGAGAAGGCCGGGGACCGCCTGCTGTCCGCCAACGTCCGCGCTCATCCTGGTAGGCCCTCCAGTCTGGTTGTCCGTGTGCCTCGGTGGCGCCAGGGAAACCATGCTATGATGCGAGGCAACACGATAAACACTCCAAGCACAGTGGCTAGCGTGTTTATCGTGTTGACGGTGCGTTGATTGAGCTAGATGACGTTTAAGACCTCGAAGCCCCTATAATGTCTTGCCAGGACATCTACATAGGGCAATTTGTTACGACATCTTAAAGACAGACAAACACATGTAAGTAATGATGTCTTCTAGACATCTACAGTCGCCGATGGATTTTTTGGACTTTGCGGGGACCAAAAAGACGTTCGAATAATAGAGCAGTCTGAAAAATTGGCAGATTAAAAAGCTTGCCTTTATTATGTCTAAGCGGGCATAAAAAAGTTGTAAATAGTGCCTTGCTTCGGCTTACGCCTCTGTTTGCGTTTAACAACCTTCTATTAGCTTGAGAATCGCTGCCTTCTTTTCTAGCATTATGGTCAAGTAGTTTCTGCGCTTCTTAGCGACACATCGCAGCGGCAGAACAGATGGGGCAATGACGTCCAAGCCAGAATAGTTCGAAAACACAATTCGCTGAGACGAGATCGAGATGAGGGGTGCAAGTCCACGACTGCAATACACGCTTGCTAGTCCAGCTTCAGGGAGCTGCCATCTTGCTCGGCTGGAGTGCGCTTGGATGCGTCATAATTACGAAGCCTTGCTGAAGCATTGTGATCGGATTGTGGCCGCGCCTAAGTGCATCCCACTGAGCAAGATGGCGGCACCCTGAGACCGGACTTGCAAACATATATAGCGAATGAGCAAAGCAAAATGGTAAGAACAATGGTGATGATGAGGACGTGCAGCTAGAGAATAAAAAGCCGCGACGCGTCACCTAGCCGTAGGACTTAGCAGCCCAAGCCAATCCATGTGCAAACCAAACCAAGCCAATCCATGTGCAGCAAACATAGAATCCAAAATGACCGCTTCTCGATGGTGTTTCCCGCTGATCGGTCGCGACAATATTGTCCGAAAAATCTAACTTTCGGACCTCATGCTGTCCAAAACATTGAGCATGAATATGCACTATTTCTATTGGGTAGATCCAAAATATCGAACAAATCTGAATTATCGGCGCCCGAAAAATGGTTCGGCGACTGTACATAAAGATCTTTCAGCTGCGAGACGCTTAAAGGGATACTACAATGAAATTTTGGTGTTCACTTTTTGGTCTATATGTGTTCAAAGGAGCAGCATCACATCGAGCACACCAATATCTTGCTAAAAACGTCACGAAAAGAAATTTTAAAACGAATTAAACGATTAGCAAAGAGCACCTGGTGGATGTCGCTAACGCCTCGCTTGTAATGCCCGTCTAGGAACCTTGACAGCTAGTGATGGAGGTTGTCTCGCCTCCGGCCACGACGAGAGAAGAGGGGCAGGAGGAACTCCATTCTTTCCGAGAATGCCTTTTGTGTGTCGCAGAAGTCGCTATTGTCCCCCTACAAGATTACAGAAGATTAACCCGTCACTCAAAATTCGTACAAAAGCAGCCACTTCGGTGGCTGGAACGACTAGGCCATCTTCTCGACGTCAGCCTCGCCGTAGCTTTGCTCGTCTTGAGACGACCTATGTCACTATTGCGTTGGATGTCACGTGGTCCCCACTGTGCCTTCTCTGAGCGCTTGCCAGAGTGGGCCGTTTATAACGAAAAATACAGCCACCAGGCCCAAAATGCAAACGTGCGATTGTCATTTACGGATATGGTGGATCATATTCAATCTATTTTTGAACACGACGGGAATATTTCAAATTTCGTTGAAGTATCCCTTTAAGACCTCAAGGTCCCTATGATGTCTTATCAGGATGTCTCTGTGGGACAATTTGTCATGACACCTTATAAACAGACGAGGCATGTAGGTAATGATGTCTTCTAGACATCTACATAAAGATCTCTTAGCTACGAGACACTTAAGATCTCAAGGTCTCTATGATGTCTTGACAGGATATCTAATATAGGACAATTTGTCATGACATCTTATAGACAGACATGTCGGCAATGATGTCTTCTAGACATCTACATAATGATCTCTCAGCTAGGGGTACTCCGCATTTTCTTTATAGTCCCCAATTTGCCCTAACATTTGCTATACACACCAACAAACATAGCTGAAATAGTAAACCAAATATTAAGCCAAAATTAATTTTTCTTTTTTTTTTTTCGTGAAGGAAGTTGTTGAATTTACAATTTTGGCCCTCATTATGTTTTTCAAAGTGAAAGTCTCTACTAGCAACAATAAAAAAGTGACATTAGCAGAAGGCACGGGTTCACTCCTTGAACTGTGTAGGCTTTGTTCCCAACTGATTACAAGCAGTTTCATAGTGTCCAATGAATGGTTTGTAAGCTCGCTCCAGCACCCATGCAGCAGCACGAAACGAATGCTTGCCATAGCCTATTTCTAGACTGCCCGCTCAACCTGCAAGCCTGTCTTCCGCCGACGTCACGGCACTGAAAAGTGCGGGTATATTTGAACATTGATTTCGGCATCATTTTCACTTGCCGATTTCACAATAACAATTCTTAATTTTGCGATACTAAATAGCACACCGGAAAGGGCAAAGGCCGGTGGTTTTGAAATTATAGTTATTTAGGGTAGCTAAAAAAATCGCCGGAGCACACCTTTAAGACCTCAAGATCCCTATAATGTCTTGTCAGGGCATCTATATAGTAGACAATTTTTCATGACATCTTGTAGACAGACAAGACATTTCGGTAATTATATATACTAAACATCTACATAAAGATATCTCAGCTACGAGATGCTCAAGACGTCAAGGTCAATATAATCTGTTGTCAGGACACATATAGTATAAGACAATTTGTCTTGAGACTTTATAGACAGGCGACATGTATAGTGATGTCTTTTAGACACCTACATAAAGATTTTTTACTGTAGACCTCTAACTCAAGGGAAGCTAAAACACTTCTTTAAAAAAATGAGATAGAGGTTGATTCTAACATAGTTTTACCCCGTGAATCTGAATAGCACGTTCGCTTTCCCTGAAGATGTAACTAAAAGCGAGAATTCATGAAAAACCTCTAACCAGTCGTTACGTCATAAGAGGATCTTTCGGCCGCCAAGCGCGCGTTGCTCGAGGGCCGCACATGCAATCACAAGTTTGCCAGGTATATTCCCCCGCACTGGCGCCTGTGCGACGTCTTTTTCTACCCTTTTTATAAATAGCAAGAGTGCGCGTGCATAGCTTTGATAAGTATTGAAGATGTGCGAGAGCGGAGATTTCGAAGACTCCTTTTGTAACATCACGCTCTGGGAAGAAGGCCTTCAGCAGTACTTCGAAAATGATTTTCTGCTGCCTCCATGTACTAGATTAAAAAAAGAACTTTGATATTTGAGATCTTGGCGGTCAAATGAAGACGATTGAAGTGTGTTTCCTCAAGCGCTTCAGCTCCCCTTTAAAAGTCTCTTCTAGACCTCTTGGCAAAGATGTCTTTTGGATATTTAAGTAAAGATCTCCTCCAGATGTCTAGGTAAATATGTCTTCTCGACATCTTGGTAAAGGTTTCTCTTAGGCATCTAGGCTAAGATCAGGCAAATATTTGTCTGCCTAACTAATCTAAAGAGCAGAATGCAGTTTCCACCCTTTTGCTTGCTATAAGTTTGTGCCAGAGCGTAATGGCAACACAATGGTCCTCTGGACCAAGATGCACAAGTTGCAGTTCAGAACCACACCTGTCACCTGCAGCCTTCGTTTATTGCGGTTGAATAAATGAGTTCACATGTTGAGAAGAATATTTAATGTGAAGCAAAGTCAAAGTTTGGAAAGTGGGGCCATAAGAGAAAGAATGCTAGTTTAATGAGCATCGGGTGAGTGGGACTCGACCACGGCTTGCTAGCACCTCCAACGACTTTGTTAAGAGGCTATGCAAACTCTTGCGGCAACCTGGCGACTTTGTCTTTGCACCACCGATGGTGCAACAGGTCAGAAAAAGCGGCTGGGGTTCCGCCGGAAGCGGTCTTCGACATTATGCATCCACCGGAGTGAAGAAGTGGCCCCCGAAGAAGTCCGGCACCTAGTCCGGCAAGCGAGCAGCGTCTCCTCTGACGGAGAGGGCAGCTTGAGTGGAGACAGCGCCACGTGAGTTGGCCCTCTTCACTTTCTTTTTTCCATCTCCCAGTTGTAATGTAAATTGAAATTTTCGCGAGGAACTATACTCAGTTTCACTATATGTTGTACCGCAGCGAAGGTGCACAAGAGCTTGTGCCGCTGACATGTGCCCTAGAGCAAGGAGCTCGCACTTGTAGCCTTTCCTGCGGTACATCATAAGGTGAAATAGAGTATAATTTTTGCGAGGTTTGCAATTTGAACACTATTGCGAAAAACTCATCACATGAATGCATCACCTCATGTTAGCAAATCCGTAGCACATCAGTCCCAATCAATATATTTTGTCCACAAAACATTTTTAAAACTAATTTCTTGAAATTTGCAAAATTATCGAGGCTATGAAAATGAAGTTGTGTACAGTACAGTCAAATCTCGTTAATTCGAACTTGCGGATAATTCAAACTAACATGCAGGTCCCATCCTAAGCGTCTCTATGGGAGGAAACTCTCGGTAATTCAAACTTTGCTTTATTCAAAACATTTTTGGTCCCCCTTGAGTTCAAATTAACGAGATTCGACTTAATATAGAAATGGGCTTGGCCAGACACTGGATGTCTGACATGTACTACAGGTTGTACTGTCCCGTAGAATGTTGGAAACCGTTATGTGGATGGAGTTTTGGGCAATTTTCTAAGACAGTGGTGTTTTGACTGCATTTCCCGATCCTTTTTGAAGCGAAAGAGATATGCTACGACTGAAAACTGAACGTTTGTGTAATCGTACATTACGACTGAAAACTGAAAGTTCATCCAATCATACACTATGACTGAAAACTGAATGTTCGTCCAATCATACACTACGACTGAAAGCTGGACGTTCATCCAATCCTACACTACGACTGAAAGCTGATTGTTCGTTCGATCAGTGCCACGCGTGACACGGAGGTTTTTGTGGTCCCGTGCAGGTGGGTGCCTTCTCTCAGGCTGGCCCCCGAGGGAGAATTTGCCCAGTTTGTGGACAAGCTGGGGCCCGGGCAACTGGTGGGGCGGCAGGCCTTGGCCTCGGCCATCCTGGGGGAGGTGCAGGTCAGCCTGTGTGACCGCAAGACCCACCTCGAGATCGAGGTCATCCGGGCCAAGGGGCTCCAGCCCAAGCCCAATGCCAAGCTGCTCCCTGGTGCGTGTCCCTCGCCTCAAAACGGAAGGAGCCAAGGTCTCCTCAAGTTACGTTCTTGCCGAACATCGGTGTAAGAGCAGTTCAGAGGCCATACACCAAGTACCAAGTGCCTGCTGTAGTCCTTTGTTCTTTGAATACAAGAAGTCTATCCGGTAGAGCATGTGTGCTAGCAGACCTTCAGCAATGAGACTAGATCCTGTTGGCTTCGCCGAGCTGCAGCGACTTAAAATATCAAGCCTACACACATGTTAGAATAATCACCCACCAGCTGCATCTGACAAGTTTGAAAAATAAGCAAAGGACATATAAAGTGCCCAGGCCAGACTTCTGAGCAGACCCGACCAACCAAAATGCTCTTCCGTGTTTGCCATTTCTCCACGCATGTCGGTGCAAAGCCATGAAGCTTACCCCATGTGCGCTATTGCAAAGTGGTGAAGACCACCCCACCTTGTGGCCCTTCTGCGTTATTGTTTTTGAACTTAGGACCTTCCTGCAAAATATTTTTCAACCAGGGTGAAAATCCTCCTAGCCACCCTTCCCATTTCCCCCTTTCCCAGGGGGAACTCCTTTTGTTGCTCCATTTTGGGCCAGGATGAGCCGGACAAGTTTTCAGCTTATCCGGCCCCAAGATGCAACAACAAAAGACCCCCCCCCTGCTGTCAAGACAGCAGTGGGAGAGGGAGAAATAGGGAGGGTGGAGGAGGTTTTTCACCCTGGTAGAAAAAAAAGCTGTTTACCACTCCCTGTAACGTCGAATTGGAGCGCAGCTCTTGAGGAGGAAGAGGGAAGGGTACTTAGGGTCACGTGTTCTCGGGGGGGGGGGATCACGTGACCTGGGGGAGTGATCACGTGACCTCGAAGTAGGGGGGTCCATGGGGGAGGGGGGGTCACGTGACCCCCAGAGATATTTTCCGCTAGATTTAGCGTTGCAATTTCTCCGCTAAATTTAGCGGGGAAATTTTTCCGCTAGATTTAGCGGGCGAATCTTTTTGCTAGATTTAGCAGGGAAATTTTTCCGCCAGATTTGGCGGGGAAATTTTTCGGCTAGATTTAGTGGGGAAATATTTCCGCTAGATTTAGTGGGGAAATTTTTCCGCTAGATTTAGCGGGGAAATATTTCCGCAAGATGTAGCGGGGAAATTTTTCCGCTAGAATTAGCGGGGACATTTTTCCGCTAAATTTAGCGGAGAAATTTTTCCGCTAGATTTAGCAAGGTAATGTTTCGGCTAGATTTAGTGGGGCAATATTTCCGCAAGATTTAGCGGGGAAATTTTTTTGCTAGAATTAGCGGGGAAATTTTTCCTTAGATTTAGCAGGGAAATTTTTCCGCTAAATTTAGCAGGCAAATTTTTCCGCTAAATTTAGCAAGGTAATGTTTCGGCTAGATTTAGCGGGGAAATTTTTCCGCTAAATTTAGCAAGGTAATGTTTCGGCTAGACTTGGCGGGAAAATATTTCCGTAAGATTTTGCGGGCAAATCTTTTTGCTAAATTTAGCGGGGAAATTTTTCCGCTAGACTTAGCGGGGAAATTTTCTTGCTAGATTTAGCGGGGAAATTTTTTAGCGGGGAAATTTTTCCGCTAGATTTAGCGGGGAAATATTTCCGCTAGATTTAGCGTGGAAATTTTTCCGCTAAATTTAGCGGGGAAATTTACCCATAATGCACCGCGCGGTTACGCCGACGGCGACGCTGCTCAAGCCGGAAATGGACACCTAAGAGCTGCGCTCTAAAACATTTTGTATTAGAGCGCAGCTCTTAGGCGCCTAATTCCGGCTTGAGCAGAGTCGCCGTCGGCATAACCATGAAGTCACGTGACCTCCCCCCTCCTTAGGTCATGTGACCCCGTGACGTCACCCCGTGAGGAGGGGTATACCCTCCCCTCAGTACCCTTCCATCCTCCTCCTCAAAAGCTGCACTCCAATTTGGCGTTACAGGGAGTTGTAAATGGCTTTCATTTTTTTTTTCAGCATAGGCAGGCACATATTCAATATTTTGCAGTAATTTGAGCTCCCCTTAATGTTGCTTTTGTGCTCGTTGTGAATCACAAAATCCTTCCCTATCGTTTCGATCAGCTCAAAAAAAGGAAGGGGACCATGTACTCTCGAGCCCACATTCCTAAAAAAAGTACCGAGACGAATAGGTTTCTTTTTACATTATAACGATATGAGAGTGACTTAAATTAGGCCTGTGAAATACAACACAAAAAATCCGCACAAAATGAGCTCCCCGTTTTCGGCAGCTCTATAATCTTTAGACGCATACGCAGTATGTGCAAGTTTGCTTTAGGTTTCATAACCTCTCTTGCCTAAGAGAAAGGGCAGTGTTTACTGATGTAATACATTTTCTTGTTCTAAGTGTCCATCTTCTCATTTCAGCACCCTATGTGAAGGTGTACCTGATCAATGGCAGGAAGTGCATAGCCAAGGCGAAAACGGCGACTGCCCGGCGGACGTTAGATCCACTCTACCAGCAGGTGCTAATATTCAACGAGGACTATCGAGGTTGTGTGCTGCAGGTAAGCCCAGTGTCTCTACTTTGTGTACTTCCGTTCAATGCACAATCGAACAGAATTGTAACTTTTTCTAACGAGGCAATCGATGGATTTGAGAAATGTAAGAATAAGACAAGTCTACTTTTGTACAGGTCAACTCTATAGACCGACACATTGTAATTTGTTTACAAACAAGACCGCGTCCGCCCACACCAGGTGTGGGCACTGCGCGTGCGCAGAAGTCGAATTCGGGTGAAGTGAAACGTCTGCGCATGCGCCATGCCGTCGACAGCACAACCGCAGCTGTGTGACATCAGGGCCGCGTGTTGGTCTAGAGTATTTGGTGTTCCCTCAGTTAATAGCTAATAAAGACAAGTAGGAACATGTTCTGAAACAAGAGCTTGCATGGTGGTCTAGAATCCTAATGCTTAATAATGGCACTTCAGGCAAAGAGAGGAGAAAAAGTCATATGCTTTGCCCACAATGTGCAAAGAAACGAAAGCCATAACTGTTGCTTGGTTGTGCAATGCGGGTGGAATGGTGCCGTCATGTACCTGAGGATGGAGGTGCGACGTGGTTAATTCTCACTGCTGTCGTGGTTGGCATTGTGGATGCCACTGACGACCGCCAGCAGTGCTATAGTCAGTTACAGGTTAAGAAGGTAGCGGCAAATGCCCCTCAAAGGGAATCAGATATCCCTCCGCCACCTTTGCATCCAATAGCGTCCCACTGTTTCCGTGACGTCGCGGACAACGCGCGAGGAGGGTCTTGCCTTTCTGTACATATTTGCTTTATCTTTCGACTTTGACTTAGCATTGTGGAAGCCACGAGAGGGAGATTAGAGTTCTCCCCCACCGACGGAAACAAATACGACTTTCGGGGATTAGCATCCCCCCCGATGGATACAAAGGCTGCTTTCAGGGGCTCGGTTCCCTCTCCGATGAATACAAAGGTCGCTTTCTTAAAAAGTGGGATCGGAGACAAGTGGGAATCCATTGAAGCGGAACAAGGAGCGTTTCCAGTGAACTCTTCTTTCGACTGCGGAGAGATTTGAAACGGGCGCATCACACTTGTGGGAGGAGCTTCTCCTACCTTCTTGACTTGTAACCGACTATAGTTGATCTGTGAAGTAAGTGGGCAAGCACGATAAACGTTTCTAAAACCATCCAACATTACGCATATAGCAACTGGCTACTGCCAAAGTGGGATTTCGCATGACGTGAGTAATGTTTGGAAACAAGTATTTAAAGCGAATGACAGGAAGACTTTCCCTTCGTCGCACCACTACTGGCGGGACGCCAGGGCTCCCCTCTTTTCTCTCTTCGAGCGGTGCTGCCGATGGGAAGAACCGACTTCCCTGGCCTTGTGCCAAGAGGGGAGAGAAGAGTTTTTCCGTAGCGGCAACGACAGCCGATGGCCTTGAAATCTCTGCAAAGTGTTGCCTGTAAAGTTATCGCTTTAAGAGCTCGATCCTAAGACAGACGTTTGTCGTCTGGTTCTTCGCAACTGTGAGGTGAAATTGTACAACTTCTTTTTTAATAAATTATCTATGACTGCAAGCCTCAGCACAACATAGGCATAATATGAAAAGCTATGCATGTCTTGTTGCAATGAATGTTCCACTAGCAGAAAGATGGCATCTTTCAGAACGGCCAACTTGCGACCACAAGCTTCCACATACAAAACGAGATACAGATGGGTTATGGCTTAGGCTTAACCTGTCTGTATCTCATTAGTTTTGGCCTAGGCACTTGGCTTTAGCCTAGGCCAAGTGTGGGGGAGTCTGGGGAACCTAGGCCGTGGGTTCACCAGCTACCCTAGACTTAAGGGTTGCCTTCTTGTTCCTCTCTGCCATAAGCAAAGCATAAAGTGTCTTTCACCGATGTACAATTGAGTGATGCACTCCCAAGTACGCACATTATTCTTTACAAGTTTGTATGCTCCCGCACCATTTTATTGCATTGACGTCGAGACCACGAGGGAATTCTCAGTTGCCGTTCGAGGCAGGCGGAGTTTCCTCAAGATCAAAGAGCTCGAGAACCCCCGGACTGTCGCACGTTCCTCGCCCTAAACAGAATTTCTAAGCCGTTCCGATTTATTTTTGCTCCCCACCTCAACTCCAGGTGACCGTGTACGGAGAGTACGGCCGCATGGACAAGAAGGCGTTCATGGGTGCCGCTCAGGTGATGCTGGACGACCTGAACCTGACCAACATGACCATCGGGTGGTACAAGCTGTTTCCCCTCACGTCGCTGGTCATGGCACCAGCCTCGCAAGGAAACTCCCTCGCCTCCATGGACAGCTTCGGCTGAGATCGCCGTGGGGACGCTCGCGCGACACCTTCTCCAACACGTGTTGTGCTCCCGCGACTCTCTCTCTCCCCCCACCCTCCTTGTCTCCGCCACCGAGGCGAACAGGAAGGAAGGATGACGGCTAGGACAGTGACTGCGGCCACGGAAAGCGGGTCGCGGCTACGGAGCTGCCGTTCGCGGCAAGCGCAACGACGAATTCCGTCGAAACGACGGAGAAACCGTAAACGGATCCTGTCAAGACGACGGGGGGGAAGCCGCGAGCGGATTCCGTTGAGACGACGGGGGAAAACGCAGACGGAGGGAGGTCCTTTCACGGCACTGCGGTTGTTGGATGGGGATTTTGAGAGGGGATGCTCTACGAGGACGTGCGAATTTGTTTTCTTTTTTTCTAATATTTTATGAGTTTGGAAGTTGGAGTGTCGTCTCTCTCTCTCTCTCGTCCAGCTGGGCCAAAGAACAAAAGGGCGAGAGCGGACCACAAGGGGGCAGTTCGAAGTGCCCAGATTCCGAAAGCGGCCCGATAGAGTCGTTCCCGCCAAAAGGGGAGGTAGCGAGGAGGCGGCGGCTGCACAAAAAGAGATGCTCAGAGTATAATGTATATATATTACGCGTCGTAATATATAAATATTATACGCTTATAAAAAAAAAGAAGAGTGCAAGAAAAAAAAAAGAAAACTGATTCTGAGTTTCCGAGGTCGACGGCAAATGAAAAAAAAAAGAGCATGATTTCTTTTTTGGGTTAAACACGTCTCCTTCTCTTCCGTTTTATTTCTTTCGGACTGAGTTTTTCAATGCCGAAGCTTCTCTCTCCTGTTTTGAGAGAAAGTGCCTGTTATGCTCTGTGCATACATCTGTGTCTTTTGTGCCGTTTCTAGTCATGCCTAGGAAACAAAACAACAAAAAAAAAAACTGTCCGTGTGTTCTACTACCGAGCATAAAAAGACTAAACAAACGGGAAAAAAAAACAAAAAAACAAGACGCTAGGAGGTCGAGCACGGGCCGAAAACATCATCGTCATCACCGCCGCGAATTCACCACATCATCTTGAGCGCGAAAAGAAAAAGACGACAAAAAAGGTGTCCTGGTCGTTTGTTTTTACTATGATTGTTGATGGTGCAGTTTCTTGTGCGGCACTCTCAATTTTTCTGTTAGTGATGCCGTCGCGCGTGATGCGTGAAAGAGGTTGTCTAACTGTGTATAAAAAGAAAAACTCACTGCCCCTCTGGTTCACGGGCATTGTTTTAATAGCTTTGCATTGGACGAAACAGGCCCTTCCCCCTTTTTAAACGTTGTTGTTTTACGAAGGAAAATGTGTCGCTGAACGTTTCTCAATGGCGTCGTTTGTCGCTGCATTTTGAATTTTACGCTAGTCGCCTACGACACAGAAGAGAGAATGGTATGGTTTAGGCACCCTCGTTTTTATTTGTGTCGTATCATCCATCAGCTGTGAGCGAAATCTTTTTATCTTGTTCGAGTCTTTGTTTTTACGGCTTCCGGCGCAAGCGATCACTGTACACAATAGCGAACCCACTGTGACGAGAAACGTTGTTTAGAAAACCATCGCTCCATTTGTTCGTTTTTCACGAGTGTTTGGGACACAAATGTACTTTTTTATTTTTTTTTCAAAGACCATGCTGCTCCCTACTACTATAATAATACTGCTAGTATAACTACTACTATTACAACTTCTACTACTACTGTTACTAATATTACCATTGTTATCAAACAATAGTACTATTGATCACAACGCCAATACCGAGCGCTGCCCGCTTTCAAAGACTTGACTGAACAAAAAAAAAAAAAGAAAAGATCCAAGCTGACCTAAACCGTTTTTTGAAACTAGAATTCATACCGCCAGAAAAAAAAAAAAAGCTTTCCAAAGCTTCCAAACTAGGCAGAATCAAACTTCATAGCACACATTCTCCACACACAATCACACATTCTGATGAGAAAAAAAAAAAAAAAGCAAACAAAAAATATGCCATTAAAACCGGTTTTAGTGGAAATTTCGCATGTAACCGCGCGTGTCGTGACCATATGCGAGTATATTCACAATGCCGACTATACCTATACATATATAAATACATACATACATACATACTACATACCCGTCTCTATGCTTTACATACATACTAGGCATATTTGCAGCCAAATTGAAGAAAGCGGGGCCCGAAATGCTCGTCACACAGGATGTCACGGCGCGCGTGAAGTTCTTCCATATCACCTCATAGGTTGTCCTCATACGACATCTTCTTTTCGTGCAAAGGAGAAAGAGAAAAAAAAAAAAATGCGCGTGCCCACACAAAAAAAGGGAAGAAAGGTAAAAAAAAAAAAGAAAAAAAAAGTTCTCGCAAACTAAACATTGTTTTGTGAATTTTTACGCTTCCGTCGATAGCTCGGTACAATGCTAGAACCACTTTTACGAGCGAGTGAAAACAAAATGGCTAAAAAAAAGACAGTTGTTTTCCGAAGTTCTCGTTTCTGATTTCCTTGAGTTGAAAAACCACTTAAATGTGTACCGAGGGTAAGAGATACATGGATATTTGTGATATAAATATATCCGTGTGCGGTGTTGAGGAAAACAAAAAAAAAAAATTCTGTCAACACTCGGTGGTATTGGGACTTGTGGTTCAGTGATGTTACTGATGCATTTTGTATACTGTACCAATACAGTTTGCCTTTTTGATCTTTAAGAAAAAGCAACTCCCAGCATCGGTGTGAATTTCACTCTGGCATCATCGCCTCCCCTCCCCCCTCCAATCTTCCAGATCCTGAATGGCCTTCTGTGACACTTCTTTTCATAGACGCGAGACATTCAAAATGTCTTCGAAGACGTACCAGGCACACAGTTGCAAACAAGAACTGGAATGCACTACCGCTATTTGTCTGGCGTTGTGGCACTAGAGTCGCTCGAGCTTAGAGTGAGTGCTCCCAAGCCAGCAACCAGTGCAGTTTGGAGATGATATGCAGCTTAAATGGCTCAATTAATTTGTTATTTTAGAGAAGTATTTTGTATTGTGCCAAGTGCTAAATTAAACTGCAGTCCGGCTACAACGGAGCCGGGATGAAGTAGCTATACCCTGACAATGACCACCGCCGAAGTACAGTCATAGTCATACTTAGCTGCAGCAAATGCTAAGCCCACTCTTGGCATATTTTGGTCGTTTTAAACGTGCCCGTACATGGTTTTACGCTAGTGTCGACGTATGTGCTGGCTTTCTGTCTCGTTACGCCCGTCTTATACCTTCAGTTAACATAAATAAGTTCGAGGGGTACATATTATGCTTTAGTTCGTGCATTTCCTCATTAAAATTCACTGCCACGCTTTAGTTAAGTTTGATTGTGACTGTACCCTTGAATACAATACATTTTGCAGCATGTTACATGACAACTAGAGATTATGGTCTTAGGTCACATCTCCAAGATACAATATTTACACGCTTGTAAGTCGACTCGATTGTAAGTCGACCCTCCCAGCATCGCACATAAAAAAAAAAAAAAAAAAAAAATTAGGGGCACATTTTACAACGAACATGGGAGAACGGCAGGGAATCTCTTTCGAAAGTCCGGCCTGCAGCATGTGCCTTCCAGCGTGCTTTGGTTGCGCATGCATGAGTGAGGCGCTTGAGATACCCAAGCGTTATCAAAACTAGGAAGCTCGCGCTGGACAACTGGACCTGCTCCTTGTCGTTCTCACTCTGTCTGCAACTAGAGAGTATGATTCGGCCCACACTGGTGTTGTCGCTCCCGTCGCCGTCACTGCTACGTTCTCAAAGCACGTCGTCGGCGTCGTCCAACGAAATCTCGCACCTTGCAACTAACAGCATCAACTGCATCTCCCGCGCTTGCTCGGTGATCACGTTGCACGTCACGGGTAGGGGACCAATTACGCACTTCTGCGGTGTACGTTGGAAGGCGTCCCGACCAATCCAGACTTTGGCCCGCGGAGGACTCTTTGTTTGCCGTTACAGTTAAGATCCCGCGCCGTTGCAGATGCCACTGGAGCACCACCCGCTCTGACGGGTCGACCTTGCATCCAACAGTGCAGTTGTTGGTTGCTTTTAGATAAGTATGGCCATAAACGAACACCGAAAACCTAAACTGCTCGGATCACGTATGCCAATACACAAAAACATAGTTGGCGCTCCAGCATGATCTGGACACTCGATCAAATGATGTGCGACCGTAAATCGTGCGAAAAACTGCAAAAAAAAAAGCAGGGGGGAGTGAGGTGTCACAACTCCAACAGTCTATAGGTGGCGCCACTCGTTTTCCAAGATGGCAGTTATAGTGAGGGTCGGAGATCTGTGCTGGTATACAGGTTGCTGAGCCTGTCTAGTGTGCTGGCTTCACTGAGCGACACAAATTATTCATGCTTATACAAAGAAGCTGAAGAGGTGCATCGAAGATAATGGAGAGGTGGCCTTTAGAAGTTCAAGTGGTATAACCCTGGAAAGCTTTATGGAAATGTTGCAATTCTACCTGCCATCCATGATAATTACGTGGAAGGGGAATAGCTACAGGCAAAAGTAGGGGGTGTGTATTGGGTCATGTGTTGCCCCCGTTTTAAGTGACATTTACCTGGGTGAAGTGGACTGTGCTATCGCGAGTGAGTTAGGCGACACTTTTGTTAGTAAGGTGTTCCGCTACGTAGACGGCTTTCCAGTGATTCTTAAAAGAGGAGTACTACTGGACACGGTAAAGGCCCGTTCACACTCTAGCGACCGAGTACGACTGAGAGAGACGAGATCTCTTACAACTTCTTAAATGTTTCTAGAATGAGGGGACACACTGACATTGTGGCGCCATCTATGCGGTGACCCTAGAACTGCATTTCACAAAACCGAAGGTTTTGCGGGATTTCCGAGGTCAAATGTGCGTAACACCCATAGAAAGGCTCGTTTATAACATTGACAAAAGTTTTTCGAGCCAAAAAAGAAAGGATATTGCGCGAGAAATAAAAAAAATATGCCGGACCGCCGAGTTTACACTGCTTCCCAATAGATGGCGCCAGTGTGTTCTCTGGTTTAAGAAGTTTTAAGGAACCCAGGTTTAAGAGGTCGCAAGCAGTCGCAAGAGTGTGAACGGGCCTTAAGGGAACAAGTGATAAGTGTCTTTAAAACATGTGGGGGAGGCCTAAGGTTTACATTCGAGATCCCAAAAGAAGGTGTGCTTCAGTACCTTGACATTTCACTGCGCCTAGAAAACGACCATGTATGCTGGACTTACAAGCCAAGGTCGAAGAAGGCCATTGTTGACTACAACTCGGCCCATTCAAAAATCATAAAAAGGGGCATTGCTCTGTCTAGTCTACATTCAGCATTCAACAAATCTTGTCTCCACACTATAGGAGAGAGCTTCAAATTGCAAACAGCGAGACTGCAAAAAGCCGGCTATCCATCAGCACTACTGTCAGATATTGCAAGCACCATAATTAGGAAAGTAAAAGGGATCCAGAATACAAAACGTAGTGTGGAAAGAAAGAGACCAGTTGTCATCCCGTATGTGCACAAGATTTCCCATAACCTAAAAAATGTTGGAAACCGCTATGGAGTTTCTGTGTTCTTTTCAGCTCCCCAAAAGATGAGTCAGATTTGTCTAAAGTCAACGCCAAGGCAGAGGGAAGTCTAAAAAACAGATGTTCAAAAAAGCACGCCAAGCCATTTGTGCCTTGTGCCACGGGTGTTGTTTACAACATACCACTATCCTGCGGCCTCTCCTACATTGGACAAACAGGACGCTGCCTAAACGACAGGCTCCGTGAGCACGACTACTCCCTCAGAGCCACGGTGGGTGGGAATTTTTCTCTTCACTGTAAAGAATGTTTATGTGAACCGTCTTATGATGCCACCACAGTTATGGGAAAACACCGGGACAAAACAACCCGAGAGGTTCTGGAAGCTTTTTACATCCACAGTGGAGGAGCAAGTTGCATCAGCACACCATCTGTCTCGTCCAACAAAGAGTTGGAGTTCATGAAACTGACTATGAAGACCCAGCGCGTGCCATAGCGACCACATATCATGGCACAGGTTACACGTGCTATTTATGGGGACCAAAATATTCTTCTTTCTCTTTTGCTTCTATTAAAATATCTAGTTGCGAGTCAGCGCTCTGTTCTATCCGGTGTGTCTCTTCCCTTTTTGTCCTTTTGCGCTGTGTATTTCTCATTATGTATATCCACAGGTCATCTCTTTATCCTGGAAACAAAAATGGTGTTTAACATACTATTTATGCCAGGAGGCACGCTTTAATTTGGGAACAAAACTGAAACTAACTTGTATCTTAAATAACTTGGTCTTCAAATTTTCTTCTAATGCGAGATGTGTCTCACGGCTTAACTATTAAGCTAAAAAATTGTTTGTGGAAACTTGATTTTGTGACATACGTGTCTGATCCAGGCACTTCAAAATATTTTGGAGAGCTCGGTGTTCCTTTACAGACGGGGTTTTTCATACACCTTAGAGGTATCGCAGAACATTGCAGTTGCTGAAAAAAATCAGCGCTGATATTTGGATGTTGTGGCCGTTTTTTCTCACTCGGATAATTGGCATTTGAAATAATGAACTGCAGGCCATTTAGTAGGTTTTGGAGCATTTAGGTGATTAATTGCTTTAGTATTTATTCCCAGAATAAGAATAACAGAATCAATGAAAATTTTACAAAATATTGCTAAGGGTGATGAGTTCAGAATAGGGTCAAAAAATATATAAATTAAGAAAGGCTGTTCACTACAAAACACCCAAAACGGAATCTGAGTTAACACAATTGTGTATGTTTTCTTTTTTTTTTTTTTAAAGGCAATGCGTGAAGCATAGGAACTTATGTTACATCCAGTGTTTATGTCGGTCCTGATAACAATGTCTGAGTCTTTCACATGCTAAAAGGAAAACAAAGGGAGACCTTTTTATAAAGGTTATCATTATGGTTAAATGGCATATCTTCGTGATTGTGGTGGGTATATTCAACAAGTTATAAAATGAAAAGTCTAAAATAAATAAAAACATTTTAGCTAGTGTGAAAAATCCATGTAAAATTACATTAATTGGGAGTAAAGCATATGGTTCAATTAAAGTCGCAACATATGACAATAGGAAACACTTCCAAATTCGCCCCCCATCCTTCCGGACCAAATGCCCCAAAATATAAAAAAAGAATACCGTTATTTTTTAAACTTTTCAGGACATTCATTTTCTTTCATTTCCAGGCTCCGTCATTTTGCTAATCTCAGCCTTTCTAACTCAAAAGGAACGCCTACCCGTTTGCACCGTCTGCTCACTGCATGCATTGGCATTGGAAAACCTTTAAAACAGTAGTGAGTTTTAGTATTGCGTATATGATCGAACGCAAGCACAGTGTGTTTGCGTTAATGTTGCGTGTTCCGCACTGCCCGTTTGCGGAGCCCAAGATTGCGGTCTTTGATTGGTGCATGGCGACGACGTGCAAGCACCATGTCGAGCGCACAACTCTAAAACTCGGGTGCAATCTCGTACCGGCTGCACCACTACATTGGGACAGTGAAGAGTGTTGCTTGCATTCAGATATGACTGTTCGCGAACCATGATTGTGAGCAGTTCCGCCGTGCCTGCTGAGCAGGTGGACCGGGTGACCCTCACTATATTATCGCTAGGGTGCTTTCCATTTCTGCCACGAGAGGGTGAGCAATGAGCTGAAGGCGCAATAGAGCCATTCCAGCAGCCATTCTGGAGTGGCTTTTACAAGAAGTGCCGCCACCACCGGAAGTCAGGCATGCCGTGTGCCGTTCACCGCCATACATTTGGGCTAATTTGCGAATCGCTGTCAATAATAATTGTTTGTGCAAATAAAAAAAAAACAAAAAAACTTTTGTTTCGTTTTTGTTGGCGGTGGAATGCTTTGGTTCAATTATAAGTCAACCCCCCACCTAAAATTTTAAAAAATTTAAAAATGGGTCGACTTACATTTTTGTAAATATCTATATTATAATAAGATATATACAGCGTGTTTGTTTGTAAGTAATTCAAACGGACCTTTTTTAGAAAAGAGGCAAGTTACAGGAATGCCGTCTTCACTCCGTGTTTCTGGGGCTCGGCATACATCAGATTGGGTGATAGCTGCCTCGCTAAAATGGCTAATTAACTTAGGTTTGTTAAGTAACTTTTCAATTAATGATAAGATGGTTCACAACAGACTTCTCTTGTTTTAAAGTTAATCGTTGTGAAAGGCTAAAACAGTTTGAACTGGATTTCAGATACCCAATGATCATGCTTTGCCTTTTTGTAGAATGATTTCAAAACTGGATGCAGAAAGAATGCCGAAACTTCCACCCTTCTTATGAATTTATACAAGAAAGACATACTGCTCTTGTTTCCGGCGCTTCGTCGTTATCTCGGCAGCGCACTGTCGGCGCATCCGAGAACGTCAAGGTGAGCAAGACGGCTATGTCGCACTTCCATACATCACCGTGGACAGCGATAACAATGTTCTTTCTGCGTCTAGTTTGGGAATCAAACAACAAAAACGCGAAAGCCGATAGTATCGGTGACCATCTCATAGTTTGTGGGCATTTTGCAAACTGTTTAAACTGGTTTAGTCTCTTATATTGTACATGTATGGAAACAATTCGACTTGGTGTTTTCCACAGTACCGACAGCCATTGTTGTGTGAACGCGCAAGACATGTGCCACGAACGAGTGCTTGTTTCCAAAAGCCGCTCATTTCAGCGCTGTGCAGCCATTTGCTTCCAAGGGCCGCACGCCTCGTGTGTTGCTGCAATTGTTGCAACATTTAAGACTAACCCAAACAGACCGAGGGGCTTTAATCCCTCTAACATTCACAAGTCCACCAATGTTTTTTTTTTTTTTTTCCCTGAAGCAAGAAATGAGCCAGTAATATAAAAACTTGGATGCTTTATTTAGAATATATACTATAAGAAGTCACCTTTAAAAAGTGGTGCAGCGTAAATCTTGCACCTCGATCTGTGGTGCCCACAGATCACTGGACGGATTCGACAATGCATTTTTTAATAGACTAACCCCCAACACCGGACAACACTTCCAAACAATAACCTCAAAGTAGACATGATATAGCTACATGTGTTGTACAACAAAACAAAAAAAAGAATAGAGATCATAGTTCTACTCCAATTCACAAATCACATTCTGACACAGCCAAGGCTACGAAACTTGCAGCACTCTTCATCCATCGAGCGTATGTCGCCTATCCAACCGCCAAATATTGTATTGGTGTTTCGACATAGAGTATAACACCATCTTTGAAGTCGCTGCAACTTCATCCTAAACAACCGACTGCCTCGCCCAAACCGTCCGCATGTACACTCTTACATATGCTTCCATTTCTTTTTCTTTGGCGTCTGCGATGAAGCAGCCGAACTAACTCAAGCAGTGAAAAAATACTGCATTCGACAATATGATCTATCAAAATGAGATACTATAGGTAAACAATACTAACAAAAGATTTGCAAGTTGTTTGCTCAATGCAATTTTCTCTAGACAAGGTAAGTGCTGCATGCATATCACTACACTGCTAAAAAGTGCTCCATGATCACTCTGGTGGAAATCTATTACTAGAGATAAAACAATAAGGAATCGGTAAAAAAAATTGGCAGGAACAATCGAAAAATCAAACGGCACGTCTGCTATTTTGCGTTAATCGACACAAAGCCATTTGCGTCTTTCAATACGGTGCCACGAAACTGTGGACATTATCTTTAAAGGTGGCACATGCCCCAGCCAAACTCCCAGTACATAAGTAACAACAAAAAAAGTCCAATGATACCATCTGTTGGGGAGCGGAGACAACTTTGTCCTTGGAGACACGGTGTGAGATCATAGAACCTTCTTACTTGTAGCTTGTCCCGCCGTCTGAAGAACCGCCAAAACTCGATGCTCGAGCTCTTGCTCACAGCACAAAAGGTTCCGCCCCATTTTCAGTTTCACTCTGCGCTCGTCTTGGCTCTGTGGCACAGGGGGCAGGTATGGCGTGCGAACATGTCATGCTTATCGGCGCCATGCTTGCAGAAGGAGCACGTCCACTGCTGGTCGGGGTCGCCGAGGATCCTTCCAGTGGCCACGCAGAGTGGGAGCTTGCCTCCACAGCTTGGACAGGCTAGCGACCTTCGAGGCAGGAAGAGAGCACGTGACAAAGTTTTTTATGCGGGAGAGGCTCGAGCAGAAGTAAAGCTGAGAAGCTGCTAAAGCAACGGACATTCTCACTGAACCAGACAAAGGACATTAGAAATGACGACGAACTGAACCACAAGCCGGAAAGTGCAAACAATCCCAGACTCGCACAAGTGGCGAGAAATCAAGGTGTATTTGTCTTTACCTTAGTATATGCGGTTGGCAATGTGGCTACCTCTTTAACCACTATTTTTTTTTCCTTTTGCGCCGAAATTCGGCTGTTCTTTGTTTCAGTTCTGGGCGCAGCCGACGAAACCAATCTAACCACTTCAAAAGTGCAACTCCGTGGTTTCTTCATCTTTCTCTATGCATTCTATAATCTGCTAAAAAAATCAAGTGCAGTGGATTCCCAGTGACTTGCAGTTTTAGCATGTTTCAATGTGTTCAAGCCTTCGACTGCACTCGGACTTACAACGAAACGAAGTATAGTTACCGGCAGTTTTAAAATGACGAGAAGGTCCTCCCAAGTTACGCTTTCACTAGCACGAGCGTTCCGACTTGAATGACGTCCCAGTGCCGTGCATGCTTAAGTGTGCGCTTGTAGTTGACACGCAACACAAAGCTCGTAAAAAGGTCAGCTTGAACTTTAGAACTGTACTCGAACACGAAGAAAGAAAGGACACCTGTCTGTCCTGTCATGTCCTTTCTTTCTTCAAGTTCAAGCACAGTTCTAAAATTCAAGCTCATCCATTTACAGGTATGTACCGACAAGCTCAACTCTCGATTGTCGTCCAACAAGGAGCTTTTGCCGGGGGCGCAACAACTGAAAGCTCCTTACCAAGGAAGATTGTCCTACGAGCTACAAGTTTTTTGTTTGTAATGCAGAATACCAATAGCTACACTTATCTCACCAGCGTCCATGCAACACACACTGTTTTTAAGGTTGGTTTGGCACCTCTTACCACTCCGTGACCGCAGACTCGCAACTGGGGCACTCCATTTTCACATCCCTGGCATCCTTGCGAGAGTACCTGCAGCACAAAAAATGTAAGCGCAGTTGGTGTACTGCACTCGGTGCCAGGAATTACCAGGTAGTATGGTGTCTGAAACGCATCTTCGAATGGCTCATTCTACCCGTGCATCAAAAGTGATGTTTAAGGGGGGACACTGGCTAGAGGTCAAACTTTTAAACTACTCAAGTGATCGGAACGAAATTAGCAGGGGAGATTTAGCTTCTGATGTAGGTGTACTGTGCAAATTTTCAGGTCTCTAGGACAAATTTACATACCTGCATAAAATGATGTGTCTCTTTTCATTAAGAAATCTATATATGAAAATGAAGCTATTAAGCATCATTTTGACTGCTTGAATATAAAGGGGGGGATGGGACCTCGGGCTATCTAGTTTTAATAACTTAAATGTAAATATTTCAGGAAGAGTTATTACCTCAAACTATGAGATGCATGTTTGTCCTATGTCAATTTTTGAAAACTTAGATTTTTATCACTGAGGACTTCAACTTAAAACAAAATAAAGTAGATAGCCCGATTCCTGAGTAAATTTCAGTTTAGAAACGTCTTGATTGTGGTATCAGAATACTTTCACCTTCGAAAAAAAGATTCCTTCGTATGAAATTTGCAGCAAAAAGTGGAACTGAGAAAAATGCATTCAAACATTGAACCTCTACTTTGTTACTGCCTCACAATCTGTTGAAAATATTTTATACCAATGTAACTATTTGGCGTATGGTTATCAAATTTGGTGTAAAGGTGTATAATTAGTTTCTAAAACTGAAAACCTCAAAATTAAAAAATGAATTTTTTCAAACAAATTTAAAATTTAGGCCCATGTCCCCCCTAAGTGGCAACAAATTGCATCGCAGGAGCCAACGTGTCATGCTGTTCGATTGTAATGTATAGTAGAACGTAAAGAGTGGCCATTCCCATAAACCCCAGTGGCTCTCTCGACTGGCGGCGCACCTAGCGACCGTTGTGAAGTTGGTCTCGGCTTCATGTTTGGGCGCTTCTGTTCGCTGCGTGGCTAGGGATAGATAGATCGTCCCTATTTGAAAGGCGTGGATGACTAATGTCGGCGATTCTGTTCGTATTATTAAGCACTAGCTTGTGCCACCAACACTGCTGCAACCAGCTAGAATTTTTAATTTATAGATAGGAATTGATTGCTCAAACGCACGCATAAATACTAAATTCCAAAGCAGGCAGGAAACTGTACACAATATGTGATAGAAAATTAAAACTGCTTCGCTCGACGAAAAAAGGGAGACGGCCAAACAAGAAAATTGGGTAATGCACAAATATTCATTGCGACCGTAAAGACAACCATAACAGAAATAACTGTTCCGCAGGCATCTGTCGAACCATGTAGCCCACTTCACCGTAAATGTGAGCGGAGGAGGAGCTACGAGAGCGAGCTCGATGCTTTAAACAAACTTGTAATACACACACGCAGTGAAAGCATCGTTCGAGACGACAAGTTCACGCTTGTGGCGTCGGCTCGCATGAATTTATGGGAAACAGAAAATGACTTTTCGGCAATGAAGCTGACGCTTGAGAGAGGCTTGAAACGCGCTCCACGCAGTTGCACTTTAATGGCCTATTCGTCTGGGGCACACCGTACCCGTCCAGTGCAGTAAACTCTTTCCACTTTAGTACACAAAAGTCTGGCGGGGAAAGAAGGAAACTCCCCTCTCCCCTTCCATATACCACGAACTGCACTGCACCGGTGCAATGCGGGGCCAGACGAATTGGCCATAATTGTCTCACCTTCGTCACAAAGAAAGACGATAAATTCACACGACAACAACAACTGCACACCCCCTGCCCTGCCACCTTTGTCGCAGTTACGGCGGCTGTCTAGCCATGGATCTTGCCAAAGCCCCGATCGCAGTCGTCGTAATATTTTTAACAAACGTTCGAAGCTACTACCAATTTTAGAAATACTAAAATTAAAGTAGAACTACTATCTCTTAATGGTACAAGTACGACAGACGTATAAATCAGAGGGCACCACTGCGCCCGCTGGCGGGTGTTGCGTATCCCAAGAACTTGGCCGCGATGGGGCTTTGGTGACCACTCTTTACATATCGCTATATTACTCTAGGGTCGGACATTGCAATCCTAAAGAAATGCGGCGAAAACGGCGAGCGGATGCAAGGGTCGCCATTGTCGCAAAGTCCCCAGCTCGTGTTTGCTTCGGTTTCCGTCAACCATCTGGCAGCAGAGCGACCTGCAACATAACAACAGACAGCAGAACAGGCTTCTGCCTCGTCCACCTCTGCCGCCACCGGGGTCGTGACATGACGCTTCCATGATGTCGTCAAGCAGAAATGGAGGGACCACTTTTGAGGACGGGATAAGCGCACCGGTCGAAGACGTGCCCACAGGCACTGTAGACGGGCTCCGTAGACGAGAGGCTCTCACTTTGTGAAGATGTCCACGGCCAGCTTCTCGAACGCCTGCCTTTGATCGGGGCTCAGGGTTTCCAGCGACTCCAGCTTCACAAAGGCCTTGGAGCAGGTCCCAAACGACCGGTTTGCGCAGCTCGTGAGCGCTACGGAAAATGCGCGAAAGACTGTTGACGCGCCGACACAAAACAATTGCCAAGAAAAAAAAAAAAGCTGGGGTTGTTAAGCTTTTTTTTTTTTTTTTTGTTACTTCAACGAAGCCAGGGGAATGTGCCCTGGGAGTAACAAGCAAAATCTTTTCCTTAACTATAGTCAAATACAGTTTAAGAATGACAAAGCAAGGGGGAAAAGGGTGTGCACAAGAAAAGCCATGGTGGAAAAGAGGTTGCTCCTCTCCACTTCAGCCTTTCCTAGTTTCTGCCCCCCCCCCCCCCCCTTTTTCCCCCTCACACTGCCCTTCTTATGTTGTATGTCTGACTATAACAGTACAAGGTTAATTTATACATGAAGAAAGAAAAGGTTGGTTTTAGCATACATATTCACTTTTAAATATTCTTTTTTTCCCCCCCCAAGATGTCAACAGGGTGCGGGGGTTTATATTTGAAGTGCCTGTTTGCCTGCAGAACTTTTTTTTGTGCCCCTCCTGAATTTTGTAAGACTCGGGGAATATAGAATAGCATAAATGCACTACAGTATCTGGGTCTACATACCACGGTTACTTTGACTGAGTGTACAGATACAATTGCAGTCAAGTTAACACGCTGTATTAATTTGTTATACTTAAAATGAATGTGACCTAATCAGAAAAAAAGAAAAGAAAAATTGTTAAAAATGGTTTTTGATGTTTATGAAAGAAAATGAAAGGGAGGGACAATAAAAAGGCTAGTCGAACAAATAAAAACAAAATAAAAGGCAGGTTTAACCAAATGTACTAAGTTATTAACATTACCTCCATATCCAGTACCTCTAATAAATAAAATGTGCGGCCATACAGGGCCAAATCAACTTGTAGAACTGTGTTTTAGCTCAGGTATGCAACAAGCCATTTTAAAAAGTCCTATGGAGCTCAGTGTAGAAGTGTCTAGCAAAAGGCTTTTTTAATGTGCAGAGGCAATGCATTTGATTAACAGTACTACAGCATTACTATAAAACACCAAAAATAAAAAAAAATAACAAAAATATTCTAGTTGTTTTATAACACAAATTTACGAGAAAAAGACTACTCACCGAGGAGAGTGTAAATTTCCGAAACATCAAGGATGTCTTCATAATCCCTCAAGTTCAGAGCAGTCCTCATGGCAGCATCCATAAAACCTGTTAAGCATAGGTATTGGCATTACAAACATGAGCAGGCCTTACTAGAAATCAAAACACTTTCTCGTTGCCACATCAGTAACTTCCCACTATTGATTCAGGACAAGTTTATTGTTGATAAAGCTTTATGATCACAATTTTTTCCTTGGCTGGATCAATAAACGGAATGTAAAAATGTCCATTAGTAATCGTTAAAAAATGCTAAGCCTCATTGCGTTGGCACTCTGACATTCAGAGACCAGTTAATAAAGAGGTCACTGAAGTGACAAACTATGATTACCCTGATAAGAAGAGTATGCAAACTCCAGGTTATCAGCTAGCTCCCCATGAGGGCACAAGGAAGGCAAAAGTGAGCCTCCCCCTTACGAACAGTTTGAACCACATAAACTTTCCACATCTATTAGAAAAAAAAATCCCATCTTGACAGCCTTCTGTGGCAAATAAATAGATGTCATGAACAAACCCATGCTATGCTGACTTTTAATCATCCTCCAAGCTGCTCCTCTATAAGAATGTCTCTAAAAAAAAAACAAAGCTGGTTTACCAGGATTTAAATAAAATTCAATTTGCATTGAGAAATGTAAGGCAAATTGATAGGCAATTTTTTTGCATATGAAAGATGTTATAGCATCACAAACGTTTATATCATTGTTTACCTGCACACCTAGCCTGCTCAGCCAGATGCCTAGTACTTTCAAGGCGCTCTTCATCCGATAACTTAATGCGTGTCATCTGTACACTTGAAATGATAAACCTGGTGTATCAAGGCCCGTTCACACTCTTGCGACCTCTTAAACCTGGGTTCCTTAAAACTTCTTAAACCAGAGAACACACTGGCGCCATCTATTGGGAAGCAGTGTAAACTCGGCGGTTCGGTATATTTTTTTATTTCTCGCGCATTATCCTTTCTTTTTTGGCTCGAAAAACGTTTGTCAATGTTATAAACGAGCCTTTCTATGGGTATTACGCACATTTGACCTCGGAAATCCCGCAAAACCTCCGCTCTTGTGAAATGCAGTTCCAGGGTTACCGCATAGATGGCGCCACAATGCCAGTGTGTTCCCTCATTCTAAAAACATTTAAGAAGTTTTAAGAGATCTCGTCTCTCTCAGTCGTACTCGGTCGCAAGAGTCTGAACGAGCCTTCACCCAGAACCTTCCAACCCACTCCTCCTCCTCACTCCACCCCTGGTCATATGACCTCCCCGTTAACCAATCGGCGTCGAGCACCTCGCTTCTCTCCCACCCATCAACCAACCGGTGCCGAGCTTCGCGGCCACGCTCTTATCCATGCTTCACGAAATGCCGAACAACTACGGTAGTTAAAGAACATTTCCCGTTAACACTGGCCACTGACGAGGCTAGCTAAAGCTGAATGGCTGACCTTCGTAGAGCTGACGCTGTGCCAAGATGTAAAAGTGAAACGCCTCTGCGCCACGCCAAGGCTGATCCATAGGCCTCGACGTGTTTAAACTTGTCGAGTCGTCCGACATGAGCGCATCCAGTGCAAGGCTCACCTGCACGGAGGGAAACGCTGGCGAGTATTCAATCTCTGGCCAAAAAATGGTGATCGCAATAATTATACAAGAGCATAAAATGCTTGTTCTATTCTGTGTCTCGTGCCCTGGCTTTTGCAGAGAGGATATCAAGTTGTGGCAAATTCGGGGCGCAATAACGCTGCCTAGAAATCGTTTTGTACTTCTTCAAGAATCAACAACACCCAAAAGTAGCCCTTTTTTTTTGTTTTGCGCAAAGCTCTACATTAGGTTGTTGAGACACTACCCAAAAACATGCTTGTTGCAAATGCGCATATTAACCGCAAAAGCAAATCAATATCCAAGGAGCAGAAGACAGTGATGTCAGAGACTCTGGGAGTTGCTGGGAGCCGCCTGGATTGTTGCACTCCCCGTGACAATGCAATAAAAGTTTGTCTAAATGGAAGCATTTTCGGCATTTAAGTGGTCGCATCAATTACGTTTCATAGGATCTATGATATTCATTAAAAGAGCTGCCACAGAAGGCCTCTTAAGTCTCAAATATTCCGGGTTCAATGTTGCCATTGCACATCACTCAGAAAAAGAAAGCGACAGAGGCACCCAGAAACCAGCTCTCGAGCGGCGGTTTTCATGCGGAGAAAAGGTCAGATTTTTATTTGCTAACACTTTGCCTCGATTCTTGGGTCCTATTAAGCCGGCTTTCCACAGAAGCTTCGGCACACGTAGGTGCCTTATCTAAGAAAAATGCGACCTGGCTTACTTCGTTTGCAGCTTTGATGCTGCTGACACTCCTGGACGCTCTCCGTGCCAGGGTGCGGTGCTCCTCAACAAGGGTTGCGGCAAGCACATAGATCTTCTTCATTGTGAGTGGAGTGTGGTGGTTCTTCTTGTACTCTTCTGCTGCAATCTGAGCGGTAAATTTTCAGAATTTATGTAATGGAACCAGGCTACAATGCTGGCAAGGCAGACGCTAAATCGGCTATAACCTGCATCCAACTTGTATATTTTGGGGGCAAACGCGAAATTGTAAAAGCTTGTGCATTGGTTTTCAATGTTCAACGCATCCAGGCGCCCTTTGTTAATTTGGCACGTAAAGCCTCCCTCGATGTTCAGAGCCCATATCTGAAATTATTATATTTGAGCGAGCGGAAATTAGGTGTGTTTCGTGCATTGAAACATTCTTATTTGAGTGAGGTATTTATAGTTAGTTTACTGCCACTCTGGCCAATTACTACTCTTCTGTGTCATACAGCTTGGAGACATAAATTAAATTGTAAAGTACAAGTAACAGAGTACATTATAAAAAAATTTTGGTCTGGTTAACTTGTCTTGAAAGTTACACTTGCTATAAAAAACCAACAACTAGCAGCTGTAGCTTGATTGCTAGACTTGCATAGTAAGCACACCCGCTAGACTGATTGGCAAATCGGTTATCGGTGCCGCAGACAAGTTCACGACGCCGATTATCGATTTGACGATCACGTGCGAAGAATCTCGACACACCCGTCTCCAACTTCATATCGAAAAATAGTATACTGTCCCTACGTAAGCTGCGGGATCCCAGAAAGCGACCACAGGCTCATAGCTTCCAGTCGTGCGCAAGGCCACCCAATGTTTCCGAGAACTTGGACGCATGGCAAAAGGACATACCTTGAACATGAGCTGAGCGGCATCGAGGAAGCGGTTGGCTTTCCGATAGAGCTCGACGGCGCTGAGGACCTTTTTCTCGTCGAGCAGGTGCTTCGCGTACCGTGCGAGGACAGTGTCTATTTCCCGGATGTTGAATTCTTTTGCAAGTTCGATGGCGTCGTTCCATTCGTTCAGAGAGACGCAGATGTCTATGGCTGCCTTCACTTTGTTGCACTGAAACGTGATGCACATTCACACGCTTAGGAGATGGATGGCTCATTTCTGCTTGGAATTTCGCTATTACGTTGCACTTTAGAAGTACAGCGACACTGCGGTTTGCATGTGGTAGCGTCTACTTGGCACGTCTGTGAGACGAGGGACGCCTATAGTCACCGACGGCTTAAGAAATGCACGACGTGGCTCACGACGTTCGAGCTTCTTGCTTAGTGATTCAATCTTCGGCTCTAATCGGCTAATGCCGCAAGCTCATTGGCCGCATTGCGATAATGAGATGCTTGGAACTCGCCATATGTCTTGCTTTTCTTAAGGTGTCTGCAACCATGGAAAGCGCAACTACCTAATAATCTCTTAAGAACGCCTACCCAATACAAAGAGAGAAATGTTAAAAAACAAGCAGTGAGCGATCTGACAGCAAAATTTGATCAAGGATATGCGATGAACGCCGGGCCCTGCTACAAACCACGGGGAACGGGAACTGATACCACAAATCATAGACATGGCAAATTCGCGCCCCACGGCGTGGTAGATGCGCGGGAATTCGCTGCAAGCTCCCCTCCCCAGACATGGGAACGGATGCCGCAGAACACGGACACAGTGCAAATTTGCACTTCGCAGTGCAATGAACACGCGAGAACCCGCTACAAACTCAAGGGTCACGGAAACCGATGTCGTGTGCGCAGGTCACGGACAAAAGGATTGCAGGAACCCACTACGAACTTGCGCAACACGAGAACGGATACCGCGGATCACGGATGCAGCAGACTTGCACCTCTCACTGCAATAAACATGAGGGAATGTCTGCGAACTCGCTTGCAAGCGTACCAGGACAGCAGGTCGCACGGTTGATGCGATTTTTGTCGAACATCGGGCGATCGACATCCGGCGGGAATCGGGGTTGGGCAATGTTTGGGAATTCTTATGCTGCAAATATTTAATAAAAAATATTTAAAAAATAGCCACTAAACGAGATGGGCAATTTTTTGGGGGGAGAGTGTTCATATAGAATTTTACAATAATCAAACCTGGAACTGCATAATTGTTTGTGAGTAACACCGTGGGGAGTACCGTGAACTGCCAATCGAGACCAAGTGCACACTGGCCATTCACCTTCTCTAAAATAAGTAGTTTATCAAAAAGTGCAAAATTCGCTTTTGTCTCAGTGTACTACAGTAGAAATTCGTTGATACGTTCTTGGTTGATGTTTTCCCGCCTGCTACGTTCAAAAACGCCATCCTGTTTTACTTCCATAGAGATACATGTATTCGTTTTCTGTCTGTTACGTCCAAAAGTGTCTGCATCGCATCTTCCTTTTACTCCTTTCCTCTTTTTCCGTCTCTCTGTCTCCTCGCTGGGCTTTGCTAAGCTCTGCCACAGCTTGCTTCCCATCTTGCCTAGGTGTGACCTTGGAGCACTGCTTAAACGGGGAGCGAGGCTGGCAAGGCGGCAAACGCTCATTCTCTCTTGCTCTCTCTTTCATCTGTCCTTCTCTTTCTCTGGCACAAGGTGCGCCCGTACGCACGCTGCGCTTCAAGTTTCTGTTCCGCTCGATTACGTGAACTGTGGTTTCGAAGTATGTGCGCTTTGCGCCCATTCACGACGGTCATGGCATCGCGAAAAAGGAAGGTACTCTCCTTTTAAAGAGAAGTCAAAAATTTAAAAGAGAAGAAAGTGATGAAGATGTCAATCAAGAAACGAACGATTACGCTGCGCACACGTTTGCGGATGCGATCGTTGCATTGGACAGCTTCCGCCGCTAAGTAAATGTTCATGACTGTGTGGAGAGTGATAGAGGACTGCGGCTCCTGAAGAAACAGCTTTTACTGCCTAACATTAATTCGAAGCGGCAGGGGGATGCTTTTGTGAACATGTCTGAGTCCTCAACAGTTCTGTAAGTACACATAAAGTAAACCATTCTATAAGAGCTGCTTTCTATCTCATGTAGAGCCCCCTTAAGTGCGTTATCGGTTGTTACGTTTTCGCGGATGATACATTTTTTTTTCTGCAATCCCCTGAAAAACTATCAACAAAATTTTACTGTAGTACCTACATAAAACAAAAACAACTGAACAAGAATTGTCATCAAGTCAATCTGGCAAGCACAGCACCAAGTTCAAAAATAGGGAAGAGTAATTGTTTATATTTGTTTTATTGTACAATATACAGTCAAACCCGTTTATAACGAACAGCAGGAAACGCTACGATCAGTTCGATATAGCAAGCGATGTAGCAGAAAACATTTACAACGAACTTCCACGATGCGTCCATTGTAAGGCGAGAGCTTCTCTTTCTTTTGCATCTCTTCACTTCGGCCTTGTAACAATGCGCTGGGAAGATTTATTTCTTTTTGCACGTGTGCAGATTTTGTTTTTTCTAGCTTATCTCTCCTGAATCGCTTCTCTTTGCTCAGTTATGTTTGCAACTTGAGCTATTGGAATTTTCTTTCTTTCCTACTTTTTTTTGGGGGGAAGGGACAGGCTAGAAGACGATTGTTGGCGCGTTTTTGGAAACCTTCTCGGGGAAAAAGTTTGATATAGCCAATATGCTGTTTGCTATAAAGATGACTTTTTACATGCATTTTTATTTAAATTTTCTGCGAGTTCGATATCGTCAATAATTCGCTGTATGTGGGTTCGTTCTAAAAGGGTTTCACTGTATTACCTTAAAAAAGTGGAAGTAAACTAGATATCAGTCAAGCTTTACAATGCCCCTTAGCCCTGTTCCTGCTTACAAATTTCTAAGCAGCAATTTTTTCCAGACTACTGTGGTGCTATTGCAAAGATGCAACTGCAGGTTTCAAGAGTAACACCACCCTTATGCTATACCCTGACCCTAGTGTGACCAGCAGACATACAAGCATGTCACTTTGACAGCCATTGATTTCTGATGCAGCCCTACCTTCTTAAATGCCTCCACAGCTTGACTACACATACCCACAGATCCAAACATGGAACCAATGTCCTGAAACCAAAGTTACAGCAAATGTAAAACACTGGAGAGACGTCTGAAGCTATGCGATCAAGGTTCGAAAGAAACCACAGAGTGACACCACAATGCATTCTACCCATAAACTAACCAACACAGAAGAGCTCTAAAAGCTGCTCTTAAAATAAATTAAGGTATAGAAACTTAAACTGAACTGTTAAGTTAATTATATCCTTAGAAATGTGTTTAAATACAGTCTAAGCTCATTATAACAGACCTTGATTTTAGCCAAGATTTCGGTCTGTTGTAAATGGAGTATGTTGTATGCAGATTTGAAGTTGAGTCAATGGTATGTAGAGAAAAATCAACTGAACTTCACAAATCGGTATGTTATATCTAGGGTGTGTACTTTCCGGTGTTTATTTTTGAGAAAAATCGGCGGATGTTTTTCGGTGTTTATTTATTTTCAAAACACCGGTGTATTTCGGTGGAACGTCTCACGACCAGGCTAAAATCTGTGAATATCGGTGAAAAAAAAGTGTTTGATCACAGACAGAGAGTTCCAATTTTATTCACATAGTTCATACACTTCTTCTCTAGGAAGCAACTATTTCTAACACTTGGTTATTATAGTAGATGTAAGCATACTTTCATGCTTGCATCTACACGCAAGGAACATGCTGCCGTCATGGCAGCACGTACCTTGCAGTTCGCAACCCGCAATTATGAAAACGCACCCTCCTGTACGACACGGACGTTGGCAGTGTCTTCCAGGAACCACAGCAACCTCTGAATACATGGCTTGCACCGACATCACTTGGCCAGACACAATGAGGAAAAGGCACGTGAGAGCCTACCCTCCACTGTGTTAATTTTTCCATAAAAGGGGGCCATGGGAGACACAATAGGGGAAAGGCGTATAAGAGCTTAGCTTCCACTGCGTTCACTAGACGCTTTTGACCCCCAGAAAGGAGGGCGGACTGACGCCACCATAAACACTGGAAGAATGCAGGATCCACGAGATAACACGTTTGACGAACCTCTACGGGGAAAGGGTTTCGCTAGGTCGGAAACGTGCAACGACCGGTGTTTTTCGGTTTTAACCAGGGTGAAAATATCCAACCACCGGTGTTTTTCGGTTTTAACCGATTTTATATTTTCGTCACCGACGGATGTTTATCGGTGTTTTTCGGTTAAAACCGGAAAATACACACCCTAGTTATATCCCAAAATCTGTTATAACCAGGTCTGTTGTAATGAGCTTAGACTGTATAGTTACAGTTAGGTACTTGCAAAAAGTAACGAAGTTACATTTTATTCACTTTTTTAAAATATCCCACGGGATGTCGAGGTATGCTGCCAGTTCTGACCATCCGTTCAGGCTCCAATGCAAAAAGATATTGGTACAGTTTTGCTTTGAACTTCTGATTTAACACTCTGTTCACAAGAGTCTGCAATAGTGAGAAGAACATGCAGCAGTGATATTTGCATCATTAAACAAATGCTATATGAATTAATATGTCTTCAGAAGTTTCATTGTAACTAGTAACAGTAATTTAAATACTTTTCATGAGTTACTTCACAGTTTTTAAAAACGGCAAAACACAGTTTCAACTGAACACTGCCACTAGATGCCCCTTACAACGAAACGTTGGGTATGCACGTAATCCAGGTGATGATGAGACCCCAAGATGGAAATCTAGCTTGTGAAAGAGCTAGCTGCGTCTTGATGGAACTTACAGCCAAAAGTGGCTGGCCCTCTGGTAGGCTCTTCATGAGGCTCTCGAGGCTGTCATAATCCTCTATGGTGTAGTAGGCTTCGGCCAAGCGGCCGTGGTTGTGTCCTTGCTTGTAGTAAGTGACAGCACTGTCCCTGGGGTGCCGCAAACAACCCGTTCAATGTGCCAGCTACAAGATCACGGCTTTATCTTTCCGTAGTAAAAAAATCCGAGGAACAATAAAACTTTCACATCAGAATCCTAAAGGAATCAAAGTTCTCAATCCTAGCCTCACGTGACTGATTAAAAATCTGTTGACTGCTACAGAATGTTACACGGTTTTCTAACGGACCTCTATAGTCGCATATTGTAATTGCCAAGACACGTATTTCTCTCAACACTAAGTCCCGACACATTTCTGCTGACTTAGACTGGCAGCCATTCTTAACAGAAAATTCTCGGACATACCACCGGGTGTCCGCGAGAAAACCAAACCCTGTTTTTTGCACTGCAAAAATAAACTAGACATCGCGGAGAGCTCTAACTCCGTCAGAATGTAGCCCCAGCGATTTGAGCAAGATGCCAAAGTTTCAGCACCAACCGTTATCTTATTCAAAAGTTATAAGCGATTTTCTGAAAATGTCAATGTTAAAATGGCGGTCGATGGAGCTCTGGAATACATAGCGCCAAAAACCGAAATCGGGAAAAAATGGGCCCAATTTTCCAACTGAAAATTTTTAAACCTCACTTATAACTTTTGAATAAGATAACGGTTGGTGCTGAAACTTTTTGGCATCTTGCTCGAATGGCTGGGGCCACATTCTGACGGAGTTTGAGCTCTCCGCGACATCTAGTTTATTTTTGGGCTGCAAAAAACAGGGTTCGGTTTTCTTGCGGACGCCCGGTATTTTAGAACTTAAAAATAAGCCTCTCGTGATGTTTGATGAGCTTCGCAAGCTTAATGCTACATTCTATTGTCTAGACATCAAGCTACCTCCGGTTACTCAAGAATAAACCAGTCACTGAACCAGCTGGAATGCCATCCTCGGAAAGGGTAGTGATTGGGGATCCATAAAGTTGCTAGTTGGCCCGACCAGTAGCCATGAAAACAGTATTTAAGGGGGGACACTGGCTAGAGATTTAACTTCTGAACTACTCAAGTGATCGTAATGAAATTTGTAGGGGACATTTAACACAAGATGTAGGTTTACTGTGCAAAACTTCCGCGTCTCTAGGACAATTTTACATACCTGCATAAGATGATGTGTCACTCTTCGTTAAGAAAACTATGATATGCAAATGAAGCTATTAAGCACCATGTTGGCTGCTAGAATATAAAGTGGGGGATGTGGAATTTTGGGCTATCTAGGTTTTATAACTCTAATGTAAATATTTGAGGAAGAATGATTACCTCAAAATATGATGCATATCTGTCCTATGTATGTAAAATTTTTGAAAAGTTCTTATTTTCAATGAGGAATTCAACTCAGGACAAAATAAAGTAGATAGCCCAATTCCCCAGTAAATTTTAGTTCAGAAACATCTTGATTGTGGTATCAGATTACATTTACCTTCAAACAAGAGATTCCTTCGCATGAAATTAGCAACAAAAAATGGTGCCGAGAAAGATGCATTCAAACATTGAACTCTTTTACTTTGTTACTGCCTCACAATCTGTTGAAAATATTTTATATCAACTAACTATTTGGCATATGGTTATCAAATTTAATGTAAGGGTGTATGATTCGTTTCTAATACCAAAAAAACTCAAAATTGAAAAATGACTTTTTTTTTTTCTTTTTAATTATATTTAGGCCCATGTCTTCCCTTAAAGGGCAACTCCGCTCAATTCCGAAAAATTTAGGCTTACATGTGATTCCATTTCACAAAGCACTACTAAACAACTTTACGTCTTCAAATTCGCGAAATGTGGAATATTATTTGTGTAATCCTAATTTAAACATCAGCTGATACCGAAACCGAAACTTTGGTTGCGTCGGGCAACACCGGTCTCGTGTGGTCAAAGTCATGGCCACGTCACGTTGAACCACGTGGTCTTGTGACGTTCGGGAGGGGGGGCGAGGGACAGGACACGCGACGCGCGCAGGTCGCTTCGCGTGGCGTGGACGGTGATGGCCCGGGGGAGAGGGGGAAGGGGAGAAGACGAAAGAGAAGGGGAGCAGAGAAACAGACCGATAAGCGCGCAGGGCAGCGTAAACTAGCGCATCTGCGTTACGGTGATCACGTGGACGCCCGGTCAGCCAACACCAGGAGGAGAAACTCATGACGTCATCATTCAATTTTGCTCTGAGATGTAAAAACAAACAAAATGTGAGAATGACGTAGTCATGCCTCTGACGTAGTGGCTCAACGTTTGCCACTCAAACTCCGTTGCATTGACTGCACTGACGATTGCGCCTCATGTCGCACGCTAGACTTGAAGGTTTGCTGGCCAGTTTATTAAATATATAGACGGAATTAGATCGTAATATTTGACATGGGCTCTTCCTATATGATACTGAAGAGGGCTACATAGTTTTCTAAATATCAAAAATGAAGCGGAGTTGTCCTTTAATTAAAGCACCAAAAATGAGCTACCTCGTGGTGCCATTACATTTGAAAAGCACTGTACATACCTCTCAGTATTAGAAGGGTAAAATAGTGCTCTATATTGCATTAGCTGCTCGAGCTCTGTTTCTCAAAATAAGGTGCATACTACAATGGCACTCCATTATAAGCCGAAGAACCGTTTACACACGGCGTAGTTTCACAGCAAGTGTGCGAGACTAAGCAGACGACAGCTAACCAGAGGGCATGCAACCAGAGGGAAATGCACCGCACCATTTGCGCCTGTCGACGTAGTAATCTCCAATGGCATTCCAAGCCTCCTCGAGTTGTCGGTCGTCGGCCCCGCTGTTTCCCGTCTTGAGGAGCTGCACCACTCGAAACCAGTCTCCCAGCATCTTGCGCATTGAGATCGCCAGGTCTCTGGATGCAGCCGACCAGTCGCGATGGAATTCTCCGGTTTTTCTTTGGGGGCGAGCCAGCCGTGCACGTTTAGAAGCGACGGGCACTCTCATGCTTTATATGTGACTAGATCCACTCGCTACGTCTTCTTTGATATACGCTACATATACAGTTTGCTTCTGTTTGCTGCTGATTTTGGTTTCGAGACTAGAGTTTGCCAGCTTCGCTGAAATTCTGGAGGGCCAGCCGGGTCAGAAGATTCGGCAGCAGTCGGCGTGACTTGGCAGGATGCAGGAGTGAGGCACGTGCGTGAAGGAGGGGGAAAAAACAGAAAAAAACAAACAAAAACAAGCACAGTGAATGCAACTGAAGTGAATGGGCATGCCTAAACGAAAGGTTCTTAGTTGCAGAGTCTATCAAACTTTTGCCGGAAGGTATGACTGTCGAGTTAGTGAGTGCAGACGAAAACTAAGTTGAGGACTCTTTGTTCTCACCTTCTGTCAATGTCTAGGTAGATCTTTTCGGCGTCGTCGAACTGCTTGAAGTAAGCCTTAACTTCGGCCTTTCGTATGTCCTCATTCTGAAAAGGTATTGAGCGCAAATTAATTAAGCTTTGAAGATCATTAGATGGCACCAAGCTATTCTCAGTAGGCTGCCAAGCACCATTGCTTGGCAGTCTACTGCCAAGCAAAAAGTGCATATTTTGTGCACAAAAATGTGCACAAAATAATGCACATTTTTGAGTTATAATAAACTTTACTTTGCTACTACCCCAGTATGTAGGTCTGATGTCAGCATAACATATTTTCCCTAAAGGATGTTGGAAAGAGTAGAAGGTTTTAGTATAGATAAAAACTACAACCAGACTGCAAAACAAGAGGAATGGCCAGAGGTCTTAAAGACAGCAGGTTTAGCCAGTTTTTGTCTTTATCTACTAAAATTAGAAAAGCAGATAGTATGTATAAGTTATAATCCACCAAGATATTTATCATTTTCCCTAAGTATTGAGAAAAAAATATTTGCATAGCATATTCAAAGTCAAAGTCAAAGTCAAAGTCAAAATGTGTTTTTATTTGTACACAAGATGTTAGATAATTACACTTATTCAGACGGGGGTCCCAAAGTTTTCAAAAGAAAACTGTTGAAGGGACCCCTTGGTAATAAAGGGTTAGTCAGCGATCAAGTTAACACCATTATATAAAAAATAAAAAAAAATAAAAAAACGAAACACAATTGTGGTATCTACATAATCAAAATATTAACCAAGTGAAAATAGAGAGAAGAAAAGCTAGAAAGTCGAGAAAAAAAGGACAATATCAGTGTGTGTTTGTGATTGTGTGAAAGGTGTGCCTAGGAGAGAAGAATGAATCGGAGGGGGGGGGGGGGGGGGGAGGGGGAGGGGAGGGGGAGGGGCATAGAAATGGTTGATGAATCATGCAGATAGTATGTGGGCACGTATGGCTTGTTTAAAGATATGATGACATGGCAGTTAGGCAGGGTGGTAGAGAGTTCCACGTTTTAGTAGCAATATAAATGAAGGTGAACGCACCATAATTAGTTCGTATCCATGGTACAGACAGTGACGCTTGTGAATGTGAACGCAGAGGATACATGACATCTTGATGAGTAAAACTAATTGAAGAGCATGTTATTTGATTGGTGATGAACTTAAATGTTAATAATGCTACACGATAATCGAGGCATTGATTAACTGTTAAAATGTTGAGGAAGCGGTACGCAAATTGAGCACATTCGCGCCTATTAACAAACAGCATTGCTCGTAGTGCCGTGTTCTGGGCGATTTCTATGGGTTTTAGTGTTGTTTTATATGTCAATCCATAAATGGATAACCCGTACGAAATGTGAGTATGAATGAAGCTATGATAAAGCATTTGGAGGGTTCGTAAGGAAAATATGTGCCATAGTTTATATAGAATTGGAATATTTCGATATATCTTATTAGTTGTGTCTTTTACGTGTTGGTGCCATGTTAACTGATGGTCAAGTGTTAGTCCTAAAAATTTAGTATGGTACACTCGAGTTAGGTTAATACTTGCAAACGAAAGCTGAGGTGTGTTTAAAATTAGTTTGTTTTTCGGGGCAAAAATTATGTAGTTTGTTTTCGCTATATTGGGAACTAATTTGTTATGGGTTAGCCATTTAGCAAGCTTTTCTAAAGTGTTATTAGCTTCCATGTATAGTTCTGTCACGCTTGCATTAGATATAAAAATATTTGTATCGTCGGCATAAAGAACACAATCTTTTTGTAAATAGGCTGCCAGGTCATTAATATATATTAAAAAAAGAAAGGGACCTAATATTGAGCCTTGCGGAACACCGATGGTAATAGGTTTAGTTGTTGAAATAATGCCATCTAAAGTGACAAATTTGCATCTGTTTGATAGATAACTTTTGATTAGATTGAGAGCAACACCGCGAACCCCGTAAGCACTTAATTTCTGTAGTAAAAGTTCATGGTTAATTAGGTCAAACACTTTTGTTAGGTCTACAAAGATTCCCATTGTTAATAACTTCATTTCAATATTTTGCTTTGTTGTCTGTTGTTTGCCATAGTTGTTTCCCATAATGCTGTATAGCATGGGTTCTGAAACTGGGTTCCGCGTAAAACAGGTCTCATGGGTTCTGCAAGCACCCAAATTGCAGTGCCTCCCCCCCTCCCCTAGTTTAACCTTCCACAGACTGAGGCATGGATTGTGTTGGTATTGCAGACAAAGCAACCTCACCCTTTGCACTGGTAAGTCCAGCTGCCTTCTTATTCCGTCTGTAGTCCTACATTGTCTTATTCTGTCAGAGCAATAAACTCTTGTTCACTATCTAAACACCTTTATTGCCCAGTATGATTGGTTGGAAACAAAGGGGGCGGGGGGGGGGGGGGGGGGGGGTTATCCTTGGGACTTTTTGAGGGTTGCTGGGGTTCCCTGGGACGAAGTTTGAGAACGCCTGCTGTATAGTATGTGTGTGTCAACATCTCGCACCACGTCTGCAAACACAGATTACCTGTAGTGAACAATTCCCAAAATGTTGTAGTATTCTGGCCTCTGCTTGTCTATCCAGACCACTGAAAAGCTCTGTACTACACAACTATGTAGTTGCAGGTAGCCACCTTGGCTTCAGTCAGGGCATAAAATGGGAACATTTGTCACATTCCCGAGGCACCAGCCCAAACAAGACGAGCAAGATCAACTTCGTCCGAGGGCATACCGGCAAATTGGCAATGTGCTTGACGAACTGAATCCCCTGGTAGTCTCTGCAGCGGACAAAAGCAGTCTCTGCCGTCTGGAAGTCCATCTTCTGTAGCGCTGCTTCTGCCAAAAGTTGCCTGTGCAGTGTAGAGAGATCAACTCGGAGTGAGAACTTTGTTTCACGGCACATATTCTACTAGTAGTTCTCTCAAGACCGGTTATAACGAAGTCGATGTGAATTTGAAAACACTTTGCTACATGTGCGTCTTCGTCAGATCTGGACTCCATAAAAGTATCACGCAAACAAAAAAAGAAAAAAATCACACAGGCTGTCAAAGGCCCATGTTTATCTTGACTGCAGAAACCTGTCGAGGCTTCCCTGCGCACGCTCTCTGCAAGGTACCTAGATCGAAGCCGCCTCTCGCCAACAGCAACAGGTTACGATCAAAAGAAAATCTTACGAGCTAAGTCCGGAACGCAATCAGAGCCCTATCAACAGCTACGACGGCTGCCGCGGAGGATGCCGGCAGTGGACGGCATTCTATACGTTGATGCCTTGTTTCAAGGAGATTACCTTTGTCTTTTGTTTTTTTGAGAATACCTTTGTCTTCCCCGTCGAGGTGTTGGCAATGCTGGGACTCGCCATTGCTGAGTGACGATGAGTCGCCGAATCGGTGCTTGTGCGAAGCTAGACTGTCGCGCAGAGAGCGACCACATTGACTAGTGATGCCGACACGGAACATGAAGCAAACAAAGCGTGCACGACACCGAGTTTGCGCTCAAGTTCGTGTTTCGTCGGTACAGAGAGCCTAGATTTAAGAAAGGGGGCAACTTCTCAATTGGAGTCACGTGGCTTGTGAGCCGTGTTTGCAAAATAAGCTGCGGCCTGCAAGGAGTCAAAAGTGTTCACCGTCTGCAAACATGTTCGCCTTTCCGCCCTGTTTCCGTGCTACGCTGGCCACGAGACAACCAAATGCAGGTGCGCTTGAGCCCATCTGCCCAGGAGGAGTCCACCATCAAATTGGAGTTGCTCCCTCTCTCAAATCTAGGTTCTTTCTGCCGTCTCCGTTGGTACTACACCATAGGTACATTGTCGCTAATGCTCCAAACGCCCTATCAGCATGCCGCAAGGGCTTTTCCGAGTGCGATACAGAAAAGCCGCTTCCTAGATAAGGAGCAGGGAGCAGACGACGATGCAGTGGCTGCCGCCGGTGGCCTTCGCAGCACATCTGCAGCTCGTTCTGGGCGGTTGCTCGGCCGCGGCGGCAAAGTGCGGTGGTGTGCAACTCGGTAAACTTTCAGAATTTGATTATTTTTTAAAAATTATCAGAAAATTTCTCTTCGCTATATCTGCGAAAGCTGCTCAATTTCCTTTGCTAGAAACAGACAGAAACACATCCGCAAGAGCTGCTCAATTTCCTTTGCTAGAAACAGATACAAACACGTTGAAAAACTGCTAGCGAGAATGGGAGATCGTAATGGCTTCACTGTAGCCGCTATTTTGTTATAACTGACTTCATTATAAGCAGTCACTACAGTAACGTAAAGGCTCACAAGTGGTACGAGCTTTCCTGTGCAACAGCCTATTGTTGTCGTTTACGAAAGAAGATTGGCGAACAAGCAAATGCCAATAGCACTCTGGATCAGAAATGACTTGCGCTGAAATTTAATTGTTATCAGCGCCTCGCAACTCGTCGGCCTCTTTTTATAAACATGCCGTCTTTGAGACCTTACGGTATATTCTACCTCGTAATGAATTATTCCGAGGACACATAAAATGTGCACATCTGAGGGGACAGCCAAACCCGTCCTCTTGCACGTGCACCGCAACATATGCCACTTGTCAGGTAGATAACTTATTGAGTGCTTTTCGTGTTACTACTTTATACGCAAGAGCTGGCAAGGCTGACACAGGACAGAACGAACATCCCTCTTAGGTAGCTCAGCCCGCACATAACACGTGATAGCGTGAAGAAGTAAGCACCTTACGTACTCAATGAGGCATTGATACCATGGAAGTGTTGATTCCTTTATTTATTGGCAATTACTATCCTTGGGCTAAGGTTTGCTCATTTTTCTCGTGGCACACACAGAAAAAAAAAGATCTTACCATAGCCGAGGGTGAGAGTTGTCCTCGATGAACTGTGTTGCCTCTTCGATGCCTACCTTGGCCAGCAGGTCCCGAGAGTCTCTCAAGGACTGTAAGAGGGGCAACGGCTTTCCCTAAGTCGCGTCCATACGGCCCTTCTAAAGGCTGCTTCGCACATTTGCATTCGACTGCAATCGACTGCATTACAACTATTCATAGCCACTTATGACGAGAGACTACTGATGCCACCTATCCGGTAGTCCTGCTACACCACCGACGTGCGTGTATTTCCTCATGTTTATATGCATCACGCTTTCGCCAAGGGTTTGAGATGTTTCCGACAATGTTGCATAGGCTTTACCGCTCAAATACTGCAACACCTGCAGTCTAGTGACATGCAGATTGGACGATAGATTTAGTCAGTTACAGGTTAAGAAAAGTTTTCGAGGGAAAGGAAGGCTGGGGAGGAGGAAGCACACAGAACGCTGAAGGGAGGAAGAGGTTTCCTCTTCTCCAGCATAGCGTCTGCTTCCTCCTCTCCAGCTTTCCTTTCCCTCAACAAGTTTTCTTAACCTGTTACTGACTATAGCACTGATGTGTTCATTCGCTGGAAGCGGTCGCCATGCGGTCAATCGCATTCGAAAAGCAAACTTGCGAACGGGTATATAGGTTGCATCCCACGCCGAACTGTAGAGCCTCTGCCAGGCACAAACTGGGCACTTCGTACCTTTGCCTCCATGTTGCAGACGAAGTCCGGACTCGGGTTTTCGGGGTCCTGCATGATTTCGTCGAGCAACACAGTCCTGATCTCGAGGTTCGAGAAAGTGCAGATGTACCCGCTCGACATCACCGGCTCCTGCGAAAGAACAGCCGCAAGATAAAGGTATGAGTTGCTCTTTCACTCTAAAAGACAATGAGATGAAGGCCCATGCTCCTGCTTGCCCTAAAAGTGTGATGAGGTTAACCATCGCAATCTATGGAACGAGCCTAGCAAATACATAAGCCCCGGAAGATATTCGACCTGAAATTACGGCCCGTGCGTGTGTGGATGTCGTGCTCAGTGTCACCGGCACGGGTTGAGTGGTTCGGTAGGCCCCCGCGTAGCGGCTGCATTCCAGAACATTTGCCACAAACTTGAAAAAAGAAAGGGAGGGCCTTGTGCGAGCATCGACCGACACCAGCACCTTGACCACGGAGTAAGATATATGTACCGAAAAAATACAAAGCAAGCGCCCGCTCAAAATTTGAAGATAATCGCGAAAAAATAGGGGCTGGGCACATGTGAGGTCATAAATTTTACATACCGTATTTACTCACATAATGAACGCACCCGCCACAACGGGTACCAATATTTAGACTTTTTTTTTTTTCTCCCTTGCATAATAAACGTTCCTCCAATTTTTGGCCCCGCAAGTCTCGAATTGCCACCAAGCCAATTTTCTTTTGCCGCGAAACGGTCAGGCCTAGTCAAGCCAAGCCAAGCTGCTATCGTAATGGCTGCAAGTGTGTAGTGGTGTAGTTGCGGAAGTGATCAACTGTAAAATCGAGCGGCGCGCACACTTGACGAAGCTTGGGTCGACGAATTGCCCAGCCCCGGACATTCTTCGCCTATCGTATGCATCACATGTCAACAAACATGCCGTCGTCTGTGGTCCGCTTTCGGACAGTGAAATCGTAAAAGTGGTTAGGCCTAAAAACGGTCACGTTGCTCTTTGTGCTGAGTGAGCTTCGTAGGGCGCTTTTCTTTCGGCAAAATTCACGCCGACAGTGCCCTAAAAAGGTTCACAGTTTATAAAGCATAATGCATGGTTACTGTGGCATGCCCCCGACCAGCCGTGGGTGCGCCTCCATCGGTGGAGACGTGCCACAGTACCCTACCGTGTCATATTGGAACCTAATATGACATTTGCACGAAGTGTGTAAATGCAAAAATTTTTCGGGAAAAAAAAGTGTGTTCATTATGCGAGTAAATACGGTATATATGTACAGTGCATATTTTTTCAGATGCGTCAAATTTTGGGGGTGGGCGCTTGCTGCGGATAAACAGTATTCTTTGGTAGGTGTCAGGGGCGTAGCCGGGGGAGGGGGGGGGGGCGGCTTATGGGGCTTCAGCTCCTACCGAAATCCAGTCGACCCTATAACATACACAAGCATTTGGACCCTCCCCCCCTCCCCCTCTCGTCCACGCAGGAGCCCACAGCTCGTGAGTAGCTGACAAGTGCTGGCCGTCATTCGACAATATTCAGCAAGGTTCAGTAGCGCCGTCTGTCGTTCTGCGACAACGATAACTGTCAGGATCTCTGATCACTTTTACAATATGCAAATCGGCCGCACACAAATGCAATTTCGTTGTCTTTAGGATGCTTAGAGCTCGTAGATTAAGTTATGACCATGAGGATCTCGAAAACACACTTTAGTGTCCCTTTCACACCTGTACCTGCACTTTCACTCACCTCTGGGTCCAAATTTCGAAAAACATACATCCGAGTCTTCTCCATGAGTGCGAAAAGTTCAGAGTTGTCCTGTAAATCAAAGGTCAGAGCAACATTCTTAAATACAACAATACACCTTTATGTCATATGGTACGAAGAGCTTAGAATTCTTCAAAATGAACAGTAATAGGGATGTGCTAATGTCAAAACACCTATTCCTCTTTGCTATCCACTTTGAGCCTGCTTCTTCCAACTTTTGGTGGGCTAGTACTATAAGCATACTAAACATCAGCAGATATGGTTAACACAAACTCTGAGACTGGGCAGCTTGCCCGGATAATTCTAAAAAAATGCAATGTCACTTTTATTTGTAGGGTGAACACATCTATTCTTGGGGTTATTAAATTCAAGCTCTCCTTGTTTCAGCCATATATTCTAGTGTATGTTCTACCCAATGTTCTGCTAGGAGTTCTACCACTAAGACTATCAAATACTTTTAGTAGGCATGTCCGTATACGTAGAGGATTTTGAGTTTGAGACGAAGTCGAAGCGAATAATGGTTTTGGCCAAATATTTTCTGATCGAATATAAAATAGTTTTTACAAAGTCTTTCACTGCCGTGCACCTAGCTTATAAACGAAAATTTAGCTAAACTCGTTAAGGTTGTTTTTAACCTTCCCCTTGTTCGCTTAAAAGTCCAGTTTATTTCAATATAACTATATTTATGAACTGTGGCATGTAAACGACAGATTTGTCAGAGCTATCCTAATCTAGGGGATTCATAAATCTGCTTGCTATATGCATATACTGTCGAGAACGGTTATAACGAAGTTGATTATAACAAAATATGGCTACAGCGAAGCGATCACGATTTCCCATTTCCTTTTGCACTTCATTGACCGAAGTCGGTTATAACGAAGAAGCGGATATAGCGAAGTGATTTCCGATTGCCGTTGACTTCGTTATAACCGGTCTCGACCGTACCGTATTTACTCGAGTAATAGCCGCTCTGTTTATGAAAAAAATCTGAGGGTTTGCTTTTCCACGGAGCATGCGGATTGCCAATCACAGCGATCGACAACATGACTCCAGCGGTTTACAGGAGAGAGATAACGTCTTCGCGCAAAGATACCATCTGTGAAGATTGAATTTGTATGGAGACTCCTGTTCTCGATCTAATCATTCGCTTTGTTATTTATGCGCAACACAATGATTGGCTGCATATGTGCTCTGCAGGAAAGTAGAAGCAAGGGCCTTGTTCATAAATAGTGCATCTATTACTCGAGTAAATACGGTATATTTATTTCTAAATAAAATCTGGAAAAAAACCCAAAAAAACAGACCTGTTTAAAAAAGGGTTCCCGGCCGGTACTATTTTCAGTGTTTGTGCGTATGGTGCATGATTTGCTCGCATCGCAATGCGACGAATATGCGCATTCTGGGCTGAGGAGATTGTACGCTGGGCTGAGTACTTGTAAATATTGGTATAACTGGGGACAACTTTTCTGGCAATGAAGCCAAAAATATCAGTGAGACCCATACCCCATAAGCAGACCCATAAGCAGAGCCCCTAAAGCCCCATAAGCAGACCCATAGCTTTGGCTTCGCCACAGTGCACAGGTGCTCGGTGAGAAGCTCCCTCGACAAGGCTAACCTGCGGCGATCAACCTTTCGAAAAGTATAAATATCGCAGTATTATTCGAAACTACTATTCTAAAATTCAAATATTCACAGAATACTACCTTTTAGTACTGTGTTTACAAGCTGTCCTCTGGCAACAGTGATTTGAAGAATGTTAGATTTGATTCACCATAAAGAGATTATATTTGCACACTAGAATTAGTGCACATTCAACTGACGATTGGCAACAGATGGAAGTACTGGTCTGAAACATAAATCAAAATACCGTAAAATCCCGCGAGATGCCCCACCTTCGAAATAAAGCCCACCTCTATTTTTGGCTTGATTTGTTATATTTTTAAACACCAACAGATAGCCCACTCCTAGTAATGGTAGTGTTGGGATCAATGATGGCCTCGGTGTAAATGAGGCTAGTTAGCTATGGTGGGATATAAGCGACCGCTGCTGATTGGGACGTACAGCCATCTTTGCTTCGTTGCCCTTTGCCACCATAACAAGCTTGGAAGGGACACAACCTAAAAATAACTATTTTTTTAATTTTCCTTGATTGTACACTGAAGGTTAGCCCAGTCCATATTTTCTACCAATTTGCTCTTGATGTAAGTGGGCTATCTCTCGGGATTTTACAGTAAGGCCTCGGAGATAAGAAATAAGCAGAATGGGAGCACCCGTTTGGAGTAATTTGTGACACCTCTAAAAGAAATACATAACACACCTTTGCCCACTTGACGTCCCACACATCTCGGCGCTCGAAGGCCAGTTGCTCGCCTTGAGACGACCTCGCTTCAAGGTCGTGTAGTAGCATGTTTCCCGTGATATCAATGACTGACATGCGGCTGTTAAAGAAAACAAAAGAAAAAATATAATACTCTAGTGATTACAAATAAACACTACAGTAAGCGGCCAATGTCACTGGGAATCGAGGACATTCAAAAGCTCAAGGGTGCTGGAAGACTAGGCAAGGGAAAAGTTGCAAGAGTTTGGGGAACCTATGAAGTAAGGGCAGGCATTATTTTCGTGAAACGTCCTGCAGGAGCTTGTTACTGAATGTTACGATATTACTACTCTTGTAGCATCTGCTCACAAGAAAATGGCGCTTACTAGTTGGCTGCTTGATGCTGTATTGATGCCAGTTAGGCCACCTGTAGCAGCTGACAATTTGTTGCGCAAGTGGAACTTGCATACAAGAAGCATCTACTTATTAAGATCTGTTTGTTTACATCCATGGTTTATTGTACTAAATGAACTGACATTTACATACAGTAAAGCTCTTGTATAAGGGTGGCTGCCGCAAACAGGTTTCGCTCTAGGACACGTCTACCTACATAAATGTATGGTACAGTCATTTCTCTTTTTCACCTTCCTTCAAAACATAACCCCTGTCTCCAGAGGTGCCTTTCTAGAGAAACGCATGCACATGAAAGTAGGTGCACACAGTTTTGCGCCAAAGAGCGACATACAGTGGTCTCATTTCTCTGACAAAAAGACGGTCCTGCCATTGGTTTGAGAGTGAGAACAATCTAGAGTTTTGGCATTTCATCAATGTCCCAAGGCTCTATACTTCGTTTCAGCTTCGGTCCGAGCGCGGCCGATGTTATGAGCCGAAGGGCCAATCAAACAGCGAAAGAGGCACAACGTCATGGCGTGCTCTCTGCAGTTGATTAGACCAGCCGGTATTCGCCGTCTCTCTCTGCGCGCTCCTCTGCCGGCTAGTCCTATCAAACGCAAAGAGCACGCCATGACGCTGTGCTTTTGGCGCTGTTTGATTGGCCCTTCGGCTCATAACATTGGCCGCGCTCGGACCTAAGCTGAAACGAAGTATAGCAGTCTGTTGCCATGACCTTAGAATGGCAATAGACGCAAAGAATCTAAGCTATGTGTTGCGTGAGCCACTGCCTACACTATAAAGAGAGGAAAAAAACTAAATTTAAGCTTGGGTCCAGCATACAACTCAAACAACCTGTAAGTATGAATGACACCTCACCTGGAGTTGCAGTTGAGTGCTATCTTGGTGGGCCGGCAGGAGAGGACATATTTTTGCACCATTGCCAGATGTGGCATCGAGTAGCGCTGGAACGTCCCAGATTCTCTTCCCTATGATTGACAAAAACAAGCCCTCATTTGTACGCTTGTCTCATCAGGGAGGAGGCTATAAAGACGAGGATTTGGTGGCACCAGTCTGCCGACAGGTGATCCTTATACAGAAGAGGTGCATGCACAAACAGTCTAAGCTCATTACAACAGACCTGGTTACAACAGACATTTGGATATAACTTATTGATTTGTGAAGTTCGGTTGGTTTTACTCTGGATACCATTGACTCAACTTCATATCTGCGTACAACATACTCCTTTTACAACAGTCCAAAATCTGGGTCAAAATCAAGGTCAGTTGTAACGAGCTTACACTGTAACAGGTAAGTTTTGTTAAGGGGGGACACTACCCAGAAAGGGGATGTTGGCTCTTAGATCGCAGGTGTCGAAGCTAATACTGATTCTAAATATCTATACCGAGTATAACACGCTAAGGGTACAGAAAAGCAAACTCACAACAATAAGCATCCTCTCCGACGCCGTAAGGCAGCAGATGGGGTCGGAATTGGGCTGGAATGAGAAGCATGGTACGCAACATCATTTTGCTAAGTCTTTGTCAACAAACGCCAAAGTTTTCCCTCACTTGACACGAATGGAGCATGTCAGAGCCTTACCTGATGTTTTCTTTTCGGCTGTGCGAGAACACAAAAAGTGAATCGTGTCATTTAAGAATCATAGGCAAAACGGAAGTGAAAGTTGACACCAAGAGTGAATGCGAGCTTACCTCGTAAATTTTGTCCGGGTCGAGAGGGCCCTCTCCTCCCAAGGACATGTCGTTGACATGGAAAACCCTGCACACGGTGGAAATTCCTGTTAGTCGAGCGTCGCCGAGAAGCACTTGTGCCAATCTCGTTCATAGTTGTTATGAATTAGTATTGCGGCGCCTGGAGCACGTCTCCAACTGGTGTGCTTAACGCATCCTCAAATAAAGTCTTCCAATAAATTCTCTCTTGATTTTTGCCTGATGACGTCACAAAGGTGTCATGCTGTTGATTGCCGCGAACCTGGCAGTGGCAGATCAGCGGAGGTGGGTGCGGCAGACGGATGTTTTGCTGCAGGTCACTTTCTAGCTTGACAGTTCATGGGAGCTTAGGCAGCCGGGAGTTAGAACGTGGCAACCACAGTAACGCTCTTGTTCGCTTATACAGGGAGTTTTCGAGAAACGAGAATCATGTTTTTAAGCCCAGGTAAATAAACTATGCATTGTAGAATGATCAAACTTCATGAGAATGTGACGCTAGTGGTTGGGATAGAACACAAGAACATGACATTACTAGCTAGACCAAAAGATAATGGAAAAAAAAAAGAAATTTTTCTATGAGCCGACATTCACCTAAGCTTAAAGGACAAATGCAAAAGAAAAAAAAATGTTTTTTTTTTCAAACAGGCTAGATGGAAAAAGAACAATATAAAACAAATTTACAACGAAAAAAAAAAAAATGTGGAGCTATATTTACGGCGCAAAACGAATTTGTAGGTAGGCCTATGCGCCGCCGCGTTGCGTCACCGCCGCCGCAAAGCACACTGAGCATTGTGCGACGCCACTTCAATGCGTTTCTCCACGCCGCAGTCGTTGCCGCCACACAAGTCCGTTTGCTTCGGGGCACCGCCGCCGTCATATGACCAGCGCACAGGTTTATCACGTCTGCGCGCGCTTTTTCAGGAGTTTCCTTTGGGCTCTAAAAGTTACTTATTAATCTTAGTTTCTTGTTATACTTCAAACAAATATGAATAAATTACTTTTAGAGGCAATAGGAAGCTTCCGAAAGAACGCAAGCACCACGTGACAAATATGTACCAGTCACGTGATAAATAAGAGTCATTTTTCTGCGGCACCCGCGGGTGCCAACTACAAATTCGTATCGCGCAATAAGTATAGCTCTAAAAATTTTTTTTTTCGTTGTAAATTTGTTTTATGACTTTCTTTTCCCAACCATGTGTCCTTTAATATTGTCAAAACAGGAAATGACACTGTGGTTGCCTGTGGCATCTATTTCAGTGAAAAAAAAAAAAAAAACTTGTCAGCAAGAAAGAAATCAATGTCCTCTTTCTTGCCGACAAGTGTTTACCACTGATATAAATAACACAAGCGTCCACAATGCCAAGTTTTGTTTTGACGAGATTAGGCTTAGGTGGACGTCGGCTCGTAGAGAAATTTCGTTTTTCTAAATTATTTTTTGATCCAGGTGACATCACATTCTCAAACTTATGCATTCTATTCGAACCGCTAGCGTCAGATTCTCACGGAGTTTGAGATTTCAGCGATGCATAGTTTATTTACTCGGGCCGAAAAACACCGTTTTCATTCTCTCGGGAACTTCCTGTACTTTTGCTGGAACATCTACGACCAACCGCTGGGGTTGCGGCATTCGACAGCATGACACGCCAGTTCCCGCGACTTCATTTGTTGCCACTCTAAAGCCAATCTTGATGCACGGGTGGTACTCTAAACACTTTACTCGGAGCCACGTTTTAGCCACCATAATTATATGCAACACATTGGATGTTACTGTCAAAGCAATCGTCAGGAGTCTGCAACAAAATGTGGGAAAATCTGGGGAAGTGTGGGTGAATCGGGCGAAAGTTTTCCTACTTTTCCAACGTGGGTTTGCTCCTCTGCGCGGACAGTTCCAGGACGGTTCTTCCCCGCGGCGTCTGGAAGCGCCAGACGAAGACCTGGTCGGCCGACGCGGCAAGGACGTAGGACTCCGTCATGTAAAGGTGGCGCGGCTCCACTTCCGTCGTCGTGGAGTCCACCGGCGTTCCGATGGAGTTGCAGACGCTCAGTGTGTACTGCAAGATTGCGACGCAGCAGGCTAGAATGGTAGTTCCTCGTGTAGCACATGCTGTCTTTTCCCAACTTCATTAGATTGTCGAGACCAGTACCATACTTTCCGGACCATACGTGCAAAAAGTTGCAATTTTAGGCAGTACGGACTATCCACAGGTGCCAACTATAACAATGATTTGTTTCTTCTAGATTGTTCGCTATGATGAGACGTGATGGTTTTCGTGAATGGCAGAGTCTACACTCGTAATAATCGACCTTGATTTTGACCAAGATTTCCGTCTGTTGTAAAAGGAGTACTGTGTGCAGATATGGAGCTGAATCAATGGTATGTAGGTCAAAACCAACCGAACTTCACAAATCGGAATGTTATATCCAAATTATTAATCTGTGATAAAAGCTTATTTGTGAGCTAATAAGGCAAGCATTTGTCCAAGTGTGCTGTGTACAATAATATTTTGTTTTTCATATAGATTATGAACCGGGAGCAAACTCTAGTCCAGAAAATATGGTACACAAGATCTGACTGCACTTAGGCCATGCTCTGTTGCGCAGATGATTCTAGCTGCTTCCCAAACCGCTGTGCTTTCTTAAGCATGGCTCTAAAGTCAAGTGCAATAGGTGACTGCAAATCAAGTTGGAGTAAATGTAAAGGTTCCTCTGACCTGAGGACTTGGTCCTTCTTCCTTGGTGGCGATCACGCACAGTTCTCCTGCAGAGCCCATCCTCAAAAGGTTCTTCATATACTTTACATGTTTCTGTTCGTGCGAGAAAAACAGTAAAAGCTGTTAGTTTACCTATGTTTTTCCTCCTATTTTTAACAGTGCATACACCCATTGTTACGAATTTCTGAGGAGAGCTCCAGTATTGTTAAATAAAATAAATAAATATTAAGGAATTAGCGACATTAGGACTGTGACAATGAGAGTCCTTTTTAATTATTTGGCACAGCTTGTCTTTCAGGAATGCATCACGAGCGTGGAAAATATAAGTGATTCTTCACACCCTTGTGACAAACTCAATGACGCCTAGTCTTAAAACCACTCTGAGCCGACTCTATTGAAAATTTCTAAATAGCTGGCCGTTCCCTAAAGCTCGATGTGGCAATTTCGAGCTCTACCTTACCTTCAGTGTTGCAAATACTCGCTAAATTGCAAAATCTTAAATAAGCTTGAACGTACTACACCGACGCTCGACACGTTTCTTCTCCGCAGCAGCTTCAACAAATTTGTCAGTCGTCGAAGCAGAAAAAACGGTACCCAGAAGAAATTCGGCTCCTCTGCACGAGCAGGTGCAGGTGCACACCGATTTGCCTAAATGAAACACCATCTCTGTCCCGAATTCGTTCCACAGTTAAAACCCATCCCACCGGTAGCGGCCACAAGCACCGTCACCTGCACATCATCTGCCACCAGTATGGTGCCCAGAACGCATCTCCAACCATAGCGTCCCAAAAACTGGTCCCTCGACTTCCGTCCAATAACGTCCTAAAAGTTTCACGCCGTTGCCAGCCGTGATCCCGATGGTGTCACAGCAGCGGTAGTGGAAGTGGCAGGCGGCTGTTCCGCTGCGAGCCGCCCTCCAGCCTGACGGCCCACGGAAGCTTTACCAGCCGGGGGTACAAACGCCACGACGACGGCGCCACTCGCGTTCCCTTGTGCCTTTTGCCGACGCTTCTAGCGCCAACCACCAGGACGGCACCTCCGGCTTTCCGGACGTCGTTTGTCGTCACTTCAGGACCGCTTTCGATGCGGGACGCCATGCACACGAGTCAGAGCGACGCGTCTTTTGGCTCCACACCGCCAGTGCTCAACAAAACAAGCCTCCGAGCTCTGTGTGTGTGTACCACGTCCTCATTTTGCCCACCGAACTCCTGCCCGACGACGTCACAATTGTGCACTGGGTCGGGATGTCCCCCAAGCTAGCGACTGTTCTTAAAATGCCGTCGCGTTCACCAACGAGCGCGGGGGATGGCGGGTACCCGTTCAGTCGACAAAAATTTCACGGGAACCGACGAGATGAGGATGGTGGGGCACCTTTTTTGGACGCCCCGCCTGTGGCGTGCGCCCTTTGCCTTTTATCGCGCTTTGGCCGTGTGTGCATGCTCAAAGTCCACGAGGCGTCCACACGTTGTCAACGGTGAGAAGCCCTTGCTGTGGAAGGAAGAACCGAAACTCCTCCCTGCTGTTCTCTCATCCTGCCAGTGACAAACCCCAGCAGCTGGAGTTTAACCCCCCCGATGCCAATAATGCACACATCTGCTCGCCTGCTGTGTCATTCCTTAAAAAACTAACGCCTCAGGACATCGATGAGGCAACCCATTCTCTTGAATGTCCCTGCAACGTCGCTCGTCGTCTTTTTTCCACAGACCCTCCCCTCCAATCACTGAAGGGTACCGGATGTGGAAATCTCCTGGAATATTGGGACTGATTCAACCGTAGAGTACTTGCCTCATTGCTGTTGATGTTCCAGAAGATGACTGTGCTCTCCACACGATCCACTTTGCTGAATGAGTATGCGATCGTGTTTGCCAGGAAGCACCACTGAAACAAAAAGTTGTGCTTTTGACGTCGGACGCCTCGTTTGGCCCTGTGTGTGCCCATGTCAAAAAAGGAGAAAGAAGTGGGCGACGGACCTTGTAGTCCGGACGAATGTTGGCGAAGAAAATAAACGAGTCGACGGCCAGGGCGATGCGGAGGCCAGTGCCCTCCCAGGCACAAGCTGAGATGTCCCTGCCCGGAACTCGCAATGTGTGCAAGTGCTGGAAAGACAAACAGTGCACGACCTTTAGAGGGGATTCAAGGTCGGGATATGTTTATACGTCCGAGCCAAGAAAACCAGAAAGATGGGGAGAGCCAAAGTTAAGTCACCTTTCAAACAACCAACCACAAGTGGCTGGAGATGGGTGCAGAACCGTTCTGAAGTGCAACGGACTTACAAAATGCAAACGTCTGCGTGCGTAACAGATTGCAAGAGATTACCGATTTTGCCTAAGGAAATGGTAAAGTATAGTGCAAAAAAGGTCTAGAAGTAGCACTCATGGTCACTTCTTGAAAGAAGTGACCATGAGTGCCACTCTTCCTTCGTTCTCCCTGAAAGGAGAATATCCAATATTCTTCTTCTTGAAAGGAGAATATTGGACACCTTGCATTACCGTAAAATCCTGAAAAATTCCCCACCCCCGCAAGATAGCTTACCCCTATTTTTGGCTTGATTTGCTATATTTTTTTAAAGACCGAAGGATAGCCCACTCCTACTAATGTGTAGCAGTATTGGGAATCGGGATCAATGATGGCCCCAGTGTAAATGCAGCTCCTTATCTATGGCGGGATATAAGAGAACGTTGCTGACTGGGAAGTACAGTCATCTATGCTTCGTTGCCTCTCGCCACCATAACAAGCTTGGAAGAGACACAACCTAAAAAGGGCAATTTTTTAAAACTTTTCTTGATTGTACATCGAAAGTTAACCCACTCTATATTTTCATACGATTTGGTCCTTATGTCAGGTGGGCTATGTCTCGGGAGTTTATGGTATGTGTAGTTTTTTTTAGGGGTGTGCGAATATTTGAGATTTCGAATACAAATTGAATATTGTTCTTATTCAATTCGTATTCGATTCGAGAATTGAATTGCATACTGAGAAATTTCCTAATATTCGGTTATGGCGGAATATTCTGGCAATGTATTATTTGGGCAAATATAGTGACTAATCCACGCACGGGACATTCCCTGAACATTCAGAGCTTCCTTAAAAGCCAAGTTTAGTCGCCTAAAATTGTGGGTATTGTAGCCATGTTTTTTCATAAAACCTTTCTGTTTACGTTATAAGTAGAACTGCCATATTTGCACGACTTTAATGCACTCCCAATTGTAATGCGCAGGCAGATTTATCACCCAGATATTCAAAAAGTAAATTGCTGCCGATTTTAGGTAAAATAAGGAAGTTGAACACATGCCTCATAAAACAGATTTTATGAAATGCACGCTAACATAAAAATAAATACTGTGCACTAGTCGCTGTTGTCAGAGTCCGACGATGGTTCTTCGCAGTCCAGAGAAGTAATCCTTGCATTTGTCTAAAGCATATTATGTGCCGCGCTTCTCGCGCTTGTACGTGTGAGCGATCGTCGTTTCTGTGAGGGTTGTCTTCCAAACAACACTCTGTGGGCTCGTCGAATCACTGCCATTGCGAGACCACACAGTGCTGCTTTGTTGTTATCTTTTCCTGCCAGTGTGATGGCCTTTCATTTAAATAAGGCCTCCTAGTGGAATTCCTTTAGTTTTTCCATTCTTAAAACGGCAGACATGAGTTTGCAGATGTGAAAGAATGTGCGTGATACGGATACCAAAATGGCGAATGTAAACAGACGGTTGCAATGGCAAATGGGGCTAGTCATCTTATACTGAGTATTGCATTTTTCTTTTGAGTTTCGGCTTTAGGTTTCGATTGTAAAGCATATGTAATTTTGGAAACTGATTTTGGCAAAAAAAAAAGTGTGTATTAGAATTGTGCAGACACGGTATGTATATTAGGTTATGACAAAGGAGCTGTTTTGGCTTTCGTTTTGCCACGTCTCCATTGTGAGTCACACTTCTAGCTACCTTATATCTTCTGCTGCAGGAGCAAGGGTATTTTCTGCTGCAGAAGCAGTTGCCACAGCGAAATGGGCACGTCTATGTACTGAATATGTGGAACATCTAATTTCCTTGCATGATAATTTGCAATAATTGCATGAGCAGCTAATATTTGACTTGCTGGCTAGTCAAGGGCAATTTCAATTATTTTCTTAAAAAAGGTGACTACCAGTTTCTGTGACAACATTACAGGTTGCATTTTTACATGCTATCTAGAAATGTGCAGTTTTCTACAATCTTAATTTTGTCAATTTGTATACCTTATCAGTTGCACCCTTTGCCTGCTTTCATGTACAGTAGTCAAGTGATTACCAGTCAAGTTGTAATAGCTGCATCACCAGTTGCATCGTTTATATGGTGCCTAGTCAGGTTGTTTCATTTACCTGAAGTTGCTAACATCATTTTCGGTTTTTACTGTAATAAAAAAAGTATAAGCATATTTTCTTTTGTTATTTCTTAGTGGTACACACATATTCGAAACATATTCGATATTCAAAGCTATTTTTTTCTAATATTCATACTCGAAAATTTCAATATTCTAACACCCCTAGTTTTTTTGCTTTGACGGATGCAATGATTTGCAGCGGTACTATTGATTTTGTTGAACTAGCCATGTGACTTAATGGGGAGAGCCAAGTGGTTGCATATGATATCCGACTCCAAAAATGTAAACTTTCTTTTTATCCCTCCAGGTCCTGTCTAATTCACCCCTTACAGAAGGAGAAAATAAAAACATTGTAAGCACTGTGACATTGCCTGGCAAGCCTCTCTACCTTGTAGTTGCTCTGGTCAATTTTTTTTCATTTGGGATTACGACTGTGTTCAGCTAAAGCAGTGTCTCTGAATTACAAGGTATAATCTTTTTAAGATATTGTGTGTCGTTTTATAAATATCATGGCTCAAAGTTTGGTTCCGGACATCTACGGTAAAACCGAAACTATCTGCTAGAGGGATGGCAACGCTGATCATCAGCCGTACGTACAGCTGCGACGTGACGTCACAAGGGTGCGCCGCATAGTGTTCCGCGACTAAAAGCTAACCCGCTAAAAAGCAGCTGGTTGCATCTTTAAATTTGGTTTTAGTGGAGTGTGTGGCTTCACTCTGATGTAACATTTCGGCTGTGATCATATTTTGTGCCACTAAAGTGAGGCCAGTCACTTATTTTGGTTTCGTTTTCGACCAGAGTTGCCCTTTAAGCATTCTTTGGAACGTAAGACACAGCACAAACATTACACCGGTGGATTTTCGCTTTTTTCTCACTCAGAGAGAATATTATGCAACATAACATTTTACTGCTTAAAGATGTGCCCCCAATGAGCACCATTCAACACACTAGTAGTTCTAATGACAGCCTCCCAATCCTACAAGAAAGGGAAAAAAATCGGCCATTGCTCTCTCGTGCCAACCGTGTCATACTCCGTACCTTCTACTATTCTGATTAATGGGTCGAGCGCCTTGATTCGCTATGGTACTTAAAACCAAAAACATTTATACAAGATGTTGAACGATCATACTTGGCCGTAAGGGTTGAAAAACTTGACCATGTTCCTTTTTTCAGTGTCTCCTGCATAGTGCTTTCCAGTGACTGCAAGCATGGTCCCGTCGTGATTCCACTGGAGGCATGTTGCCGTCATGTCCGTATCCAGGATGAGTGGGGCTGAAATTGCAACGGAATTAAAACAAAAATTGAGAACATACATCTGATATGTGTGTTGCATTTACCACATGCGGTTAGTCCAAACAAAAACAAAAGTGCTCCAAAGAAAAAAAGAAAGATTACTCTAATTGTACTGTTGCCCTACACCTGTCGCATCAAGAAAAAAAATCATGCATATAGTGTATATGGTGTACAAAGGTAATAACAGAAATTGGCTAACAAAAAAAAGAAATCTGCATTTTACATTTGATATGTGTATGGTTTGATGAACAAAGAAAAATATGATCTTAAATGCACATAGCACAAGTGTCATAATTGAACATGTGAAAGGAGAAATCAGTAATGCTCCACAAGGAGCGAAACATTTTCTCAAATTCATAGCTGTCGAGGCAAACGACCTAAACCTAAATTGAGACGCCACTAAGGCTCCAGTCTAAGCTCATGCCAATAGGAATGCACTGTGGCCCTATAACTAAGGACTGTGCCCTAGTGCAAAGTGTTCTCATAACATTGTATGTTATTGGTTGCTAGTTGCATGTTACAAACAAGCAGGTATAGTTATTGGCAAGTGGTAGTTTTCCATTAGGAGGGCAAGCTATTGAACTTGAATGCGAGGTTAAAACTTCCAAAATAGTATCTGTAGCCTTCATTTTTTTTTTTTTTCTAAAGTCACTGGCATTGAAACGATGGGAGGCCTGTCTTTGACACGACACGGCAACAACACGACAAAGAAGACATAAAGCGACTCACAGTCATCGCTCTCGCTGCACATGAGTTGAACCTTGCCGCTCTCGTAGCCTATTGCGAGCACGGGGCAGCCAGGCTCGGCCAGGCAACCGCTATACCAGTGCAACCCTATCAACTTGGTGCCGGTCGAGGTATGCAGTATTGGTAGAGATATCTTGGACTGAAAATGACCAAGCAAGCGTGACAACCATGGTTTTAAAGGGAGGCTGAACTCTCGAAGCACATTCTGTCAAGTTCTTAAAAAGAACATGTACGTATGTCATAAAAAAATGAAAAAAGCCTTTCCCCGAAGGGGAAAAAAAACAGTTCACACAATATTGTTGAGTGCAGGGCCGAGAGAGAACGCTACTCCATACTTCTAGAAGATTCGCGTTTACTCTTACCACAAATGTTCGAAGCTCAGACATTCTAGAAGGCATGTTCCAGATACCAAGTGTAAAAGATAAGAAGGCCAGCATGGCCTTGCCGAGTCAGTCTCACCCTAGTTTGACACTCGAGCATTCTAGGCCGAATGTTCAAGATACCGAGTATAGTAGATAAGGAGCCCAGTGTGGCCTTGCCGAGTCGGAGACTCTCGCCCTAGCCAGCTGTCGTGCCAATGCCTCAATACTCGCTGTTGATTCCTCAACGTTCATTCTTTCTTTTGTTTCTGGCAGACGTTCGGCAATTAAACCTTCATCTTTAGTTTTACGTTTGTCTATCCTTGTTCATCCACGACAATATTTACGTCACGAGACACATTTAGAGTTGGGAGCGATTCAGAATGTTTGACAGGTCTACATGAAAAAAAAGCATCTTTCGGGATCGCTCCTAGAGGCACCAAACTCCCAAGAAAAATTCACAAAATGAATTTTTCTCATATAAGAAGGTTAATAAACGTCTTCATATAAAGAGATTATCAAATCTTTCATGTAAAAAAAGATGAGTGCAATAATCGCACGTTGCACGACTCATTCTAAGTGAGCAGTGATTCCAAAGCGTGCTTCTATTTTGGCACGTCAACACAAAACAGACGCACATATCGTGATACTCAAAATGAGTCTTGCAACCTAGATATTGCCATGCGCGTCTTCGAACAAGCGCACCCGTGGCCGAATGGTTATCGTGCTTGACTCCCACACAAAGGGGCCGGGGTTCGATTCCTGGAAGCAGACATACCTTTTTGTTATTTCTGTGAATCTCGCATTCTGGTGAATTTGAGAACCATATTGTTTGTTGAGGACCAAATGTTCTGCACACTGAGCAGTTGACACCGACTGTTCCAGAACCCACGCGTGAACATAAGAGGCTCAGCATGGCTAGCCGGAGTCAGTCCGCCCCAGCGCTCAATTCTGCTGTTCCGCCGACATCGATACCTGCGACGCTAACCTTGTTCTATTCTGTTTTGGGCACACGTTCGCGCAATTAAACGTTTACTTTCTCCAGTTATTTGCCACATCATCATTTGTCAGGCTTGACAATATTGCCCTAAAATTTTTTTTTTGTTTTTTCGGGGATGGTGTTTTTCTGACATACGTGCACTATCCAGGCACTTTAAAAAAAAAAAAACATTTTTCTGAGTTGCGTGTTTTTTTAAGGCACATGCACGGTCTTTCTATGTGTCCCATTGTGGGAGTAGGGGCAAGCAAAGCTGCGAGAGGTTGGTTTCAGTGTGATGCACGCAACTAACAACATCTACAAAAATTATAAAAAAAAAAAAAAAATTTAATTTGGAGTGCAGATATGTTTTGACATTATACTTACCACAGGATTCCCTCCTTGTTCGAACACATGGACTTCGCCATTCTGCAGTCCGAAAAGCAGAAACCTGCCATCGGCTGACCACTGTAAAAAACGAAAAGTAAAGATAAGAAGAAAGAAAGTGAAAAACACAGGCAAGCTAGTGAACTAGCTCTATGACGAAAAAACCCAAGACTCGGAACGGATAAAAAGAAGGAACCAATGCACACAGATACCGCCTCAAAACGCAGCTACCGATTTCATTTCACATTGTCATATTTACACGTCGCCAACTCTCCCCGAAATTTACAAACTCTTCGCAACAAGTTACTAACAAGGAACACTGCCTTGTTACAGCAACCGCCATCCCAATATTTTGCACATATTTCTTGCGACTCGGCTCCTGACACTGTTACCCTTGTCTGGGAATTCAGACCATGACGAGCTATGTCTACACTTCGTTTCATCTACAGTCAAAGCGCAGGTGACGCTACGAGCCCATGGCACCAATCCAACGGCGTCAAAAGTGCGACATCACGGCATTCGTCTCTTTTCTAAGTCTGCTCTTTTACCTGTTGAACCAACCAATCGCAGCGACTGCCCCTAGACTTGCACATTTAGCACATGTGTTTGTGATAGTACGTGTTTGGGCTTTCGACTGTGCTTAGACCCAAGAAGAAACAGACCATACGGTGGGTGGAGATGCTTTGAAAACATATTTTTACCAGTTTTGTTTTCTTCTACTTTTTAAATATTTTAAAGCAACATTAAAATATTTGTATCTTTTACTTTTTTAAGGGCCACATCGGTTCACATGTGGTGCAATTCTTAGCAAAAAAATGGTGCCTCAGCACTAGGTGCAGCAGTTTCATTCATGGCACACTATGGCACAGCATTTCTATGAGACCTCTTTCAAAAGCACAAATCAAAATGTCATCAACGTGCAGGCGTACAACAAAACTTGCTAACTTGCTTGTGATTTAAATTGCAATCTAAATCATCTAGATTTTAATTCTGCAGACTGATGAACGATATATAAATGTGACCATGTGAAATGGAATCAGTAGCTGCATTTTTAGACGGTCTGCGTGCTTGTCCGTATTTTTATCTGTTCCCAGTCTCAGGTTTTTCATTAAAGATATGAGGAAGATGGACCAAAATTATGATACCACATTACATCAGACATTAACAAGTATCTCAGAATATCTTTTCTCACCTCGACCAGGAAAAGATGAAGATTCTTTAGTTCTTTGCCCCAGATACGATTACCATCAACGGATCCGACAATCACGGCACCTGGAAAAGCAAGTTTCCATTAGAATAAGAGTTTCCATGAAAGATATGTTTGTCGTCCCTTGTCCCGAGTTGGTTTCATTCTTTCTGTATCAAGTCAACAAGAGTTTCTGTATACCAAAACAAACAACAGAGATAAAATGCTGGAATCTAGTAGAAGATGCTGATAGTTAGCTCCTCTAACTGATAACTTTACTGCTGCACTTAACCCCTTAATGGGGTTAAAGGGTTAGGTGCTAAAGTCTAAAGACATGCCCTTAACTGGGCATGTCTTTGGAGGTGCATCAATTTTGACCTTGAAATGGAGAGCGCGTCTAAAGAAGCGCTACTTTTTTCGGATGGTGACAGCGTGGCGAGGAACACGTGCCAATATTTGTCAGAGGTTGTTATAGGTGCTGCCATCTGTCAGACACAATACCAAACGCACGGAGGTCTATTTGAGTTTGCTCGCTGGCGAAATAACTTAATTGCTCTGGTAGAAAATGTGTGTACTTCTCGGTCTGGCTCATGGGTGCTAAATTTATACAGACGCTGAAATTGAGGCGTTACTTCAGCGAAGCTACGACAATGACTTGGACATGAGTACATGCTTGGCGACAGCAAAACCTCGGGATTATGCATAAGTCAAGCACGGCATAGTATTTTCTTCGAAACCCACTTACGAAAACATCCGTAAAAATTGTCAAATTGAACAGCATTCTTTGTACTTCAGCACAAGAAGCAGCAACATGTAAATTAAAAAGTTTAAATTGTTAGTCAAAAAATAATTTTTAAGCTTTCCGAGTGAAAAAAAAAAAAAAAGAAGAAATTTTCAAGGCATGGTCGCACAATTAATATTATGTTTTCTTAGGCTGTCATTTCAGCGGTGTACCACTCTACCTACGAGTTTCAATTGACAGCTCCAGTGTTACTAAAATAAACAAATAAAAATAAATGCCACACAAATACATATAAATAAACGCCACATCTTACCGTCGTCGTAAACAATGCAGATTTTCTGACCGTCCGCGCTCCATGCCATGCCTCTCACCACAGACTTATTTCTGTTGTTGATCATCTCTTCGTACCAAGATCCTAAAGGCATGCAAAAGATTGTGAATAAAGACAAGTTGTGCAGAAAACACCTGTTGGGAGATTTTGAATGAAACATACCTTTGTAAAGCATCCAAACAATAATGAGGCCATTCTGGTCGCTGGACGTCAGCTTTTGAAACTGAGAGTTCCAAGTCACAACCTGTACCACACCTGAAATAATTTAATGAGCATTAAAAAAAAAAAATTGCTTCATATTTCACAACTTTTATTTATTTATCAACGTGTGTAGGATGAATAATTCAAACATATTTATATTTCTTCTGCATAAGGTGTCATCATAGTAATGAAGTGAAATGAACTGCTTAAAAACTTTAAACAGTTGGTCAAAATAATGGTGCATTAAACTTCTCTAGAAAACTTTTGTCAAAACCACATAATTAGATGAGTGCTAAGAAACCTGAAACCAAGTAGAGCAGTTAAAAACAAGAATGTTTCGAAACATGATGTCAATGATTATAAATAAGCAATACAAGTGTGACGATAGGGTCGTTTCCTATGAAATACAAAATGCATTAATGCGCTATCATATGCATTAATACTCTATAGAATTTTCGCATCAAGATAATACCTCCGCACTGAGCGTATGTGAGTGATTTATTTGACTTACCGCCATGGCCTTCCAGAGTTTGATTCATGGACAGATTGCTGGGCGCAGCGAGTCCTCTAACTTTGCCATCTTTTTCTAGAAACGGCGACACGATCGAACAACGATTGATGTCAGGTTCTAACCGTATAACGAGCACAAAAACCACGAAAACAAATTGGTGAAGAAACAATAAAGAGGCGTGCCTGTTTCTAGCTTCAACACTTTGAGCAATCCGTTGTCTCCACCGCAAGCGATGTACCCGTGGTCCTTATTCCACGCAAGACACTGGATCCTCGTGTTGTTTGGAATGGCGATCTATACATAAGTGAAAAAGCGCGAATTAGCACGACGATTAGGTCAAAGCGCGACAGCTGTCGCGGAAGACGATAGAACTTGACCGCCGTTCCCATTGTAAACAGAAGCGTTTAGGAAGAAGTCATTCACCCGCGCGGGCTTGGGCGTGGGAAAAGAAGTTCAAAAGCGTCCTCTCACCTTCTTGCTCAAGTAAATGAACATGGTACTCTGACGACGAAGCGATCCAGTCCAAACTGTTCGAGACTTGGAGCGGAGTACCGAATCGAACAATCGTCGGATCAAAACATCGAAATTTGAACAACGATACAACTCAGGCTAGCTGCCATGGCGACGCTCAAGCGCTCGCTCAAGTTTACGCGCTACTCTCGGTCCCAGCGGCTCTAATAAAATATGTTTAGGTTTATTTTAAATATTAATTTAATCACAATTGTTTACGTAAATTATATAATTAAAAGTTATAATATATTGAATCTTATAAAAAAGAGTGAGCAGTTTGCGTAAAATTTGACATGTCGACTTGAACCCTGGGTTAGAGAGTCTACATACGGGCCTTTCTACTGCCGTCAGCAACGTGGTGTGAGTGCCGGATTTTGATGTGCCGCTAAAATAACGCAAATGATCAAATTTTAGCGTGTTTAGAAGCGTGTAAGGGGTGTCGACCGATTATTTTGGCTCATTTGGAGTGTTTTTATTTTCAGAGTTCCGGAACCACGCCCGGCGTGAAGATGGTCGCTCAAAAGAAACAGGTGACGCTAAACCTAACTTGCATTTTCTTTGGTTTGCCGGCGCTTGGGAAAACGTTGGAGCGTTTCTAAAAACGAAATAAAGAGCGGCTTTGATGTGCTAACGTATACAAAAGAAATGAGAAACACCTTTAAAGCGGGCAATGGATTGGCGACACCAATGTGCAACGCTGTGACTTGTGCAAACACGTTGTCACTTGTGCCTAGGTTCGCGGTAATTCGATTTTTTAAACTTTACCTGGCTGAATTAGTGGTTTCAGAGCTTTTTCTACAAGTAGCTCGTCGATCAGTTGGGTAATATTTCTCTTGACTTCTACAAGCACCTTATTTCGTTAACGGGTCCCCGCAACACCAGCACATGGACTACGCTAGCGTTCCCGCCGATGTTACAGCAGTCCGAGATACGTCAGACATCTGTTAGGGACTATTACTGATGTTGATGGGGTAAATCAAATTGCTACGATGAAGGCTTGTTTCTGATCGGTTATGTGAGCCACCACGTGAGGCTGGTGACACCATAATACGCGGCGTATCTGCACACACAAAGTAAAAAAAAAATATATAAATCTATATATATATACATATAGTGCATGGTTGAAGTATTCGCTAGAGAAGAGGGCTTTTTTTTTATATATATTGATTAATGTGAACACAGCGAATTGTGTTGATTGTGCCTCCTCTAGTTTTCTAGTTATATGAAATACAGCTGTCTTCTCCCAGAGGGTTCAATGTTTCTTGCTCTGTCTTTGCCAACAGAAAAAGGCTTTGGAGAGCATCAACTCTCGGCTAGCGCTGGTCATGAAGTCTGGCAAGTATGTCCTCGGCCACAAGCAGACTATCAAGACACTGCGACAGGGGAAGGCCAAGCTCATCATCATTGCCAACAACACCCCTCCTCTCAGGTACCCTGCCTTTCAGCTTACCGTGCTCTGTTACATCATGCATTGCAGGCCATTTTAACGCTGGTTGACATTGTGCAGAACTGGTCTGCAGGGTTTACAACTTCTGTACCTGACTTGTCCCTTCCACCACCTTGGGTTACTTTGAAAAGAAAGACTGAAAGCGAAACATTGTCGCAGTAACAATCGCCTTATGTTTTCTAGCATCTCATGACCAAAAAGGGGCTGTGCAATGAGTTTGGCACGTGTAGTAGATACTGCTTGCCAATAATCCTTGGATGTACATAACAAAGCATGCATCTCCACACAGTGGTAGTTGCAGAAAGAGCCGTAAACAAATGGCGTTCCCTCCAGTAAGTCGTGGCCACGGGCTGCGGTTTGCGAAGCATGAGGCTCGGGCTGAGTTCCTTGTTATTCGCCTATTCCCGCCGTTGCAGGATTTGGGCAGGGACCACTACCCTAATGTTCGTTAAATCATTGATCGTCATGAACTCAAGTGCATGTGTCGATTTCTTTAGCCACATTCAACTGCCATCCCCGAGAGGCGACCCCGTTGAACGCAGGTTCAACGGGGTCGCTTCTCGCGGATGGCAGTCGAACGGTTGGCGAAAGAGGGACAGAGAGAAATCTGCTTTTACCGTTTAAATTACACTGAGGTCACTGCACATGTGCAGAAACCAGATTTCTGTTAGGTAAAGCATCTGTGCATTCGCCATATCGTCTGCAGTGACATGACAGTGGACATTGGATGCACCAGATGAGACTGAATTTACTTGATTTCGGGAACAGACGGTCGTACAGAGTTTCCGGGGTGCCATTGCTGTTGTCACTGTTGGGGGGGGGGGGGGGGGAAGAGAGAAAGAAAGAGAGAGGGGGGAGGGAGGGGGAGGGCAAGGCAACTGTATAATCCATTTTATACTTGGGGTATAATGTTTTCAAAGCTGCTGGCATGAGTGTGTGGATTGGCCTTTTGGTTCTTTTTCACATGTTCTACCGCTAATGAGATGCTGGGTGAGGAGTCATACTTGTGCAAGCAGCATTGTGCATGGGGATGAGGGGCAACAGTGTATTTTATTTTATACTTGGGGTGTAATGTTGTCAAAGCTGCTGGCATGAGTGTGTGGATTGGCCTTTTGGTTCTTTTGCACATGTTCTTGTGCTAATGAGATGCTAGGTGCAGAGACATATTTGTGCAAGCAGCATTGTGCACTAAATATGAAACGAAGTATATTTCCCCAGATTTGTCGGTAAATCTGTAGTTGAAATAGTTGCTCAAAAACCCGGAATTCTTTTTGAGAGCTTCAAGATGACTTGGATATCTTGAGTTTGCAAATGTTCTTGACAGTCTGCGGAAAGCCTAGTCTGTCTCGCATTATCTTGTGGGTATTCAACTTAGAGAATTAAATTTTGGTATAAAATGACTAAAATTGGCAGCTTCAGGGAAAGTTGCTTGGGTCCTGCTTGTGTATCAGTTATTATGTTGGTGAATTGTCTTGTTGGTTCTTTGCAGGAAGAGTGAGATTGAGTATTACGCCATGCTCGCCAAGACTGGCGTTCACCACTACACGGGCAACAACATCGAGCTTGGTACCGCCTGCGGAAAGTACTACAGGGTCTGCTGTCTCAGCATCACCGACCCAGGTACGTCTTGCTCCTCCCCCCATCTCTTCTCATTGTCCGAATTCAGACTTTCTTCCAATCCGTATTTTGTGGCCCCCTCAAGTCTGGGTTACAATTGCGAGCAAATCTGTTTCGGGACTTGCCTTTGCCACACCTCTACGACTTTCCTTTTTTACAAGCATTCCTGGAAGGACCTCGAACTTCGTGCAAAGCTTACCTAGTATAGTTGGCCTATTGAGAAAATATTTTAGGATAAGTTTTCATTGCCTCGATTAGAACATCCCTAAACTGAACAATGTTTGGCACTAGGAAAAAGTGCTGCATCCAGCACCAGTGACTCTGCAGAGAAGTGGGGAATAGGGCTTTTGTGTGCAGAAGTTTTATGAGGTTCAGCCGTACCATAATATTCTAAAAGTGTTATGATTGAAAAGAAACAATAACTATAATTATCATTAGAACAAGAAATGCAGATAGCTAGCAATAATGTAAATGAATGCTGTAATCAATCTTTGCTTGGTTAGGGATACAAACCAAAAATAAAGAAATAATAGTTGGGTATGGGAGGGATGGCTGTTTGAAAAATTGTGTTCACTATAGTCGGTGACAGGTCAAGAAGGAAGTGGAAGCTCCCCCCACCCTTCTCCACCTCAGCGGAGCGAACAGTGGAGAGGAGGTCGCCTCCTCTTCAGCGTTCGCTCTACTTAGTCCGACCTACAGAATCGTCTTCTACCAGGGAAAAAACCGGTTCCCAGTTTCCTTCTTTCCATTCCCACTCGCCCACTTTTCCCCTCCTCTCCACACAGGAGCAAATCTCTGAACTACTCCCGGTAGAGAGGAGGAGGGTCACCTTCTTTTTCAAATGGAACGGAGGAATTGAGGGAGTTTCCCTCTTTCTGCTTGTTGGTCGGCCTTTAAGTACAAAGAGGGGGGAGGAGCTTCCACTACGTTCTTGACCTGTCACCAACTATAGCCAACTCGTAGAGCTCACTGACAGTGTTGTTGACACCCATGTCTTTGGTTTGCAGGTGATTCGGACATCATTAGAAGTATGCCTTCCGAGCAGTGATGTGGACCTCCGATTGTAATAAATATAAAGACCCAGCCCGCCTTTTCTATTTTTATTAGCATCAATCATCGTTGGCAGGAAGTATTGCCAGTGATGGAAGTAGTGTACCAACTTGTACCATGAATGAAAGTCCTCTACATCTTGCACAAAAGCGCCACTTTTGCTAAGAATTGTGCCACACCTGTGCTGAGGTAGGCTTAAAGGGAAGCAGAAGCGGTTCTGTATTTGAGGAAAAACATTTAAATCATCTCCATTTGGCCTTCAAAATATCGAGACTATATTTCAGTTTCGTGCACGGAGGCTGCTGAAAATAGTTTTCAAAATGCTGCTGAACTCCCTCCTTCCCTGAGCGTGATGTCATATCCAGAATATCTGTTCTCCCACATCTTCAGTGCCTATAAAAGCCATGCACACACTGTTGCGATTTTCGAAAAGGTCAGAAAAAGATGTGACTGGTGTCGGTGCTGGGAAATGTACCTGGCAAACTTGCAATTACATGCGCTGCCCACACGAGTGATGTGCTTGGAGGCTGAAAGATCCTTCTATGGCGTAATAAAAGGCTGGAGGCTTCGTGTTCTCTCGCATTTAGTTACACCTTCGGGGAAAACAAATGGGATATTCAGATTCACGGGAGAAAATGATCTAGAATTCACCTGCGCCGAGTGGGCTTCAACAAAGAAAAACGTTAAAGTATATAAAGGAAAATTGTACAAATATATTTCACAGTGCCTCTGCTTACTATGCAGTTTCTCTAATCCATAGACTTAAAATGTTCGCTAGAAGTTCAACTGGCACTAGTGTGTATGCAGCTTCCGAGAGGCAAATAGCAGACAGCAACTAGTCGACGTTTGCGGTGCTCCTGTGCCACAAAAGGCTGAGTTTTCACCGGAAAATAACTTTGATAGCTTTTGTTATTTAGGTTCTACTAAATAGTTGGTACCTTTGTTAGCATTGCAAAAGTGTAATTGCCAGTGAACTATGTTACACTTAGCTATATTTAAGGCCCAAACCTCTGTTATAGCAAGTATGTAAAAACGAGCGACGATTCTAAGCAAATCTTAGTAAGCAAAGTAACAATCGAAAGCTGTGTAGTGTTTTCAATGTTTGCCAGCATACTGGTGATGCTTATACAGTGTGTTTCGAAGAACTCCGGCCAAATCGCTCCTGCGAAAACTACTTATCGCAACAAAAAAAGGCTTGTGTCGTTTTGGTCCTGGGCCAGGGGCCTATTTAGGAAAATTGTTAAAGTCCGGGATAATTCGATTGTTAATTATTTTTGCGTAATTAACTTTTTTAATATTGTGTTTAAGGGCATGGTTTCAATTAGAAAATTGCTCAGCATCATCATAAAACACTAAATCAACAAATTGGCGAACGATAGAAGGCGCGTGAAGCATTTTACGGCTTTCTGAAGAACCGCAAAAATTCGCCAGGTTTTTAAAGGGGCACTGACACCCCAAAGGTCATATTTATTTTTATTGTCTAAAACGATGCAAGTTGCAGTCATAGACACGCAAAAAAAACCGCATCGCGAAAAAAAATTTTCCCGCGCGCGCGCGCGCCTGTTTATTTTGGGCGTTTGATTTTCCCGCCTCTCGCCTCCTCGCTTCTTTTGATCGGTGACGTCAAAAATCAGGAAATTTAGAAGCTTTGTAGGCGACATCTCTAGAACATTTAATTACGGCAATCCTAAAACATGTTTTTTAACGCAATTGCGAACGCACTACGGCCCTTCTTTTTGAAATACCAAAAATCGGGAGTTCGTTGTGGTGTCGTCTCCTGGATTTGTATCCTCCAACGGAAAACAGGCGACACCGCTCAAAACCGGTCCGCGCCGCCGCTCACTCCTTTCCTCCTCGCTTTGGGTCGCCATGGCAACAGCAGGGAGTGGTGAAAGGAAGTCGACTCTCAGGTCTCCTCAATTTTTGACGTCAAGGCACCGGCGCCGATCGCGCGGGAACTTCGAATTCGGCATTTGGAAATTGTTTTTTTACTTCACGAATACTGAATTCCCAAATCTCAAATTTTGTGGGTAATGTCCCGGCATCGTTTTCAATCGTTTCAGATAATAAAAAAAAATATGATTTTGATGTGTCAGTGCCCCTTTAAGTTTCGGTTTACTTTCGGAGCGCATCTCGGCCCGGGCGGCACCGCGCCCCGTGGAGAGATAGTGCAACCAACCTCTGCTGCGTCGCGCGCAATTTTCTAATTGTAATCATGCCTTTAAACACAATATTAAAAAAAAGTTAATTACACAAGCATAATTCACAATCTAATCCCGGACTTCAATCATTTTCCTAGATAAGCCCCTGGCCAAAGACCAAAACGACACAAGCCTTTTTTTTTTTTTTTTTGCGATGATTAGTTTTTGCACGAGCGATTTGGCCTGAGTTCTCTGAAACACCCTGTATGTTGCTAATATGCAAGCCCTGTCACGTAAAAATGACCCTGTCGTATATATTTACAAGCGGTTAAAACTTTAAAAACGTAAAGAATAGAGTATTTAGGCTATGAAAGGTGTGTCATTTTATTCTTTCCTATGCTGGGCATCGTTTATTGCACACCTGTTCTCTGGCTTCTTCATATTTTTAAAGATTTCGAGCCTGCGGGGTGATGTTTTGAACGCAATACGAGCATCTTCACACATATTCATGAGCAGAAAGAATAAAGCAGGACGTATTTAAGGTAAATTAAACTATATTACGTGGCCTTCAATTTCCTTTGATCGTCTGCGTGACTGGGAAACATTCCAATCTACTTTGTATGAATTATTCGTGATATTTTCTCTTGTATTTAGGCACAGAGAAATTGCACACTCTTCAATTTGTAACAGCACACTAGTGCCATTTGAACCTCTAGCATCCCTTATAGTAACTTTATGGTCTCGTTTTGGGTCAGAGCACAATCGAAGGCTCGAACCCATGCTAAAAGCAGAAGTTGCGGGACATTCGCTGCACTTGATTGGTCTAGCCAGATGAAAGAACGTGTATAAGATGACGAATGCCATAATGTTGCACTTTTACGCTGTTTCATTGATCCCACTGGCTCATAGCGTTGGCTGCGCTTTGACTTGTTAAACGAAACTTTCCCGTCAACTGCGCCGGCTGGTTGATCGCCGAGGTAGTCTAAATTTCCATACAATGTCGGCAATGTTGGGAGCTAAAGTGGCGATAAATTTTGCATACAGCATGATGGTGGATACTGTAATAAGACAGAACCAGGGTTTTCTACTCCTGATGCAATCACTTTATTATCATGCCTCCATGCCGTGGCTACAAAGTACCCAGAGCCGCTTATTGGGAGAGTTTGGCCATTCATGGTTTGAATAGGCGAGCGTCTCGGGGCCTGCCACAGGCCTCGAAACAGCCGCTAGCGGTGGTCGTGAGCTCTAAATGTGCGGCACGACTAATTTAAGCCGTTTTAGCGTCGCTAGGGTGACTTTCTAGAAACAGCGTCTCAGCTGAGACGGGGGGAAAGAACACACTGCCAAAGCCAGCGCACGAGCTGAGCGGGACTCCATCCGCGTTTCAAGAAGCTCGGGCGCTCCAGCCTTTGTTGCACTGCTTTCTTTCAGCCAGTCTCAGCTAAGCAGCTGTTCTACCAAGCCGGCCCAGAGCAAACTGTCACCGAGACGCCTAGATTGAACGCTTCTATTTCACGCTTTAAATGTCGTTTACAATATTGTGACGTCGCGGTCTGCTTATTTCCCACTCTGTGTCAAGCTTTTAGTTTAGGCTCTAACCGCGGGGGCAGTATTCGGCGCTGGCGGCGGCCTTTGCTCCACCCATTGGCCAAACTCTCCCAATAAACGGCTCTGAGAGTACCGTGGCACATGCGCCGCTGGTGTCAAACTCCACCACTCTCCTGAGCACGCACGTCAAGCTTCACTCCTTTGCACCGGAGTGCTAGGAGCAGCGGCTGACACGGGGGAGTGCCTGGATTGGCTTGAAATTTGTGCTCGGTACTATTACAGGTCGACCTTCCTTGGCCTTGATTGTAGGTTGTCCTTTAATTTATATAGCTGTGCCGAGAAAAAGAGAACAAATGCGGGTCTATATTTGAACAAATACAGTAAAAACTAATACCCTCCCCCCCCCCAAAAAAAAAAATAAAAAAAAGCTTTTAATTTTCTGCTAGGCGATTTATTATGGTGTCAGACGACTACCCAAATAATATTTTGCTATAGAGTCACGTATATTTTTAATGAAACCAAATCCGAAACCTGCGCACGAAAGAGAGAGTAAGTGCCGGAAGTCACGTGGCTACAATATTTTTCTTTTTTTTCTTTTTTTGTTGCGCGCAGCAGACGACGCGTCGACAGCGTGGCGGGTAACGTTCGCCGTGCGATCGTTCAGCAGTTACGTTTGTTCCCCTCGCTGTTCTGCACTTCAAGATGAGTTGTTTTGTAAATACATTGAAGAGTTGGTGAATGTCCGTCATCGGCTCCGAAAATAATGCCCCGAGATGTTGCGTGAAGAGCTGCATCACAGTTCTGCAATCCGAAAGTGGTAGTGTGCGGCAGACTCTGCACAAGTTTCCGAAAGATCAACAGGATCGAGACCAATGGCTGGCTGCAGTTCCTGCAGAACAGTTACGGGCACCTCGGAAAGCGGGCGCTACCCGATTTATATGCTCCTTGCATTTTGTAGGAAGCGACTACATTGAGTTCGCAGCTGTCAAAAAGGGAGTCCCATAGCATAGTTCAACGACGTTTCGTCCAGAACATTTTTGTTCAGTGATAATTGCAAAATACAATGTGTAAATATCGCAAAATGTTTATAGGAAGAAAAAAAAAAGTAGTCTCACCCTTTGGATTAAACCTGGGACTGCTACGTGTGAAGCGGACACCTTTCCACTAAGCTACTCTACAGCTTTAATATTCGTTTCATACGAGACTCGATAGGGGACAACTGCCGGCAGTTTTTTTTTCAAGTCGTGCCGGCTGCCGGCAGAATATCCACTTCCTAACATCATAGACTTGAGCTTGAAGTACTACGATAGTTTCAACACCGTAATATTCAGGCAGACGAGGGGGAACTCCTCGTTTGTATAGTTATGCGGCGGGTCGACTGTAGGTCGGAAAGTTTGCTGCAAATTTCCCTGCAGCAAAGGCACTCCCCGGGTTCGAAGTCTGGCAGCACCACGCATTGGTCACATCGCACCCATAGTCGGTGACGGGTCAAGAACGAAGTGAAAGCTCTCCCACCTCTTTCCACTTTAGTAGAGCGAGTGCTAAAGTGGAGGCGACCTCCTCTCCACCGTTTTTTCCGCTGAAGTGGAAAGGGGTGGATGGAGCTTCCACTTCGTTCTTGACCTGTCACCGACTGTAGTAAAAAAATCATACACATGCATGCATATTCAACTCAAAGTACGCACTTCGTGCTTGACGCTTGCTCTTACCAAGTCGTGTTCGTAAGACAAGCGCCGTCTTCAGCCACGAAAAGGGGCGACGACTCGGCGACGTCTTCGTGCGAATCGCCTTGGTGGTCGAGCGTGTCGTACAGAGTGATTCCTAATTGTTTTGATCTGTCCAAAATATGACCCATGACTTCGATTAAATTTGGTGTTTGCGTCTAACCTTAGTAAACGGCCCGTGACCATGCAGAAGAGGGTGAGCGCGGCGCAAACGGGCCAGCTCTCGATCGGGGGTTTTCGGGCGGAAAGAAACCGAATTGCGAGCCGCAAATTGTGTTCTGGGTAGTTGGGCTCTCTTATGTCATGTACAACTAAAAACCTCAGCGAGCATAAATACCCTGTCAGTGCACCTTTAAGGTAGTTCCCCAGTGATGGAAGTGTTACGCCAAATTGCAACATTGAACGCGAAAGTCTACTACATCTTGCGCGAAAATGCTTTTTTTTTTGCTAAGAATTGCGCTACACCTGTACCGAGATAATCTTAAGAAAAACTAAATAACTTTTTGTTTTATTGGTTGACTCTAATTTAGAGAAAAATACGCGGTAAAAAAAAAAAAAAAAAAAAAGAAAGATACAAAAAGGTACAAACATGTATTTCACAGCGCCAGAGCACATTCGAAGGCTCGAACACATACGGCAACGGACGCACACTAAAAATGGAAGTCGCGGGACATTTGCTGCTTGTGATTTAGTCAATGAAATAACACGAACAGGAAGATAGAAGAATGCCATGATGTCGTGCTTACTGCTGTCTCCATGGGAGTTACAAGAACACACACTCGACACTCGCAGTCATCGGCGCCGCAAGTGGCGGCACCCCTGCTTTCGACCTTTTGTTGACAAAATGAAACTTGTCGATAAGTAATATATATAATTTAGTCGCAATTCGTTAGTGCTTGGATCGGTCGTGGCTACGGCCTTCAAGGTATGGCCGCCACCGCCACCACTGGATCCTGTGGCTTCTTGCCGAGGAAGAAGAGGGCCATGCCGAAGCAGCAGAAGGATGCCATCTTCAGACCCAGGATGAGAAAGTACACGTTCCTGTTGAGGAGCCGGTTGTCGTAGATGGCGCACGCGCCTTGCGACGACCCGCACGGCTCTTCCCACAGCACGCAGCTGGCGTCGATGGTGTGCCCGAAGGCGGCACCGGCCGGGATCAGACCTGTCAACCAGAGTTTGTGGTCTTTCGGAGTGAGCAAGAACCGCCATTAATACGATACGTTTCGTGGGTCGAGGCACTTCAGCCATCTCGGTGCTCCGAATCAAGGTTGCCAGTTGTCCGAGGCTTTATTTGAGATCGCAGAAAACATTTTTTTTTTTTGTACTCCAGAAATGTTAATAGTCTGCAACACGGCGAAACAATGTCGCCCGACGTTGTAACAAACTCAGGAAGTCTCGTTTTCGATGTGTGCTGCTCTGAGCATCAAGATGGCGCCGCCCATGAAACGTAATTTGTAACTCCAGCTTGGGAAACGTATAGCATGGAAATCGAAACATTTGCATACATTTCTATTGTTCCCTGGCATGTACAAAAAGATAGAGGTGTTGCATTTTTGTTGTGTGGCATTCTAATATTTTTTTTTTTTTTACATAGAACTACGTCTTTCCGCACGTGGAAGGGGGTGCAAAGTTGGGAAGTCGATGTCACAAAACCTTGGTCACGGAAGTGACGTCACACACGTCAAAATAAATTTGAAGTTATTTTGAACGCGGAAGTAAGGAAACAAGAGAACCTTCGAGTTGTCATCCTTGACGACCAATGACGCGGCGAACATGCTATCGCGTCCGCCGCGGATGTGCCGTCGGCTCCTTTCATCCGTGTGCGCTTCCCGAAAAAACTTTGTATCGTGTGTTTGAAATGGCCCAACAGCACTCCCAGGTTTTTTCCGCCGACTTACTTCGATGCGATTCCGCGTATGCAACTCGGAGATGACGGCGCGGGTGGCTGCAAAATTGCTTCTATGCGACTCCGAGCCACAGGCATTCACTTCTCGTGCACCCGCCATCGTCCAAACACATATGGGACGAGAGGATAAGGGTACGACCTCTCTTATATCAACCCCCTCTTATTTCTTGTGCCAACCACGCCTAGTTCTACGGAAATTTATGCAGCCTAGTACAGCTATGCACAGACCAATTTTTTTGTGGTGTGGGAACAGGGGAGAGGGGGGGGGGGGGAGGCGAACGATCGTTTCTTCCATATGTTTAAAAAGATTTATTCAAACAATGTAAGAAAAGAAAAAAAAACACTCCTACTACACTCCCCCCCCCCCTTCCCCCCTCCCCCCCCCTTCCCCCTTCCCCCCCCCCCCCCCCCCACCCCCGTATCTCCCAAACAGTTCCGACATGCAGTAAAACAGTGGTTCTCAAATGGGGGTCCGCGAAGGCATTCTAGGGGTCCTCGAAGTCCAGCCTCATCCGTCAAGACCGGAAATAAAAGTTGTCTTTTTTTAAAATTGTGAACAAACTTTCCGATTTTCGGGTGAATTTTCTTGTGTATATGTCAATAAGTGAAGTTTACTTCACACTAGCCCTCAGTTATATCCATTTATTAAATCACTATCATAATTAACCTATACTTTCCCTTCCCCTCGCCTCGAACGGGGTCCTCCAACATCTGTGCCGATCCACAAGGGGTCCGCGAAACATCAATGGCTGAGAACCACTGCACTAAAACATACCTTTGGTTGTATACATTTCTCATTCGTTGCTTTTAAAAGTTCTGATTTCTGTCGAGTGAGCTGAGAGATTGGACTTGCACCTTTATCGTTGCACAGTTTCAAATTGGGGTGAGGAATTTTACCAATCTAGTGCAGTTCGCTTCTTTCGGTTATCGAGTTTCCGTTGAAATCTTTCAAAATGTGTCAAATATCCGAAGATTATAGTGACGTCACAATATCCCCGCTAAATTTCACGAGAAAACGCTTCACGTGACGTCACGTGATCCCCACCCCTTCCTTCCCTCTCGCTTCAGTTAGCATCCCGCTCCCGTCGTTTGAAGCGCGATCTAGATTGTTCTTGCAAAACTGTGCATTCCATAGAGTACGATGAAATGCCATCTAGACTGTGCATCAAAACGTGCATTACATACAGTACACTGGAGTTATCACGGCAGCCATCATCAACCGGTATCGCGTCGAACGACAAGAGGCCAGAGGAGTGGCAAGCCGGGGGGCGGGTACCGCTCTTGCAAGCGCCGTCTATGGGCAGTTTCGTAACTGAGCTAATCTAGTAACGTTGGGGAAAGGTCCGCGTGACATCATAGGACGTTACAATTCCCCCGCTAAACTAGGCGAGAACTATTTCCCGCTAAATTCAGCGGGCCATAACGCACACCGTACACTCACAGCCTAAAAAGCGTGCGCTCCCTCGTGGTTCACTGTTCCTCGGAGGAGTCGGTATCGTTTCATCGAAATACATTTCGTCTACACTGGCAGGTTTCGTGGAAACTCGTTTGCTATAAAACGTACGGTGTTCAGTGGTAGAGCAAAAACATAACGTACCGAATGCTCGCACTATTATCCACTTGATTCCGAGGCCGACAGACTTGTAATCTTCGGGTATGCACCTGCGTGCGAAGAGACCTCAGAGGATATTGAAAACTTGCGTGTGTTTATTATATTCCTTTTTGCATGTAGTGTTTTTTTTTTTTTTTCAATTTAGTGTGTACTCTAAAAAAATACATTATTGAAAGCTTCTCTGACGCCCCAAGAACCCTTTCAGCTCGTGAAGAACGGTTTCGTCTCAAACACGATTGCACCCTTGCGCACTAAAAAGGCCAGTTGGCGGTGAAGGACTCTTTCACATAAAAAAGGAGCTTAAGAAAAAATGGACAAGCCGAAGAACCCTTAAGAGTTCTTTTACGATCAGGTTTTTGTTTTTAGAGTGTGAAGTATGTTTGTTTTGTTTATTTAATTCGTCGTTGTTTAATGCACGCGCGGAGGGGATTAACTTTTTAATTAATCGGTGTTTAATGCACGCGGGGAGCAACTCGGCGCGAACGTTCCATCAGCGGGCTTTCACATTTTAGTTGATCTGGGGATTAAAAATTGGCAGTCATTTCTCTGTTCGACCTTACACTACCCTGTTTCAGGTTAAGAAAAGCGGGGCAAGCACCCCCCGCGAAGCCTTGCACCCTTTCCACTTAGCAGACCGAACGCCGGAAAGGCAAGACGAAGCAAGGTGGGCGAGGAGGAACTCGCCTCCTCCCCCGGGTTCGCTCTCCTAAGTGGAAAGGATGGGGTGTTTCGCAAAAGGAGCTTGACCTGCTTTCCTTGTGCTTTTTCGTGCTCACTGTAACAGAATCGACATTCTCAACGTATAATTATAATGCAATTAAATGCAAAGGTGCAAGCGAGCTGGACAAGAATGACGAAAGTAATCCCTGGAGAAGGGGAACAAGAGGGACAAAGGACAAACATAAATCTCCAAACACAGCTAGGTGACTGGTGAGCGACCGAAAAAATCCGCCTGGTCCGGGTATCGAACCCGGGACCTCTCCACTTGTAATGCAGAGGTCCCGGGTTCGATACCCGGACCAGGCGGATTTTTTCGGTCGCTCACCAGTCACCTAGCTGTGTTTGGAGATTTATGTTTGTCCTTTGTCCCTCTTGTTCCCCTTCTCCAGGGATTACTTTCGTCATTCTCAACGTGTTTATGATGGCTCAAAAGCGCCTAGATAAAATACGCACTTCGTGCTTCTTACAAGTGTCTACGTGTTTTCTTTTTTTTTCTTTTTTTTTTTTTACGGCGCTGATTCGTTTGACGGTGCAGGTTTAGGAAGGACATTTTCCTTCGTGATAAAAAAAAGCTGAGACAGGAACGAATAAAATAACGGACAAGCACACCCACCTCCACACAATGCGCTTCGCTATGCACGTTAGCCGTCGCTACTTGTAAAAGACGGTGCACACCATCCAGGGACTAAGATATTTTCAGATCACAGGGACTGCAGACTTTTCCAGAGTCCATTAAAATCTCATGACACTTGGCGCACATGATCACGCGAGTGTGAAGCGCCCCCGCAGCGTCGTGACGTCACAGTCGCGCGTTTGAGGTCGGGAAACGTCGATCCGCACCTCAGCGTTGCAGCCACTGCCGGAGTGCTGAGGAAAAAGGTTGAGAATATGATGGCCGCCAGTACGGGAATGAACACGTTGACGAGGCTGCACGGGTTGCGGCACTTGTCTCGCACGGCCTCGATGTCCACTCCGGTGTCGGCCACCGTACCCAGGTGAGAATGGCCGGCAGCGCTATCGTTGACGCAGCGGCAGACGGCATACGCCTGTGCGTGGTTATGCGTGCATCGAGTAAGGCAGGATTCGATAAGGGCATTTCGTGCTACGAGACGAGACCTGACCTGAACTAACGCAACCTAACCTCTCATAGCCTAACCATTGTAAAGATACTTTCAGTTTCCAAAACGAGCAGGCCGGTAGCCAGCATGGGATCAAAGTGCGGCTCGCGCTGAAAGGTTATTGGAATGAGTGTGCTAAAGGCTGTCGCAGTCGGCGTCATACCGTTTGCCACTCGCCGGTAGTTTATAAAGTATGTTATTTGTAAATTTGGTACGAGGCAGTACATGGCAGGTAGAAGAGCTCGATCATTTGATACGTCGTGCACTACAAATGTTAGCAAGTTATGTGAAATGCTGGGAAAAGTGATTGGCATGGGTTCCTCGTGTCTAGAAAATGCTTCGGGTCGGATAAGCAAGCACATGTTTGACAATCTTCAGCGTTGAGCTTGTGCCCACGTGTTTGCAGAGATTGGTGCTTGAGACGTCTAAAAGGCTACTCGATCTAGCGCTCGAGGATACTTGGTGACCTGTAAGGATTTGTACATCTATGAAGAGTTGCCGCCCCACCTCTTAAAACACTGCCTTTTCTTTTACTACGTTCGAAATATTCCTTGGGCGCGCCTTTGGATTCAAGTGAAACGCGTATAGAAATTTTCCACAGGGGCGCCGCCATCTTGAATTGTCGTCACTTCCAGTATGGGCGACGACAAAATAATAAAACGTTTTAACCTGTAACTACCGAAACAAATAGAGGGGAGCCAAAACGAGAATGTGTGACGGTTAGGCTTATATTCTAAATGCCTTCTATTGGCGTGGCGACGGCAAAACAATGTTTTCGCCCATACTGGAAGTGACGACAATTCAAGACGACGGCGCCCTTGTGGAAAAGGTGTATATTTGCCGTTGTCACAAATCAGTAAAGAAGCCACGTCTTGTTTTACACCTGTTGCTCAAGCTCCAGTGTTTAACTACGCGCAGCAACCATATAAACATAGCTGCCATGTGTCTGGACTTCGGTATGGCTTGCGATACAAATGCCGTCCACGGTTTCAGCTCCCTTGTTCCAGATCGGATGTCATAAGCTGCTGCTCTAGGTCATGGGACCGCACGTACACAATCAGTGGTTTCGATTCGTATCCTTAGGAAAAGCGAGTGAGTGAGGTTCTCCGGTTGCACCCAGTGACATCGGGTTATTAAGGCGTGACCATACCCTGCTGCTGGCGGTGGCGTACTCGCGTAGGCAGCCGGCGTAGCAGGGAGAGTAGTAGGTGTAGCCGTCCCGACCGCACACCGGGTTGAAGCGTGACTTGGTGCAGCTGCACCCGCGGTTGCACGGCTCCGCCAGGGACACTGTCACGTTCTCCACGCTCAAGCTGAGGGGAGGAAAAAACCGCCTGGCTGAGGCATTCCGGCAAATGCACCGAAGGTGCAAGAACACTTGATTAGGTGCCCCTGCGCCCACAGACCGACTAAATTATTCTACTAGTACGCAGTTCCTACCCTACTACGCAGCGGAGGAAGGTGGGGGATGGAAGGAAAAAAAAAAAAGTTCCTTTTATTACCAACAGGGCGTGAAATTGCATGCCTTTTATCCATGAATTGGAGGACTAATCATGCCTCTCGCCAAACAATTTTCTAGCCTCTCCACTAAGGCCTTTTTGAACGGGTATTCGAGGTTCTTAAATCCTTTATAAATTGGTTCCTGGTTCTCTTTTCGTGTTTAAAATGCGTCAGGCGGGGCCTTGTACACCAGGCGTCTTGTGCGAATATTTTTGCTTAGCTGAAGTTTTGTAACGCATTTTTGTTTTACTTACATGTAACATGCACCTTTCTCAAGAACTCTCATCAATCCGCCTTCCCCCTTTTTATGTATATAAGGCCCTTCCAAATAAGTGCATATCAGCAGTATTCACAGCTGAACCTGTTGCAGCTACTGAGGGCGTGCCGGGGCCAAGCACTCACAATGCTTCTAAAATATGCAGTCAGTCGTACTTGACTACAGCAGATGCTTAGCCTATCTTGATATATCTTGGCCTTTTTTCTGCGTTCGTAGCGGGGATACTTTTGCGCTAGTATAAATTTTTTTTTTAATGTTCCATTACATCTATGCTATAGCTTCGGTTTTCATAAATTTGTTACATTGCTATTCCTTAGTCGTTTTTCTGCATTAAAATCCAATCTCGTGCTCCAGCTAATACAAATTACGGCTGTGTATTCTGCACAATCAAGGTCATCGTTCTTGACAGACGATAAGTGAGAGCTCTTACTTTAGGTTTCGCGGTGAGTAGTCTGTTCAAATATGGTTATATTCAAATCTACCCGTGTTTTTATTTGGGTTTCAAATGGACCGTCGCCTGTCCCACTTAAAGCCGCTGGTAAAGTATCGCCATTACCTCCCCTGCCTGCTAGCCGGACACAAATATATACTAATATACTGGTGAAAAAACCTGGCAAGGTGATTGGCTGCTCGGTTTCAGTTGCCATGGCAATCGCCATTTCGGTTCATTCAGATCTTCGAAAGGGTCGTTCCGAACCACGATCGCTATGGAGCATCATCTTTCTGCAAGCGTTCCTCAATACAAGCGTCTTTGGAGCTGTGCATGCAATTCACTTATCAATCATGCTTATCTCCATATATCTCTTGCAATGGTATCGTTGTTCTCGCGTAATTAAAGACAGGGAAAATATTTTTCAATGTCGCCAAGCACCGTGGCGGTGCGACGATGTGCACTTGTTTCGCTGGTGTGTGGATAACAAAAACCTCGGTATTTAAGAGACGTTTCTATAAGGAGTATTCACTGGGCGCCATATTTGTGGGTGCTGTCTAGAGCGCATGCTCAGAGCGAGCCCACATATATAGGCTGCTAAGACCGGCAATCTTGAGGGTGCGGAATGCACGTTACAAAAGAACTGTGGAGGGATGCTCGCCATCAGCACGCGCTCAGCAGTTGCGCACACAGCTATGGCCGCCAGTGAATACTTCCTATAAGCCTACCCGTCGGCGCACCAAGAAGGGAGATGGCTCACCAAGGATAGGCTCAAAGAGAAACTGATCCTTCCATGGACCAAAATGGCGGGGAGTTTATTGGCGCTACTTTCACAGGGTACAGTGATATTCGTCCCACTCACAGGCCAGTGGTGTACCCGACGTTGCGGTAGGGTATGTTGTCGCAGTGGAAGAGCAGCACCGTGATCAGGGTGATGGGCACGGTGAGCACGAGCACGCACATGCGCACAATGCCTGCCGCGCCGAGCTGGTAACGCGAGACCACGAGTCCCCCGAGCATGATCCCGACCATGGCCGTGGGGATTGTCACCGATCCTGCACAGATGGCGTCCATATTAGAACTACTAAATGCCCGTAAGGTGAAACACTGCGACAGCTGAGGTGTAACGTTGGAGCCGCTAAGGTGTCGATTCGGAGCAGATGGACTGTCTGAACGGTAAAAGTGCGAGCCGCATGTGAGTTTCGAATTATACCGAGTAACACACGGGACGAAAATGCCATAGCGTTTTGGAACCAATGAGGGTATATTATGTAGAGAGCATTTCGTGAACCTGTAAATCAGTTTTATGGGACACAAACTAGGATCGCCTTGTGGAAATCGAAGAACACCTCGAAAATAGCGCGCCCAAGTTTGAAATCAAGGGAACGACAAACTGCTTATGAATCGTTCCCTGTCGTTGGTGTGGCCGCCTGAACGTCTTATGCAATGTTATTGAACACAAACTAACACCGCCTTGTAATCACTAAAGAACACTTGCAAAATCGCGCACTCAAGTTTCAAGCATGTAGCTTTACCTAAGTTCACGCTCGTGGTTTCACCGGCTTAATACCCACCTGGCTTTATTAATTTTATCGCCCGAGAACCTTTCTGGCATAATTAGCGAAAACGCTGTTTTTATTGTTTCCATCATCAGCATTCTCATGTTTGTTTCCACGTGCCGTCATGGTATCACGTGATGACGTATTGTCACGTGACGTCTGAATGTCACATGACGACAGTGTCACGTGACGTCATGACATCAAGTGACTCACGGTGTCACCTGACGCCGTTAGGTCGCGTGGTGTCACTGTGCAACGTGACTTGACATGACAATGTCACGTCATGGTGTCAGCTGATGCTAGGTAACAGGTCACGTGATACGCGGCGTGACGTCAATATGGAATCTTTTGGCGGAGTGCCGAATATGGCCCGCGTCGATACGGGGCGCGGCAGACGGCGCAAAACCCGCAAAGTGTCCCACTGACAGCTATCGCAGTAATAAGTGCTATCGACACACAACCGTGTGTCTCCGAAGCCGGGTGAGGCATTTAAAGTGACCGCATATATCGGCTTACTAACGTATTGGGCTACGACTTACCACAGAGGTGCCTAAAGGTGGTGGAGGCATCACATCAACATTTCAAAGAACAAACTTGCTGGGTAAAAAGTATTAAAAAAAAAAAAACAATAACTGGTTTTCTCGATCTAGGGTGCCCGTCTACTCCGCGCACCCTCTGACTGGTGGACCGACCGACAGATGGCGGAAGCGGCCCCGGCAGTTTAGGGAACCTTCCCTACAGCTGCTGCTGCTGTAGTTAAGTCTTAACTTTTGTTCTAGCGCAATTGGCGGTCGTTACGATTCGGGGATACGACTTGATGAGCTTCGGATAAGGTGACAGGCAGGGCTGGGCAGTATCGCGAGACAGATGGAACGCGATAGTATTTTACAGATAATTTCGAGTACCTGTATCTCTGTATCAAGATGGATTTGAAAGAATTATTTGTATCTCAGTAGTGAAGTACATTTAGAACGTATCGCTTGTATCGCGATACTTTGCCAGACTTAGTTACCTCGTTACATTTGTTGCTGTTTTTGCGATAAATTGATAAGATAGAAACACCTGTTTGGTGCAAGGTGCTTCAGAGTTTATAATACGAGTCCACCCTATTGGGCAGGGGATCGAACTATAGGGGGAGCTTTATCGAGCTTGTTGTCCCCACAGCCCGGTGTTTACTAACATAGAATAACAAAGAAATTGAACCTCGCCATGCACGGTCTGGACACGAGCGCTTCACTCTTACCAGTGCTTTGGTTGCACGAGGAGCGGCCTTCGAATCGTCACCATCGATATCGCTGATCAAAAACAAACAAGGAAATTCGGTTTGTTGTCCCCACAGCTGGAGCGTGCCGCCAGAGGCGTGACTGTTGGATCTCCTCCCCAATAGCATAATCCATCACAGTCACTAACATTAAAAAACAACAACTGTGGTCTAAAGAAGGTTGCTTGCGAGAATAACAGAGTATGCTCCTCTCACAAAGCCCCCCGCGCTATCCCCAATTTAGCAGAGCGAACGCTGTAAAAGAGTTGAGTGTAAAAAAGGTACGGCTCTGTTGGTCAATCTCCCCACACTTTGGGTGATTCGAAAGCATATAAGACGCCAGTTTGAAATTTGCCATCACAGCAAAGGAGGGTTCATTTTGTGCAAATGCCTTTTGTCAATCATGGAACGCAATCTTTACCGTTCAAAAAACTCTGTAATTCACCGGGGGTGATATGTTTTTTTTTTTTTTTTTTAGCAGCATTAATGATAAATAAAGAGTTCGAGGTAAGCGGAAGTACGTTCAAATGACACAAAAAGAGGAGCACAATCATAAATTACCATTTCCATTCGCTAAGACCCTCCCCACGTTGCACCGTTCGGGAACGAATGTATTTTTATAAGTATCTGTATCTGTATTCCGGAATACTTTTTCGGCTTTTGGGCACTTTTTTTTAAAGGGTTACATGAACATAACAGAGTGTCACTTGACAAATAAATCTATAACATCCATTACCCATAATCATTGAAGCCGAGGAGGCGGTCATGCTGAACTGCGCTTGCAACATCTTCACCAGGAACGACGAAAGTCCGCTAGCGACCATCACTGCAAACAGGTCGTCTGGTTAACTTCCAGACTGCTTTTATACACCAGCATAGCGGCGTGGTGCATGATAAGATGGCGAAGGTGAACACGGGTATAATCTCACATTCTGCAGCGCCGGCGAAGCAGACCAGGATGAACGGCTTTATTCGTATCAACGCCAGGAGAGTGCTCCTTAGGTTCCCGGTGCCGACGCGTCCGCATCCTGCGGAGTCGATCTTTTTCTGCGCCATGACGCACGCGCGTTCTACAAAGAGAAAGGCAAGAATAAAATAGCTCATTTCAGGGCCTTATTCAGTATTCTATTGCACAGCCCAGCTTGCAGCTTTAGAGTCTAGCGCGCGCGTGATCGTTGCTTCAGATGCAAGCAAGGCACGCGCCGTACGCACGACATAACATGACTCCTGCCAGAAGCTCTTTAGTGCAACGGTTTATGGTCGCCGCCCGGATCCGAATGGTAGGGAGGACTTTCATTGGTGCCACCTCCAGCGCGAGATTCGTACCTTTGATAGCAGTTCAGCGTCTTGTGACATAGCCTCCTCTATATTCACAAAGCCTGGCAGCGAGGATCTCGTAGCACAGACCTTCAAAGAGTCATTTCTCGGGGACCTGGACGTCAGCGCACAGCTTTTGCAGCGGCGAGGACCCGAAACTCACTTGTTCGCTTGGGAGAAGTGTGTTTCGACCAGGGTGTAAGATAGACAGGTGGGGAAACGAGAGCCAAATGAGCGACCGGATTGTGTCCCCCTCGGGTTTCTCTTTTTCTGTGGCGCCATCTATGTGGAGCACCGCGAACTCTCACTCCGGGTGGGCGAACGCTGGCGACCGGCTAAACTGACGGAGATGTTTTTCGTGGATTTTCAATGGAGGACTGTTGTGCTCTCGGTTTATTTTGCGTGCTTTAAAGGATCCACGGCAGTTTATTTATACAAATGAACGAAATATTTATTTATAGGTTTTTTTCCTTACTTAATAGTTCAGGGGGAATCTACAGAGCGGTGGCAGGCGGTGGAGTGGCGGATCGTAGTGGTTGTGGTGTTACAGCGAACTTCTATGTTTCGTCGAGTTGGCTAATAAGTTTCACTGGTTTCACTCTTTACCGGCATGTGAGGTAAGTTTTAGTTTAGGGTGATTTTAATCAACTGGTATGTCGTTATCCGGTGCGCAGCGCTACATTGTTAGCCTTTATCCTGTTGGCTTGGGCTCGCTCGGGCCTCGACAGCTGTGCGCTGCGCGAAACACATGTAAGTACGACGAAACCCTCCGATCCGACGTGCGAACTGCCGGAGTGACCTTGGGGGGCGATGGTTTTCGTAGCACCGGAGAGCGTTGAAAACCCTCGCCTCCGACCGTCGTATTGCCTGATCGGACGTCGGATCGGGCGGTTTCATGTGTTTCAACCTCCGCTGTCCGCAGAGGGGAGCAGAAACACAGGCAACAGTGACTGCCTACCGCCAACGACACGGCATCCGGCGCAAACCGCTTTCTACCCAGCCACCCGTTCTCCACATCTCGCCGCTCACGCAGCCCCATCCGCACCAGCAACCGCTTTGCTGTCCTAAGCGGATCCAACAGCCGACCCTGCAGCCAGTCCGCTCGCCTATCTCTTAGCAGCCCCACCCGGTCGCCAACTCCCTCGCCTCGCCGCCGCCGCCACCCATAAAGCCAGCCCTCAAGCCTTCCTCGGCTGGAATTGCACCCAAATGCCACGTCTCATGCTCTGCGGCCCTCAACAGGACCCGTCAGGTGAGTGAGCCACTTTCCCCCTTGCCTCCCCCCAATAAGCGGCCTAAACCCTCCTACCCCCCTGCCGCTCCTCCCAACACACTACATGTCTTTGCCCCTCTAAACACCAACACCATGGAGGTCGAACCCTCCCCTTCTACACTCGCTACCGTTCTTGCTGCCATCGAGCGGCTTACCATCCGCGTCACTACTATCGAGGACAGCATGGAAAGCGCCATCCAATAGCTCAACACTAAGAATCCACAGCCAAACACCCACATCGAGCGGATATATACTGCACTCTATCATTTCACTGTGGTGCAAGCACAACTGCAGACACAACTCAAAATTATCATGAGGCGCACTCTTCTAGCACCCCCACCCCTTCACCCACCACTAGTGACATAAACACCCCCACCGCACGTTAGATCATGGCCTCCAATTACATTCTTTAATGGAACTGCTGCAAGCTTCGCAGAAAGGCTGCAGCTTTTCGCCTTTACCTAAAATCTCTCACCGATCTTCCTGCCATCGTCCTCTTGCAAGAGATGTTGACCTCTACAGTATTCCTAACTACACTTCTTATATTCAACCAAGCATACTTCCCAGATGTCAAACACATGCCCCTATCTATACCGTCACCTACGTTCTCAGGACCCTGTCCGCGGTCCAGCTGGACACCAGTCCATATAACACGCCGCATACAGAACATGTATGCATTCTTACCCAGCTCCCTCACCTCCTCTACCCCCATCTTAATACTCAATACCTACTGGACCCCATCCGCCAAACCCTCCCTCAAATGGCTCACATCCGTCCTTCAGCAACACACCTGCTCCCCCGTCGTCTGGGCTGGAGATTTCAACACTCCTCATCCCGATTGGCTCTACGCATATACCACACACTCCTTCGCACCTTGTGGGCACCCTCGCGGCTTCCAAGCCCCGTTGCCCGACTGCGAGGCAACGGTGCCAGACTTTTCCCGCGTGGTGGCGACGTCACGCCAGCCACGCGCACATCGGATGTGCTGCCTTGATAAGGCGGGTCAGAGGCGGCGCACGGGGGGTTGCTGCCTGGACTCAAGCGCTGCTGGTAAAAATGTTAATCGTCTTGTCCATGTCCAATTAAATGTAGCTTCTTGTTGTTGAAACCGCTGGCCCCGTGTTATTCCTCCTGGTCGGGTATGCAGCAAGGCAAACCGGCCACAATGGCGCCCAATCGTCGTATGCTACCCACTCACAGGAATTTCACGGGGCTTGGTTTCTTCCCTTTTTCCTATTCCCCATGTTTCCTATCATCATTCCATGCTTCCGTCACGTCCGCATTTGTTGTATTGGCGTACTTCTGGCTGTCTGTTCTGTGCCTGCGGCAATCCTTTTGTGCGTTTGTGTTGGGTTTTGGGGGGCGTTTCTTTTTTTGTGATTGCAGGAATGCTCACACAAGAGCAGGAAGCCGCGATGGCCGCAGCAGCACAAGTGAACCTGCTCACGAAGGTCACGGGGATGTGCGACTCCGTGATGCAGCACCTGGCCCACACGCCTGGCCAGCACGAAACCCCACCGCGAGAGCCCCGACCACACTTGACTGTTCTAGTCTACATGGGGTACGACGACGTCAAGTCCATGACAGACTTCCTGAGCGAGCTGCAGACGTACCACCTTGCCTCCGGTGCCTCGGAGGCCTCATCGTGGACCGGATTGTTCCGCTGGCGTTGCAAGCCAGTGCCAGGTGCTGGTTGGGGTCGCAGGCCCCCTTTACCAGCCTGGCAGACTTCCAGACAAGGCTTTGAGAAGAGTTCCTGCCTGCGGGCTACGCAACGCAGATTTTTCGAGAGCTCGAGGCAAAGATGCAGCACCCGGACGAAAGTCTGGTCCGGTACGTTCGGGTCATGCAAGAGCTCTTCAAGAGGGCAGACCCAAAGTCATCGGAGTTGGACAGAGTAGCTCAAGTCAAAAGACAGTGTCACCCGAGGTACCACGTCTATTTCATTAACCGCACCTTTGAGACCCTTGAAGAGCTTGCCCGATGCGCCCGCCTCATCGTGGAAGCTCTTCATGCTAAGCGGAACTACGTGCCGCCGCCACCAGCCAAGTACTCGCTCGAACCGGCATGCACATGGCGGGACCCCGAGGCCTCCACGCAAGTGGACTCTCCGAACGAGACCTCCCTCCACCACCACGTCAACCAGGAGAGTTGGCGTGGCATGCATGATCTTGTGCGGGATAAGCATATGTTGGCCTAACTCTCCTCGAGAGGTCCCCGGAGGTCACAGCGGGGCCCGTGAGGGTTTCGGGCGGGGGGCGCCACGACAGGCGGGAGGTCGTGTGCCGTGCCCTATCGTGAGCTGGCGCCCAACGGATATCACCACCCAAGCGAACCATCTTCATCAGTCTGCTCCTGCAAGTGCTGGCAAAAACTGGCATGGTGCAGTTGCAAACCCGCAGCCCAGCAGCATTGACACGCACCGCAACGGAACAAGCCCTCCCCACAACAGCCAGTCGCAAGCCTGGTGGAGGCCCTCCCATAGTGGTTCTTTACCCGATCACTGGAGGCAGTCCGACGGGCACCTCGGTGCGGATGGCCCAAGAAGGCTACTGTCGTCGGACTGCTGCTACGAGTGCGAGCAGCCCGGCCATCACCGAAACCAGTGTCTAAGACCTCTGGACACTACAAACAAGAGGTGGCACGAGACGGCGGCAAAGGGCCGGAACCCGAACAACCAGGGAAACTACTACGGCCGGTGACACTAAAACCAGACAGCCGCTCGCCGACGGCCGTTAGCAGTCCCTGGGAGCAGTGAGGCTGCGGCACAGATTCCATCGGTATGTCGAATCCATCCCGAGCCTAACATCATTGAAGCGTGCATGACAATTTCACTGCTCGATTCTCTTATTGCTGCACTTTTAGATTCTGGGGCCGCTATCTCACTCATGGGGGATTTCGTTTTCAAACTCTGCAAAGCAGAAAAGATAAGCCTTCGGGAGCGCAAAACCCGTTTGCAGCTAGCTTCTGGTACAGCGATAACAGCTGGAGGAGCCGTGAGGCTGCAGATTCGGTTTAATGGAAAGAAGCGGCTTCAGCGATTTCTTTATATGCCAAGACTCGTGGTACCTGTGATCTTGGGCTGAGATTTCATTACAGGCAAAACCATGACACTCGACTTTTCTGGTGGCGGATACCGGCTGGGACAAGAACCGTAGCTGACTCCGTTTACCAGATAGAGGACTGCATCCTCCGTAACCCGCCCACTGCAGCCCACTTCACCGTGGTGCTGGACGTCTTGCCTGCCGGCGTTCGAGAATCGTTGCGAAAGTGCCCCGCAAGCTGCCAGCAGTAGCAGGAGCTGCATGCCGTCCTGCATTTTTTCTCCGATGTTCACGGAAACACCTGGAAAGACTGACATACTGCTGCGCCGCATTGAAACCGGTGACGCGCCCCCTCAGAGGTGCAACCCTCGACCGATCAGCGTCCACAAAAGGGCACCCCTAGATGCGGCGCTCGAGGAAATGATCGACACCGGTT